CCACGTCAAAACCACTTCAACCGAGCCACGAGCAATTCAACTAAAATCCTCACATCTAATGTCCCTAGTTATACATCCGCGTTACCACCAGCACCATTCTTATTGGGATATATAGATTTACACATTCAAAAGTGATCGAATGTATTGGATTTTGGTGAAGTTTCTTTTGCTCGTCAGTTAAACGTACTAATTTGGTTTTTGTGTGGCTTCTATATTTTCATTAGATATTAGTTCTTAACATATTCATACGCAATTATTTACAACGAATGTGGCGTAAGTACTAAGGTGGATCTAGAATTGTATGCGTTATTGATCGTAAGACAAGGACATACATCGCTGAACGACATCCAACGCTTGAAACATTACCAGGACAACCCGTACGCTATTTTATGCTATTTCAAGCAGATGGTGTAGAAGTTCTTTTCAAGCATTTTCGATCACTTTTGAAAGTGACACACGCACGCACGCACGCACGCACGCACGCACGCACAAACACAGAGTCTGGCCAACGCTCTACGCCGTCGTGGCCAAATGAAACGTGGCCATGGTCGCAGCTGTAGTTGGCAGTGTACTGGCAATGTTCCTTTGTGTTTTTACATTGCGGGATTCCCAGGCAGCAGTTATTTATAGGCCCATGTTATTTCGAATTGTAAAACTCAAACGCGTCATGTCTTATTACAAATGAACCCAAATCGTGGATTTATTTTCTTATTCGACATGTTATTGGGTTTATTTTAAGGACCGGTCCTTTATGAGAAGGGTTTCAGAGTTTTTTGATGCGCTTATGTACTGAAAATAATTACCCACCCCCACCCAACCCAAAGAGACTGTCATATTTTGGTGACCACCCTTGATACCCTCTGACCCCCACCCATCCACCCCCTATAATAAGTGACCGGTCCCTTAGTTCGAACTACAAACTGTACTAAGGAGTGAGTGAGTATGATTTTACGCCGCTTTTAGCAATATTCCAGCAATATCACGGGGGACACCAGAAATGAACTTTACACACTGTACCCATGTCGGGAATCGAACCTGGGTCTTCAGCGTGACGAGCGAACGCTTTAACCACAAGGCTACCCGACCCGACCTGTACAAAGGAAAATATGCGAGTCGGTGTTGATCCCTACGTTTGTATCGTTGTTCTCTAATCCTTCAACCATTAGAATCCACATATTTTGTTCCTGTGTCATTTTGAAACGGATATTTTGTCATTAAATTAAATCGGGCTTTAATTTTTTCCGTTGATATCAGCTTCACTTGGTTCAAGTACGTATATGCTCAGAAATGTAATTGGAAAACAATACTAAACTGACCAGTTGAGTGTTTAACACATTCTCAAGTTGTTAAATAAATAAAAACAAGTGTGTATTATCACGATTCCAATATTGTTTTTGTAAAAATCCAAATAGGTCAAAAGTACTGCTTTCTGTATGATTTGGTGGCAATATGAAAAGTTCACCACACAGTTGTCTCCCCTATAAACTATCCTTCAGAGTCTAATTATGGAAACTACATTGTTATGCTTCACTGTTATAGTCAAATCACAAAGGAAGATGGAATGGAATATTTCTGACTTTATTAACAAACACGACCTTGTATGTATGTGCTTTGTTTTGTTGTGTAATGTTTTAAAATATATGAATAAATACTTCCTTATATATTGATCGCAAAATATGAAACAATAAGCAGTGTTTGCTGTTTATAATGGATTAAAGCTTCCTTTACCCGATTTCCTTTTCTTGGTAATTACGACATAAAAAAGATTGGGTTTTACCTTCTTGAGTACACGAATGTCTTCTACATTAATAGGAACGAAACGGGAAGAGTTTCATATGTGTTAAACACGAACATGAACATACACTGGAATGCTAAGCTGGTTATTTTGGTGAGTAAGTTAGTGAGTTTGGTTTAACGCCGCTTTAAACAGTATTTCAGTTACAGCATGGAGTGTACAGGTCTCAGACAAGTACACCTTTGATGGAAACCTCGAGCACGCGTACGGTGCCAACAGCAAGGAACGTGATTGGACGAATCTTTGAACCCACCTCCAACGGATCCTGGTATGGAAATCCGGGTACAGAAAAGGAGCGCAACTCTTCACAGCCTAATTGGCCATCCATAAACTGGTCCCCAGCTATTCCGCGCATCGCCATTTGGCCACTTTAGATATCAGTCAGTCAGTGAGTATGGTTTTACGCCGTTTTTAGCAATATTCCAGCAATATCACGGCGGGGGACACCAGAAATGGGCTTCACACATTGTACCCATGTCGGGAATCGAACCCGGGTCTTCGGCGTGACGAGCGAACGCTTTAACCACTTGGCTACCCGACCGCCCCTTTAGATATCAGGTGAGGTGAAATAGGGTTTGACGTTTACCATATTGCACTTATAGAGCGACTGGCATGCATGTGTGAATGTGTGTGAATATGAATGTGTGTGTGCGTGCGTGCGTGCGTGCGTGTGTAGTGAGATATACCATGCAACATTTCCCCTTAATGTCGAGCGCCAGCTAGAGTAACAAATTTTTGGTTTGAGTTGGTGAGTTAGGTTTAACGCCGCTTTTAACATTATTGCAGTTATATCACGGTGTGTCATCTCCACGAGCACGGGGATTCGGGATTCGAACCCACAATCATAGGTTTCTGGCGTGCCCAAGGGACGAAACACTGCACAGCAAAACGCGGCGACTTTCACGTTTGGGCCACCTGTGCCCCCTATTTTGGCGTGACACGTTCAGGGATCGAACCAAAGATTTCGCCTCCTCCGGGCAGAGGCTTTATCCACTACACCACGGAGGCGGTCATCTTAGATATGAAGAGACTGAGCTGTGGCCAGACGCCTACGGGCTGTACAGGCGCCACCGGATGTGATTGGACACAATCAAGCAATGGAAGTATTTTCGCTGCCCTTTAGTTTCAGTTTCTGTCACAATTTACACGAAGGAGTGCTCGATATAGCTCAGCGACGAAACGGTTACACACAAGGTTTTCCTTTCCTCGTTTAGGGGCGATCGGGTAGCCTAGTGGTTAAAGCGTTCGCTCGTCACGCCGAAGACCCGGGTTCGATTCCCGACATGGGTACAATGTGTGAAGCCCATTTCTGGTGTCCCCCGCCGTGATATTGCTGAATTATTGCTAAAAGCGGCGTAAAACCATACTCACTCACTTTCCTCGTTTAGCAATTTATAATATCGCTCAAACAACTTATTGTTTGTTTCGTGACGTCATGAACAATGGCGCTGACACAAACGACTACAACCATGCGAATGAGTACATTTTCTGTTGATATTGGATCGTTGCTTTCTTTTGTGCCTTCAACACCACCACCGCCTAGGCGTAATTGAGACAGTGGATGAGTTGGGTTTTAGGCCGCTTTTATAATATTCCAGCAGTATTTGGGCGGTCTGAACGTCGCGCGCCGTCCGGGTACGATGACACTGGATAGACAAAGGTACCGAGCCTGACAACTCGATTCAAGTTAGTATTCTCTTACGACAAGCCATAAAGTGGCATTCTATCTATCCCAGGACCCACGTGTTAATTTCTCTGATAAATAACCATGACCGATTTGGCACAATATTCTTGTCTTAAACGCAGCAGAGTTAAACATTTGGAAAGAAACTGAAGTTTGGTTTGGTCTGTTTGTTGTTTAACGCCGCAACCAGCAATATTTCAGCTACATGCATGACGGGAGTCTTTAAGTCATCGAGTCTGGACCAGACAATCCAGTGATTGACATGAGGAGCATTGATCCAAGCAATTTGGATATCACGAACACATTAACTCATCAACCAAGTCAGCAAGCCTGACCACCTTATCCCGTTAGTCGCCTCTTACAAGCATGGGTTGCAATGTTCACCCTAGTATACAAAAACAAAAAAAGGCAACCGAGGAAATGTGTAAATCTCGTCATACAACTGGGTCAAAATTTTGCAAGATTCTTTGAATAACACGTAATAGAGGCAGAGAAGAAGAATATATTTTGATTAGATAACTTTAGTTCGATACTAAAATTAACGCTTTGTACTTTTTTGTACTGTGTCGGGTCATAAATACATTGTGCAATGTGTTTACAGTAAAACCTTGTTAATCCGGACCGTACGGTCTGCAATGACATTGTCCGGTTTAACGAGTAATGGGAACGGATTAATGGTCATACATTCACAACGAGATCATACAGAACACGGCGTTGCCGTATAACAGTGTCCGGATTAACGAGGTTTTACTGTGTGACCTTTTTTAGTGTAAGACAAACGACGTCAGTGTACTAAACGGCATTACAACGTCAATGTGATAAAGGGGCGGTCGGGTAGCATAGTGGTTAAAGCGTTCGCTCGTCACGTAGAAGACCCGGGTTCGATTCCTCACATGGGTACAATGTGTGAAGCCCATTTCTGGTGTCCCCCGCCGTGATATTGATAGAATATTGCTAAAAGCGGCATAAAACCAAACTCACTCACACAACGTGATAAAGGAACTTGATGTCGTGTTTATAACAGAGGGACAAACTTAAACCAAGTTCTATTTGAGAAACGGGGGCACGGGTGGCCCAGTCGTCTAAGTCGCCGTGATTCGTTGTGCAGAGTTGCGTCCCTTGGGCACGCCAAGAACCTATGATTGTGGGTTCGAATCCGGGTTCGCCCCGATTATGTTTCTGTTTTTGTCAGCACCATACCCGTGCTCGTGGGTTTCACCGAAGTGGTAAACGTCTGAGACCTGCATCATTTCAGGCTTTCCTCCCACATTAAGCTAACACGCCGTGATATAACTGGAATACTGTTAAAAGCGGCGTTAAACCCAACTCACTCACTATTTCAGAAACATCAGCATTATTAACCATTCAGCAACTTAACGCAAGTTCTAATCCCATTACCTTTGACCTTGATTATTGTGTTCTATATGGCTGATTAATGAATTTGGCAAGTGTTGTCATATGACTCATCTACTGATGGACTAAACCCGTCAATACATGCACATGTCATTACCCGGAAACCAGCCCATGTTAGGGTTGTTCAAAGTTCCATCGGTATTTATTTCCTGAAAAGTGGCACGCCCACTCACATTTGAGCGTGTGGTCGAGCTGGGTAGTAGTGCCTTCTTTCTTCTCCGATACAGGCCTTAAACAGTGAGTATAATTTTCCTATAAATCCACGAAAGTCGAAAGTATTGTGCTTTAATATTCTACATTTATATATCAAAGCCAAAAGTCAGGTGCCAATTCCTTCCCCTGGATCCCGAATTCCACCCAATTTTTCCCTCTGGGTCTCATTGCTCACTAGTGAAACCCTAATACTACGTAACGCATATCGTGTTTATCCTTACAACATTGGGAAAGACAAACGTCCCTCGCTTACCAAACGTCGCTGAAGTTTAATCCTGTTGGAATCTTGGTCAGAATAGGTTCCGAAATCAGGAAACGGATGGTCAGGCTGACTGCGCGTTGCTCGTGCGTTCAGTTACTGGTTTTCCTTGTCCAGACTCAATAATTTAATTAACCAGGCCTTCCACAAAGCGATGGCAGCGCTTCGATTGTACATTTGAGTACAAATGGGGGTTCTCTTCAACTTTCATCCCACCCCTCCCCATCCCGAACCCACTAACCGCATTACACAACCAATTAAGTGAGTGAGTGAGTGAGTTGGGTTTAACGCCGCTTTTAACAGTATTCCTGTTATATCACGGCATGTCAGCTTAATGTGGGAGGAAAGCCCGAAGTGATTGAGGTCTCAGACTTTTACCACTTCGGTGAAACCCATAAGCACATGCATGGTGCTGACAAACCTAGAAACATAATCGGGACGAACCGGGATTCGAACCCACGGCATAGGTTTCTGGCGCAACTCTACACAGCGAATCACGGCGCTTTAAACGACTGGGCCACCCGTGCCCCCAATACAATCAATTAAGATCAAGATCGGGGTAGGGTAGGGGATTGGGGTCAAAGGCTATCTCAGCTATATGGAGGTGGGATGACGTGTGGGGGATAGGGGTCCGGAAGTTTAAAAAAATGGGTGGGGGTGCAAAATATGATATGTTCTTATTCTGACCAATCCCACCAATCCAAGTTATGAATAAATGTATGCTATAACTGTGATTGAGTTTGGAAACAATTGTATTTTTATTCATCGTGTGACTTTTTGTCTTCGTGTCTTTGATGAGACGTCGCTGTGCATGTTAATGAGTTGTCACGATCCATGTTGATGAGACGTCGCTGTGTATGTTGATGAGACGTCATGGTGCATGTTGATGAGACATCACGGTCCATGTTGATGAGATGTCATGGTGTATGTTGATGAGACATCGCTGTGTATGTTGATGAGACGTCATGGTGTATGTTGATGAGACGTCATGGTGCATGTTGATGCGGTGTCGCTGTGAATGTTGGTGAGACATTGCTGTGTGTGTGTTGATGAGACGTCGCTATGTATGTGGATGAGACGTCACGGTCAAAGTTGATGCGATGTCGCTGTGAATGTTGGTGAGACGTTGCTGTGTGTGTTGATGAGACGTCATGGTGCATGTTGATGAGACATCGCTGTGAATGTTGGTGAGTCGTTGCTGTGAGACGTCATGGTGTATGTTGATGAGACGTCACGGTGTATGTAGATGAGACGTTGTTGTGTGTGTTGATGAGACGTTGCTGTTGGTGTTGATGAGACGTCACGGTGTATGTTGATGAGACGGCACGGTCCATGTTGATGAGACGTTGCTGTGAGTTTTGATGAGACGTTGCTGTGGGTGTTGATGAGACGGCACGGTCCATGTTGATGAGACGTTGCTGTGAGTGTTGATGAGACGTTGCTGTGGGTGTTGATGAGATGACACGGTGTATGTTGATGAGACGTCACGGTGTATGTTGATGAGACGTCACGGTGAAATGTTATGAGAAGTCACGGTCAATGCTGATGAGACGTCACGGTCCATGCTGATGAGACGTCTCTGTGTATGTTGATGAGACGTCATGGTATATGTTGATGAGACGGCACGATCCATGCTGATGAGACGTCTCTGTGTATGTTGATGAGACGTCATGGTGTATGTTGATGAGACGTCACGGTGTATGTAGATGAGACGTTGCTGTGAGTGTTGATGAGACGTTGCTGTGGGTGCTGATGAGATGACACGGTGTATGTTGATGAGACGTCACGGTGACATGTTAATGAGAAGTCACGGTCCATGCTGATGAGACGGCACGGTCCATGTTGATGAGACGTGCTGTGAGTTTAGATGATACGTCTCTGTGTATGTTGATGAGACGTCATGGTGTATGTTGATGAGACGTCACGGTGTATGTAGATGAGACGTTGCTGTGAGTGTTGATGAGACGTCGCTGTGTATGTAGATGAGACGTCATGATGTATGTTGATGAGACGTCTCAGTGCATGTTGATGAGACGTCACGGTGTATGTTGATGAGACGTAAGGCTTCATGATGATACATCACAGGGTACGTTTCTGATACGTCACGGTGTATGTTTCACACACGCCTCAGTATATGTTTCTGATACGTCACGGTGTATGTTTCCGATACGTCTCAGTATATGTTTCTGATACGTCACAGTGTATGTTTCCGATACGTCACGATGTAGGGTAATGTTTCACCCATGTGTAAGTTCTATGAGCATGACGTCACAGGGTATATGAAGTCACAGTGTCCAATAGTAATCGTCTGGAATGCTTTAGCTTCCGGACTAAGGACAAATGAGTTTCACTTCTAATATCTTAACACAATACAGTTGCCCTTTCATCGTGTATGAGCTGAGATGTGACTTATGTATACACTCACAGATTATTATTAGTAGTAGTATCGTTGTCCTTGCTGTTGTTGTTATTAATGATTTATGTTCAACTGACAGCACTTCAGCCGGTTACTGCAATGGGGAAAAACGAGATCAGAACTCAGGGTAGGTTCACAATGGAAACACGACAAGACAACGTTGTGATTCCTTCATTTATAGATATTACAGTCAAACTGCAAAATGCGTAGTCGAATGCAATAAATACCACGGTGTCCATTCCTATTTCAATGAAAACATCGGAATTTAGTGACATTCTGCCAATAGTTTTGAAAACATATAATAAAACGAAACACCACAAAAAAACATATGTAAAGGTGCATTTAAAAATCTAAATATTAGACGACCCTTAAGATATCTAACATGATCATGAAGCGTCAGTGTCACTTTTCTATTGACTGTTTTGCTGACAATCTGTTCTTTGGCTTTTTTTCAGATGTAGGCGAAAAACTGCGTTCAGTCTGGCAAAAGGTTAAGAGGTTTTTCTGTGTAAAATGGGGTAAGCGAACATCTTGTAAATATTGTGATAATTTAGTTACATTTTAAATAACCTTAATCCCATAAATTAAATGACATGATTGGAGAGTTCTTAAAAAAACGTTGTGTGGATTGTGCAAACTCCCCAGCAGAAGCAGATTCCCTGTTGGCGTAACGAGTGAGTGAGTGAGTGAGTGAGTGAGTGAGTGAGTGAGTGATACACGATCTTGAAAAGAATGTTCTGATGGACAAGAACCTGGTAAATATCTGTTTTCAGCAAATTTAAAGGCGGCCTTTGCGGGAAGACAGAAAATAAAGGCAAAGCTGCTGGTCACTGAAGCAAATGATGACCTTGACCTTGATGATGAGAGCAAAGACGTGGTGGGAACCAACATGGTTTTGTCAGTTACATTTGAGTGTCAAGGTAACTTTACACACATAAACAAACATAAGACCTGTCTACACGTACCAATGAAGTCATGGTATTTGAGTGAGTGAGTGAGTGATGGTTTAACGCCGCTTTGGACATCACGGTGTGTCCTCTTGACGTGGGAGGAATGATTCAGGCCTTTGGTGAAACCCACCAGCATTGGAATAGTACAAACCTGGAAACATAATGAGGACGAATCTGGAATTCGAAAGCATGATCACTCGTTTCCGGCCCACCTAACGGGAAACCTCTGGTTTCCGGCCCACCTAACGGGAAACCCCTGGTTTCCGGCCCACCTAACGGGAAACCCCTGGTTTCCGGCCCACCTAAAGGGAAACCTCTGGTTTCCGGCCCACGGCCCACCTAACGGGAAACCCCTGGTTTCCGGCCCACCTAACGGGAAATCCCTGGTTTCCGGCCCACCTAAAGGGAGACCTCTGGTTTCCGGCCCACCTAACGGGAAACCTCTGGTTTCCGGCCCACCTAACGGGAAACCCCGGGATTCCGGCCCACGGTCCACCTAACGGGAAACCTCTGGTTTCCGGCCCATCTAACGGGAAACGCCTTGTTTCCGGCCCACCTAACGGGAAACGCCTGGTTTCCGGCCCACCTAACGGGAAACCCCTGGTTTTCGGCCCACGGTCCACCTAACGGGAAACCTCTGGTTTCCGGTCCACCTAACGGGAAACCCCTGGTTTCCGGCCCACCTAACGGGAAACCCCTGGTTTCCGGCCCACCTAACGGGAAACCTCTGAACAGCGAATGGACGACACGGCAACTACTGCCCCAATTTCAATGAGACCTGTGTTGACCTTTTAGCACTTTAACAGAAATGTATAGGTGCATCACTATCTTATTGCCTGGTACTCATTTCCTATTTCTGTTGGCAGAAGAACACGAGTGGATACGAAGACAGTTCAGCACTTCATTTAAGTCATCGCGCGGTTCCAGGGACGAGTTCCTCAATCAGCTGATCCAGCTTCACAGTGCATACGGAGTTCAGGTGCAGCAAATCTACACTAAAGCTGACAAAGCAGACATCGCAGCATCAACTGTCGGGCTTATATCCTCCATGTTGGGCTTCGTTGGTTTTGGATTGACCTTTGCCACCTTTGGAACGAGTCTGATCATCTCGCTGGCGGGTGCTGCTGTAGGTGTTGTGTCAGGCTGTGCCTCCTTTGCTATTCACCGAAAAAGAATGGCAGCCAAAAAGGAAATGTGGAAACAGATCAAAGCCAAGACTGACCAATTCAACCAGGAAAACGAAAGTCTTTTACACATACTTTCGGAGGCTGAATATTTTGGTTTGGTTACATCGGGTGTCTCGGGAATGATTGAGGGGCCAATACAAGTTGGGCTGGGGGCACTTCAAGTGGCCAAGAGTGAGGAATTTCTTCCTTTTGTTGCCGATGTTGGGGCGACCTCTGCTAAAGCATATAAGGGTCTGACAGCTGGAGGTAAAGTGTTGTTCTATGGTGGCTTTGTCTTCAATGTTGTGTCTGCAGTTATAGACGCCTGTACAATCGTCAACAACTCTAAGCGACTTATTAAAGGCGACCTGTGCGACCAGGCCCAGGCACATAACGACATAGCTCGTGTCTATCAACAGTTACGTGATTCGGGAGAATCTGCTCAGGAGTGCTTGCTGTAAATGACCGATTAAACACAAGAGGATACATTTAACACGAAGTGAAAAGGGTCTGGATGGACATTTTCTCAACATATGTAACAATTCTGGGACTTTTGTTGGAGGCAGTATATTTTTTAGTCAGTCGGGAACAAATAGTTGGTACACACCCCACACCTAACCAAGAGGAAGGACCACTTATGCTCGTGGTCTGTCAGCACTATTCCCGTGTATTTTAGACCTGCATTCCTTTGCATTTTGATCTTTCCGTCCACCTCAAGCTGACACCATAACAAACTGAACTACTTTGGCACCCAATCTTGTCCACGGTATTCTGGACAATCTTTCTAGTTCAGAACACAGACGAGCCTAGCCATGGATTGAGCGGGGGTGGAAAAAAAACCCTGTAAAAACTGCATATGTTACTCGGCAAATAAATTGGGAATATGAAGCTATATTACTTTGTTTGATCATCTGGCCTCACATTTATTTTCTTTGCTTAGTTTACGGATCCGTCGACTTAAAAATAACAAATTCAGATCACGTTTTACGATGCCGATGGTAAAGTTCGCTTTGACAATAAACAATCAAAGGAAGTTTTATGACTAAAACAGAAATTGTTCAACGATAAATCACCGTTTTGTTTATCACTTTACCGATTCAAGTTAAACTTTAAGATGATGAAAACACTCCCGTACAGTGCTTTTTATTTTAATTTATTATTCGACCTATCGGCCAAAGGTTTCACAAACGAAATCCGTAAATCAAAAAGGAAGTCTGGCCTTACCTAACGTTGCAGTCAACAATAACCCAGCTATATAAAAGATGTCTGTATATGGGCCTACAGAGGTTGGTTGCATGACCAACAGGCCCTTGAAGATCCGGGGTAGAAAAGGTCTTCAGCAACCCATGCTTGCCGTTACAGATGACTACGAATGCTTGTCGTAAAAGGCAACTAACGGGATCGGTCAGGATCGCTGACTAGGTTGATGCATGTCATCGAATTCCAATTGCGTGTGTCATGATGTCAATAACTGTTCGGTCCAGACTCGATTATTTACAGACAGCCGTCATATAGCTGGAATATTGCTGAATGCGAAAAAAACAACAAAGAAACAAACAAAACACGACCAACGCTCCACGCCATCGGGGCACAATCACACACAATATTGTTGCATGTAGCCATGGTCGCAACTGTAACTTAACTCTTTAAAAGTAAGGGTACATGTAGATCAGTTATTGCCTATCATATCTGTAAAGGCGTTGATCATTTACTATTCTGACAAGCAGAATAGTTTTCGTTCAGTTTCAAGACATGCCAAGACATACGTTTTCGTTTCAAACCTGAGGCAAAGTTATTTTCCTAGTATAATCTGGGGCGGTCGGGTAGCCTAGTGGTTAAAGCGTTCGCTCGTCACGCCGAAGACCCGGGTTCGAATCCCGACATGGGTACAATGTGTGAAGCCCATTACTGCCGTCCCCCGCCGTGATATTGCTGGAATATTGCTAAAAGCGGCGTAAAACCATACTCACTTTGGTATAATCTGGAACACATTATTGTTTATTACAAATACTTGGGCCCAGATACCCCCAAAACAATCTCTGTGTTGCTATCTGTGTTGAAACATGGGAAATTCCATCGTCCCGCGGCAAAGGTGGTAACTGACTTTATAAGCATAGGCTCAGATCGCTTTGTCGAATATGGCCCAGCACACACAATAACATACGCTGCAGGCACTGCATTAATATAAAGGGCCGCTCTGGTTCAAACAAAATCTTTGGCATCTCATATTACGGAATTCCCGGTCTGAAAATATTAATAGGCCCACGTCAGTTTGCCAATATTCATTTTACGGATTGTCCAAACCAAAAGAGTCTGATGTGGCACTATAAGTATCCCCATACCTGCTAATACAATACGTTCACATTCCCACATTGACGCTCTGCATGCTAACTACAAAGGATATACGAACAAATCCAGCATTGGAAAAGGCAGATCGCAGTCACTCACGGCGTCTAAACATCGAGTGAATGTAAAGTCGTGGATTTATCAGTGTAGGTGCCGTCTAGAGGTAAGCAACGCCTAGTTTCTAGTTCCAAAGACTGTGCTATAATATCTTCACACTCTGCTCCGAATTTCTTTGTGAACATTGTGAAAGGCATCGGACATCCCACGTCATATGCGGATCACGGTGTATTACACAAATACATAACAAATACATAAGCATAGGCTTATAAAAAAACATATAAAAATAACGACCGTCTTTGACCGTGTTACTGAGGTATTAGCTACACAGTACAGCCAGACATCTGATATTGATCGACAGTGGTCTTGTTCTGTTCCAAATGACGCAGTCTAGCGGGGTCCGTAACATACACATCAGTTACCTTTGATGTAACGCCGCAATGATTCTCTTTCACAAACTGTAAACAGTGAGTATGTCTTGTGTGACCCCAATACACCTTAATGTCAAAGCAATGGAGGATACAGACATGCACTCCCCTCCCCTCCCCTCGTCATAATGAATACATTATTCGTCGCTGGTCTTTGTCTGGTTCCATTGTTCCATAGTTAGTAGAGTCGGTGAACACTCGAATGATCGTGGTCAGCATGGCTGAAGATTTGAATTCGGCTGAATGTATGTGGATGTGAGAGCATTAACAGCTGCAACTTTGTCAGCGGAGGAGGAGACAGTTTTGATCAGTGAGTTCTTTCGTCTCAAACAGTATCACGTGTCACCTTGACATATGTACAGGGGCGACAACTCTGTCTTGTATACCGAGGCTGGTGAGACTGGTTCTTGTAGCCGTATTGTCGACAGATCTTTTATAGGAGCTGGAAAACTGTGGAAATGACTAATGTGACATGTGTATTTAAGTGAAAAGTCAAGTTTAATTTCCTATTCAGGAAATAAAGATTTACAAGGTACCTTCATTAAAACTTAAAGTATTGATGTGTGTATCCTTCATAGTTTATTGTTTAATATTGGTTTGTTTCCCCCTGCGTGTGGGTCTTTCTAATTATACAATTGTATCAAACGTGTCATGTTTTTGTTATAAATGAACCAATAGCATGGATTTCTTTTCTTATTCCATATTTAGTTTTAGTTCGGTTGACTTTGAGCAATGTGTTTGTATGCAGGGTAGACAGCAACAAACTCCCCCTCCCCTGGCTATAAGAGACACAACAGAAATTTAAAAAACGAACTCATTTTCAGTGTACTCGTTGCCATGTAATGTTCTTGAGAACTGGTCAGTTTGTTGAAAGTCTTACATTCGGTTGCTTATAGGCCTTCAACGTGTGTCAGGCTCCCCTTTCTGTCTCATAAATACTCCAAATGTAGGTTCTAATACATCTTTCTTTCATTAATCTTTTATTTGCAAGGGTTACATTCACAGGCAGTCTTGTACTTCGTTTACAGAAGCAACACCCTTGATTACAACACCTGCAGCAGACAGTTACTATGGGTAACAACGGGAGCCGAGGCCGAGGTAAGACCGGATGTCGTTTCCGAATAATGTTCCTCACATGTTAAAGTTATTATCCAATCATCACAGCAAACTATTTTCATTATCATATACATGTACAGCGGTATAACTCCTATTTCTATATGCTAACACCCGGGGTAATGCCTTCCTTGAACATCAGCGGAATTGGCGATTTATATAATTCGGGATCAAAGTTAATGTTGATTTCTTAGTGTAATATTGAAACCAACGTCATCACGCAATAAACTGATTATTTGCTTATAAAACATTCCTTCCGCGGGGACATCCCAATATGTCCTTCCTCCTAGCGACTGAATTAGATATAGTTGATCAGTTACGTGCTCGATTACGCGTCATAACCTGGCGACATCGAAGGTTGCTCATATTATCAACCACTGATTTTTTCTGACACAGACTCCATTATTTACAGACCGTCATAGTGTTGCTTGGATGTTTTTGGCGTTAAAACATATACTCACTCAATATGCCGTCCTATGATCGTTTGATTTTATTCTAAATCTACTCTTTCTAGTTCACTCATAGTGTATATATATCCTTCTTTTCAGCAATAAAAAAATGTGTACTTTCTGCCTGTAAAGCAGTTCAAAGATATGTCCTTGTAAAATGGGGTAAGTGAATTTGCAACTTTATCTGTGACAGTTTCCATATAACCAGGAGGAATAGTTATACAAGGCACTTAATAAAACAATCTTAGCGTCAGCTCCATTTGCTGCGATTCCCGCTTGAGTCTAATGCTGATTTGCACCGGCCTTCACAAGCTCAGTCAGAGAGCAAATTACAAGATCGTGGACATACTGTAGACCCTCTTGAAACACCTAAATATGTCCTTTGAAAATGTATTTTATTGGAATTCTGAATATCAAAACACGAAGGAGTCGAGTTTACTGCCGAGTGTATATGCAGTATTGTTCTTCTACAGCAAACTTCAAGGCAGTTTTTGTTGGAAGAAAGAAAATGAAAGCGACCCTACTTGTTACTGATGCTACTGATGACTTTGACCTGGACGATGAGAGCACTGACTTGGTTGGAACTAACATGGTGATGACGATTACGTTTGAGAGTCCAGGTAATGTTATAGTACCAAAGTGATAAGGTCCTAGAGGTTTTACCACTTTGGTGAAACCTCAGCACGGGCTTGGTTCTGACAAACAGAATCATATTTGGGGGAATCGACAATTCGAGCATCAGATTCTGGCACGACAAAGTGGCACGTTGCACAGCGAGTTGTTGCAACGGAAATCTAAAAACATTACGTTCCAACTGTATATTTCAATTAATCGAAATAATCTGTTTGCTTGTAGATGAACTTGAATGGATACGGAGACAGTTCACGGCTTCCTTTAAGTCTACGCGGGGATCCAGGGACGAGTTTCTCAATCATCTGATCCAGCTTCACTATACATACGGCGTAGAGGTAGAGAAAATCTACTCTGATGCTGACAAAGCAGACATTGCCGCAGCAACTGTCGGGATGATATCCTCCATATTGGGCTTCGTTGGTTTTGGATTGGCCTTTGCCACCCTTGGAACGAGTCTGATTGTCTCGCTGACGGGTGCTGCTGTAGGTGTTGTCTCAGGATGTACATCATTTGCTATTCACCGAAAAAGAATGGCAGCCAAAAAGGAAATGTGGAAACAGATCAAAGCCAAGACTGATCAATTCAACCAGGATAACGAAAGACTTTTACACATACTTTCGGAGGCTGAATATTTTGGAATCGTCACTTCGGGTGTCTCAGGAATGATTAAAGGTCCGATAAAAATTGGACTGGAGGCAATTGAAGTGGCGCAGATTGACGAGGTTCTTCCGATTCTGGCAGATGCTGGGACTACAGCAGCAAAGGCATCTAAATCTGTGGTTAAAGGGTTATCAGCGTTTGGAAAAGTGTTGTTCTATGGCGGTTTTGCCTTCAACGTCGTGTCTACAGCTATCGACGGCTATACAATCATCAGCAACTCTAAAAGACTTATAAAGGGCGAGCTTTGCGACCAGGCTCAGGCACATTATGACATTGCTCATGCCTATGAACAGTTTCGTGACTCAGGGGCGTCAAGTCAAGAATGCTTGCTGTAAAGACCATATAGAGGCGGCAGTCACCGTGAAAATTCCGGGGTAGAAATGGTCTTCAGCAACCAATGCTTGTCGTAAAAGGCGACTAACGGATCTGGTGGTCAGGGACGCTTGATCAATTGATTAATCACTGGTAGATTATTTACAGACCGCCGTCATGTAACTGGAATATTGCTGCGTGCTGCCTTACATTACACATACATAAACAAACAAACAAACAAACAAAGAGGGGACAGACAGACGTTGGCACGAAGTAAGGTTAAGTGAATGATGCAAATTCTATCATAGTTTGGGGTTAGATCAAAGGTGCTTCCCTTCATCACACAGACAACAGTTAATCTCCATTGTACTGTTCCAACAGTATCATGAGCATGTGTTCACTCTCAGATAATGATCATTCAAGGTGTTCGTGAAAAGGTGAGGCAAATATAAAATCAGTCCAGTGAGCGAGTGCTGGTGTAGGCCACCGTAAGCAGTATCATGTCAGTAGCTGTTATAACCTACCACCAAGGTCATGTACAGAATAGAGGCTACATTATGCTGTTTGACAGCTTCTATCTAAACATATTTACAATCCAATGTTGAGTAGCATATTTAACAGCTCATCAATTAGGTGTAATGTGATGTTGATGAGCTCATATTTTGATTATGTCCTGAACTTTGATTTAAAGTTCAAAAATATTTTGCTACAAATCATTAAACCTGGAATACATTTTGAGTTTTGTGCTGGAATGAGTGAATGTTGTCCAACACAGCAGTGTGCCATCTATATCACAGTCATTCATGATTAATGGAAACCAGAGGACCACCCTTCTGTGACATTAGGTAAGATGGCACACAACCAAGTCACAGTCTGGCCTGGTCACAAGTGTACCACCAATAACCTTCCACCATGACTGCGGAATATAATATTTTATGAAACCCAAACCAGAATCTTAATTATAAAACAGTAAGTTTAGCTAGCTCTATTCCACATAACCATAAAATCAACACTCGAAAAATAGAGGAGAGAAATGCATTGTGCTATAAAATAATCCACAGACAATATGTTAGTCTAAATATAAGCGACAACAACCAGTTCCAAAATCATAAGAAATCTCCATTGTACTGCTCCAACAGTGTCATGAGCATGTGTTTATGAATCACTCAGTAAAAACAAAGTTACATGAACTTTAATGACAGTTGGATAGACGCGATCATTTTGCTAACACTCCAATAGTTTGAGTATGGGTACTAAATCGTCCAATGGTTTTCCTTGAAAGGTTAAACAAGAGCGTTCACCCTCCAATAGTATAGCATAGTTTTGTAAATATCACTTGTAGATAAGTTTGAGGCATTAACTTGATCGAACTTTGTTTTAAGCCTAACAGCCTCGAACAAGCTTCACATGCGAAAATAATCACGAAATTTCAGACATTCTCCTATACATAATGATCATACATTCAAGGTGTTCGTGAAAAGGTGAGACATGAAGTACTTGGTAACTATTGTTTCCCTGAACCTGGAAAGGGGAGACATTGCAAGAAACATACACTGTTTATGACACCAGCAGCTATTAGCAGGGTGGGATTTGGGATTTGTGACGATGTTCCATAGTGACTTGGTTCAACACTGCTTATAACCCTGGTTTTCGTTAGACAAAAAGAATGTTCAAAGTCTTTTCTGTATCAGAGTGGATCACATCTTCATTCTATTCTGATATCATTGATGAATGAGTTTAGATTAATGCCACTTTGTTAGTATTACAGTTATATGATCGCATATCAGCTTTATTTGTGTCTTAGACATTTACAAATTTGGGGAGTGAGTGAGCATAGTTTTACGCCGATTTTAGCAATAATCAAGCAATATCACGACAGAGGACACCAGAAATGATCTTCATACATTGTACCTATGTCAGTAATCGAACCCGGGTCTTCGGCGTGACAAGCGAATGCTTTAACCACAAGGCTATCCGACCACCCCTCCAACTTTGGGAAAATCCACGGGCACACGTATGGTGCTAAGAAACCAAGAAACAACTGGGGTGAATCTAGTATTTGAACCAATGAGCATTGCTTTCTGGCAATCCTAAGGGATGCAATTCTGCACAGCAAACTGCCACTGCCATAGACTATAAGACCACCTTTGCAACTACAATTGAGGATGAGCCTTTTACCTCTTAAAGTCTTTGGTGAATCACATGAGCATGGGAATGGTTCTGACAAACCAAGGACTATAAGTAGGGCAATCTGGGATTACAACATGCAGTCATCCTAACGTCCAAACAACTCTGAGATGCAACTGTAAATGAAGGATGTGTGGATATTTTCCAATAAATCTGATGTCAGTTTTGTGAAGCGATTCACCTTCATTTACAGGATTTTTCTGTTTGGTGTTGGAGAAATGCAACCTTAGCTGACAGAGATTCTTATCTCGTTGATTGAAACACACGACTGAAACAATAGTTAGTACAAATAAAAAGAGCACTGCCCTTGTTGTACTCCATTTGGAACTGTCCAATCATGTTCATTTTGGAAACACAATAGGCTGCTCCAAAAACTTTGCTTGATCTATATATGATCTCTATATAGAGCAAATGGAAGGGACTGAAAAAAACCACCCAGTTTCTGTAAATCCATCAGTTATAAGCGTGTTCGTTATAAATGTGGTGTACTGTACATTGTTTTATAAGGTTGTTTGTATCCATGAAAAGCTACAAAATGCCAGAAAGTTTATTCAAATAATTCATACTGTTTGAGTAACTACAGTACCAACATGTCTGACATCGGAACTGTTTCACAACTAAAATATATAACAGAAGTCCGTAATAGGTACCATCTCATTATTTATTTTCTCCACTGAATGTATTTTTTTAATTTTGTCTTGACAAAATACCTATACAAATGACACTGTCTCCATTAACATTGGACGTATTGACTTAAACAGAACTGAAAGTTACATGAATCGGAGATCTTGAGACACTTTGAGATGATTAATTTTCTTGATTATGTGCAAAAGCTTTCAAACCAAATCAGTGAAAGATCCATCGACATGATTATATGACAGTGACAGAGTGATAGACACAGATTAGGGTGAACTTAAGAAAGAAGTGACAGACATGGTTCTATTTACAAATGATACAAACCGATGATATAATGCTACACAAGGAACTCTCCATAGGTGGAAAAATACAGTCAGATTTATGACAGCAGTTTAACGAGATTATTACCAGCGTATGACTGTTTTAATGTGAAAGAGATCACACATTACACAGTTCTCCCATTTCCCCTGCTGGTACAATCCATTTTAAAATTCTTTTCAATGCAAAACTGTACTGACTGAATTTCCAAGGATTTTCAGTGTTTTGGTCAATACACCTACTGACAAAATGATAGCATCCGTTATATATTATCCCCTAAACTGTGGCATAATAAGTCGTAAACTATTCAGGCACACCACCCAGACTACATGATTAAAAGATGGTCATATGTCTCACTTCAAATGTTTCAGCATTTACATTTCTAGATCAATCTAAGAAAATAGATGTTAGAAAATAAAAAACTGAAAAGAAAAGGAGTTAATGATAATCAGTTCTCTTTTGAAATCGTGTTGCATGATAAAAGTTAAATTAGAAAAATCATTTCCTGATATAAAACATTTTGGCAGTCCTATGTAATTCTTGGTACAAAACTTTCTTCATTTCATCCAAGATTTAAGTACCTATGGCTAAACATTCACAAGTGCAATAGACTGTTTCAGTTTTCAACATACTGGTAACCTTGTACCAGAAAGTCCACACTGTCATTAATGATAACTGATATATACAATTAGCACTTGTACACAAACAACAAGTTCTCCAGATCTTGTATTTCTAAAAGCCGGGAGTATCTTCTATCCTTGTTCGCTTTGATGTCGCCCTTTTCTTGCCTCCTGTTTTCTCGTTTTCCTTGTCATTGATGCCTGATGTTGTGGATCGCGATGACGTATGTTGTACATGCCGTGACACTGTGGAAACTCCATCAACAAACTTGGTCTTGTACAGTACATTAGCATTGTTGAACATACCATCCTTGAGGGAGACGACGATGAACTGAAATGCAATAAACATATATGTCCTAGAGAAATCATAGCTTGATTGGGTGAGCGAGTTGAGTTTTAACGCCACTTTGAACAGTATAAAGTTATATCATGGCTTGATGTCGGAGGCAGTGCTTGAAGTGATGCATGACACAGACTCTTAGGACCTCGGCGTGATGAGCGAACGCTTTAGCCAATCGGCTATCCCACCACTCCTACGAGAAAAACTTAGAAACAAAGTATTAAAAGAATCCATGCTGCCATAGTCTGACGATCAAATCACAGCAGTGATAATATGCCAGTATTTTCACACTATGATATGAAGATTTGTTTGTTGTTTAACACCGCATTCAGCAATATTCCAGCTATATGACAGCAGTCTGTAAATAATCGAGTCTGGGCCCCACAATCCAGTGATTGACACCATGAGCATCGATCCATGCAATTGGAATACTTTGACATGCATCAACCAAGTCAGCGAGCCTGACCACCCGATCCTGTTAGTCGCCTCTTACGACAAGCATAGCCGCCTTTTACAGTAAGCATGGATTGTTGAAGACCTATTCTACCCCGGATCTTCACTGGTCTATCACTATCACACATGTACTTCCAAGTATTCACCACAACCTGGCATTCTACACCACTAAATCCCCTCTTTAGAATGAGCAAAGTGTATCAAACCCCTTTATTTCACTGGTTCCCTACAAGGAGCGACTATTACCTGCGAGTGTTTAAAGTGAGACTTGATCATCTGGCCAATGTTCTGAGTATGTGAGAGATCAAGAGCCGCATCAACCTCATCCAGGATGTAGATAGGTGCAGGTTTAAACAGCAGCATGGACAAGATGAGGGACAATGCCACTAAGGATCTGGAAGAGAGGAGTCAGTGAGTTTAATGCTACTTTGAATAATTTTTCAGACATGTCGACACAATTGATAACCAGTGTTAGAAATGAGAGAGTGACGTTGGCCCAGATATGGTCAACGACCTGGTGGATGTGCTGGTGGACGCTGAACGCACATCTTTTGGCGTTAGAGCCATTCGGGCGATTCGTCCCAAATAGATTAAGAAAAAAGATAAACCATGGTTCAATAATGAACTAGTTCCATAGTCCTTGCCAAACTGCCCAATAGTTAAGGTATCTTAAAACTGTTAGTGTCTACCGCTGATAACATGCTCCCCAGTCTGGTGGCTATGTTTAGTCAAGAGCGAGATGTTTCAGTAAGTGCCATGTGTGAAATGAAAAGTAATAGTATTATAAAATAATCAATCATGTCTCACCTTTGACCTCCGCTAAGTTCACCTAATGATTCCTTCCACACATCACCAAATGCGACCTTGACCTCCAGGCCATCAAGGACAGTCTGCCCTTCAGGGGGTGAGAGTTTGGCCTGTGTTCCAGGAAGTAGGGTTGAGAAGATGGAACCAAAGTCCTGAAACAAACACCTCTCCATAAAAATGTCTTATAACAAAATGTCGGAGATCAAATGAGATCCAAAAAACTTCAAAACATGAGAAGTGCTGTTAGTGTGTGATTGGGTCAAGTTTGACACTATTTTAGACACTATTTCATTAATATCACCACGTGTCACCTTACATAGAAAACCCAAGGGGAACAGCTAACAGACCAAGGACCATAAACATGCCAGATCTGGAATACAAATCTCTTATCAGTGGATCCTGGCAAAACTAAGGGGCATAACTATCTACATTGCAATGGCACTACAAATGCTGATAAAACTTCAGCAATCTTGTACAAGAGGGTTGTGGGATTTCTGAATCATGTCAATCCTCACATCTTTGGAAAATTATTTCATATAATCATTCAGTATTAACCGACTTCTGACGCTACAGTTTTGAAACTATTTGACAGCGGGTTTAATAGTCCAGGTGAAATATGGAAGGACATTCAAGAAAGATTTCTTTTCCCGAGAATGTTATGTTACATCAACCCCGAGTCTGACTGATGCTCTGGACTAGGTGGATTTGACCACATAATGCACAGATTATAAATTCTATTTAATATCTAGAATAATTGTTGAAAGTCATTTTAAGAACAGCACCTAAAATGACAAAATCTTGAAATGATTACTACAAACTGTTCTTTCATTGAGGGCATAAGTTATAGAAACAAATTCTGGCAAGTTTAATTTCTGCGGATACTTTTGACAGAAGTCAACTAGTCCTGATGCAATTTACATCCAACTCCGGACATAATATCCTCTGTATCGCAGGTCACAATATAGGTATGAAACCAACCTTGTTGACCTGCTCCCAAGCTTTCTTCAAAGCTTCGTTCTTCTTTTCATCCAGTTCATTGATGACTGCAGCAATTTTGGCTTTGTCGTTAAGGACAATCTTCCTCTTCTTCATTAGGTCATTGTACTGCAAGGATAAATTACATATTATTCACCAAGAACTGACATTCGTACATAACAAATGTTTTCGTCAGTTTTTTTGTTTGGCATTTGCACTCCTCAAGACTCAAACAATATGATGGCGGCCTGTAAATAACATTCCAGTGATTGACAAAATCATTGATCAACGCTACTGGGATTCAGTAAATTGTTATCAACAAAGTCATCAAGCCTGACCACCCAATCCATGACCATTTAGTCGCCTTCTACTACAAGCTACATTGCAGGAACCTGTTTCTTACAAGAATCCCCACAAGGAGACAAACATAGGTTTCTGGGGACCTGTATTCTAAAACGGAATCCCCATTGGTGTGCAATGAATAATTCTGATGATAATGAGTCATGCATTTAGGTAACCTATTTCTGTAACTTTCTAATAATTAACAAAAACAAAAAGTCTAAAAACAACCCCAAAATACAAATAACAGCAATCTGATTAAGTTGAGTCCCAACAAACCTGTTCTTCTGCCTTGCCCAACATATTCATGGCCCTCATGTTGACATTCTTGGAGAGTTTGTCCTTGGTCTCCTGCAGTTTCTGGATCCTGCGTTCTGCTTCTTTGGGATTGTTGGTCTCGAAGTCATAGGCCGTATTTGGCTGACCAAAGTACTTCTTCTCATCAGCTATCCAGTCATACTTCATTATCATGGCCTCAACCTACAACAAAATTGTGTCAGTCTTCAAGTGGCCACAGGAACCAGTTAATTAGGAACTTCGTGAAATTATGAAAAAGTCATACATGATCAGTTCAAAAAGATTTTATTTTGGACAGAGAACTATGAAACGGGATACAAGAGGCGCTTGTATTCCCTTCTCTAAGATGTTTGTTTGTTTGTTGTGTAATGCTGCAATATTTCAGCTATTAGGGGACAGTCTGTAAATAAATGAGTCTGGACCAGACAACCTAGCAACATCATGAGCATCAATCTTTGCCACTGGGAGATGATGACATGCCTCAACCAAGTCAGGAAGCCTAACCAACCGATCCTGTTAGTTGCCTCTTACAATAAACATGGTTTGCTGAAGACCATTTCTAAGCCATATCTATACAGGATACTCTACAATGCCTTAGACTGGCAGCTTAAATCAACCTCATTGCAGAAATCCTTAAGGTATTCATCAACATGGTCAACTTTAAGTAAGGAGAGTTCAAAAGTAATGTGATGTTGATAAATTGACCAACAAAATATTTTCTTTGCCATTTTTTTTACATAAATACCAAATACCTATACAAATAACTCAAATCAAACTTGTAAAAAGAATCCCAATCATGGTGAGAGTTTCTAATCATCAACATCTGGTACCAGTAACTCACCTGCTTCACAGCATCTCGGGAGTCTTTCTGGTGTTTGGTAATCTTGTGTTCCATCTCCTGGATCTTGAGCTGAGCGCTGTTGTTCTCCTTCTGCAGGTCCCTCTGAGCTGCCACCATGCTGTTGATGTCCTTGTTGCGCGACTTGAGCAGCTCCTTCTGCTGGTTCACCTCTCCCTGGGCCTCTTTCACTGCAGCCTGCACACACAGGGGAGACAGGGGGTCAGAGCATGGGCCCTCTAGCATGTCAATCCACTATACACACAGGGGGTCACAACATGGGCCCTCTAACATGTCAATATACCATACACACAGGGGAGACGGGGGTCAGAGCATAGGCCCTCTAGCATGTCAATCCACTACACACAAGGGAGACAGGGGGTCAGAGTATGGGCCCTCTAGCATGTCAATCCACTATACACACAGGGGGTCACAACATGGGCCCTCTAACATGTCAATATACCATACACACAGGGGAGACGGGGGTCAGAGCATAGGCCCTCTAGCATGTCAATCCACTACACACAAGGGAGACAGGGGGTCAGAGTATAGGCCCTCTAGCATGTCAATCCACTATACACACAGGGGGTCACAACATGGGCTCTCTAACATGTCAATCTTCTACGCACAGGGGAGACAGGGGGTCAGAGCATGGACCCTTTAGCATGTCAATCCACTATACACACACGGGCCACAGTATGGACCCTTTAGCATGTCCATCCACTATACACACACGGGCCACAGCATGGACCCTTTAGCATGTCAATCCACTATACACACACGGGCCACAGCACGGACCCTTTAGCATATCAATCCACTATACACACACGGGTCACAACATGGACCCTTTAGCATATCAATACACTATACACACACACGGGTCACAGCATGGACCCTTTAGCATGTCAATCCACTATACACACACGGGCCACAGCATGGACCCTTTAGCATGTCCATCCACTATACACACACGGGCCACAGCATGGACCCTTTAGCATATCAATCCACTATACACACACGGGCCACAGCATGGACCCTTTAGCATGTCAATACACTATACACACACGGGCCACAGCATGGACCCTTTAGCATGTCCATCCACTATACACACACGGGCCACAACATGGACCCTCTAGCATGTCAATACACTATACACACACAGGTCCCAACATGGTCAGAGCACACAGTCACTGGAGGCTGTGGCTTGAATCATTACAAAATGTAACTACACAGCATAGTGGCTGTACGTATTCATTGGTGATGGAAGAACATGGTGCATACAAGCCTGAGCAAATGAGTGAGTGCGTGAGTGAGTTGGGTCACTGCTTTGAACATAATGCCAGTTCATCACAGCGTGTCAGCTTAATGTAAGAGGAAAGCCTGAGGTGATGCTGGATTTACCACTTTGGTCAAACCCATGAGCACAGGTATGTAGCTGACAAACCTAGAAACATAATCAGGTGAACCCAGATTTGAAAATCCAATTATAGGTTCTAGCATGTCCAAGAGATGAATCTCTGCACAGCAAATTGTGGCACCTTAGATGACTGGGCTACCCGTGCCCCAATACAATCCTGTGCAGTATTGACAATGCACAATAGAGACATATCTACATTATTATTGGAGTTTGAAATTAAGCCTGAAAGTCACTATTTCCAAACCCTGAAATGGTTCCCTGATGTGATGCAATGAGAATCATACTACACTATAGTCCAGTTTTCAATTTAATTCAGTATTGGTGCAAACACATCCCCATATATCACAATAAGTGATTTGAAACAAAGATCAGCTTTGATGATTCGAAATTAAGTAGACAAGTACCAATTTCCTTACTGAATATGTTTGTTTAGCATGAGTAGAACCAGGTCACTGGCCACACTGGTGTGAGTAAAGGAGAAAATGCACATTTGTCTCACAAACAAGATAATAATTCACCATAAGGAAATAAAAACAAGGTGTCAACATAATTGTATTAATTGTCATATAAGAAGCTTTGTTTGTTGTTTAATGCCGCACTCAGCAATATTCCAGTTATATGACGGCAGTCTGTAAATAATCGAGTCTAGACCAGACAATCCAGTGATTAATATCATTAGCATCGATCCACGCAATTGGGATAGATGACATGCATCAACCAAGTCAGTGAGCCTGACCACCTGATCCTGTTAGCCACCTCTTACGACAAGCAAAGTTGCCTTTTACGGCAGGCATGGGTTGCTGAAGACCTATTCTTCCCCCAAATAAGAAGCATGTTGTCAGTTGTTGGTCTGCTGTTGTGGAATATGTAAAATTCAAAATACTTTAGCAAAAACAAAATAATAGAGCAAGGGCACTGTAGCTCACCTGTATATGTAGTCAACAGTTAAAAATGTCAGCAAAAACAAACACTTTCAGCATGGATATTTAAATATTTTACTTTACAAAATGGATGAGTAATGGCGGCCATATTGAAAATCAGATTAGAACCTTTTGAGCAAATTCAGTTGTCACCTCTGGTGGGGACAAGCATGTGAAGCTTCAGCTTCAATGGTCCAGTGGTTTTCGAGAAGATCTTTACGAAGGACAAACAGGTCACAACATGCCCACTTGACTTTCAGCATGTTCAGTCAGGTGAGTTAAAAATGAGTCCTATTTCAGCCTATTCAAAAATAGGATAGGTACTTTTTTCTTCTTTGAAAAGTATTTGAAAGCATTTCATTGTATTTGTGATAGAAAACGTATGATGTCCGAAAACCTATGATCCGACGATATTGTGTCATGATTAATAGTTAAGGGGTTTAGGATGCTGAATGCTCTGATCTAAACAGGACAATCGGGAAAAATTATAATATTTTTTGGAGAATTTTTTAAACATCTTTGATTATATATATTTACCATGTTTGCGAGGAAGATGATTTTTCCCCGAGGACTACTGTCATTTTGGGTAACCAAAATTTTCTATTTGGGCTTTTCCCAGTTTGTAGCATTTCCTACCTTTGTCTCCTGCAGCTTCTCCTGCAGCTGTTTCACCTGCTCATCCAGATCGGCAGTGTTGGTGTCCACAGACTTCAGCTGTTCCTCGTAGTTGACGATCTCCTTCCGCAACTCCTCCGCCTCCAGCTTGATGCTGTCCACCTCCTACACATACACCAATCACTTTGTATTGTGTTCAGTGGATCATGAGGGACAAATTGTAGGAACACCAGAACGTGGAACAAGGAGTCAGTATTATGTCACTTCAGTCTTATTAAAAATTCCATATGAACATCAAAATGTGTCATTTACTTAAGAATTGACATCAATAGTTGTTTTTTTGGCATTTATGGAGGCATTAACATTAAAATCATTGTGCAAAATGTGTAAGTTCACTTAACTTCACAGGCTGGATATTTGATCATTAACACACATAAAATGTAGACAACAGTAAAATACTACTGATATCATTCAGAGCAATATTGCAACACAAACACCGCCCATTTTATTATCAGCATATAAGGTAAAAGTAGTCTGTTAGTGGGTGTCCTCTTTCTTTGAGGGTCATGGAAACAAACGCAAAAGTTATTTGCTTGGTTAGCCAATCAAATCCCACAGAATCACTTGCAGTTTATATATACACGTATGAATGTTAGTTTTGAGGTCATATGACTGGACTAGTTCAGCGCCAAAGATGCACGTTTTGCAAATTTCACATTAAACAATTATTTACTGTAGGTGTTCATAAAAGCATAGGGGTCTGGGGACTTTAGATGGTGAGTGAGTGAGTGAGGTTTTACGCCGCTTTTAGCAATATTCCAACAATATCACGGCGGGGGACACCAGAAATGGGCTTCACACATTGTACCCACGTCAGGAATCAAACCCGGGTCTTCGGCGTGACAAGCTTTAACCACATGTTTCCCTGACCGCCCACTTTAGATGGTGACAGAGGTTGGTCCGACTATAACCTACCACCAGCTTCTCCTTGGTCTTCTTGCTGGACTCCTGCATCTTCTTCTTGAGCTTGTTGACACTGTCCTCCGCCTCCTTCATCTCCTTCTCCCGGATGGCCTTGGCATTCTTGATCTTGTCCTGGAGATCCTTCACCTTCTTGGCAGCTTTATTCTGCGTCTCCTCCGCTTTCTTCAGGATCCCCTCCTGCTCCTCTGTAACACCAAATCTCGCAAGTGGATTCAAGGAAAACATGATGCAAAGCACAATAGGGAGTCAGTGCTGCATCATCATCTTCTTTGTTTGTTGTTTAACGCCCCACTCAGCAATATTCGAGCTATATGACGGGTGGTCAGTACATAATCAAGTCTGGACCAGACAATCCAGTGATTGATGTTATGAGCATCAATCCACGTAATTGGGATACAATGACATGCATCAACGAAGTCAGCGAGCCTGACCACCCGATCCCGTTAGTCGCCTCTTACGGCAAGCAATGGGACAGGCACATTAATCCTAGATAGTTGGAAGAAATACTGCATATCCCTTCAAACTATCTAGGTGTCTTGTTAGAAACTAACAGTTTTAGACCTCTAGTCCTTATAATATAACATATAGCAAAACCCTTCAAAAGGGCAAATTTCTAAAAGTCCTTATGATACCTTAACTATTGGGCAGTTTGGCAAGGACTATAGGACTAGTGCAAATTTCTAAGACTGTGCAGTGCAGTTTGTGGGTTCAATCCTAGATTCACCTCGGTTGTGATGCTTGGACTGCCAGTACTATATACCTGTGCCCTGGGTTTCATCAAACATCTCACCTTTCATTTGTTTGGGCTTTCCTTCAACATCTAAATGCTGTGACATAAGTGAAATATTCTTCAATATGGTATGAATTCACAGACTTAGCACTATGACTGTAAACGCTACAATTCAGTTACAAAAGAGTTACTGAGTTTGGTTTAATATTGCTTTGAACAGTATTTCAGTTATACAGCTGTGTGTCAGCTTGATGTGGGAGGAAAGCCCAAAGGGATGCTGGGCTTTGGCGTATGCCAATGATCGAACCAATGATCATAGGATTCTGGCATGTCAAAGGGAAGGAACTCTACGCAACAAATCACAGCACCAAAACATCCGCCGCCAGTGCCACTGAGTTATAACAAGACAAATGTAATGACCTGGTTTTCTTAAGAGCAATGTCAACAGTGTATAGCCTTCTTACCAATGGAGTTGTTGAGACTGCTGATCTCCTCCAGCTGCTGGTGATGGGTGCTCTGTTCTAGCCGGGCCTTCACAAGCTCTGACTCATGGTTCTTCAACTCATACTGCTGTTTCAGTTGGGTGAACCTAGACAGGAGGGCAATCCATTACTGACAGTGATCATCAGGACATTTTAACTATTGAGTGGGTGAGTGAGTTGGGTTTAACGCCGCTTTTAACAGTATTCCAGTTATATCGCGGCGTGTCAGCTTAATGTGGGAGGAAAGCCCAAAGTGATGCAGGTCTCAGACGTTTACCACTTCGGTGAAACCCACGAGCACGGGTATGGTGCTGACAAACCTAGGAACATAATCGGGGCGAACCGGGATTCGAACCCACAATCATAGGTTTCTGGTGTGCCCAAGGGACGCATCTCTGCACAGCGAATTGTGGCGCCTTAGACGACTGGGCCACCCATGCCCCCTTTTAACTATTGCAAAAAAGTAGCAGGTTGTGGAGTTTGAAAGAAGAGTCATCAGAAGATGACAAGAGACACCACCTCAGCCCCTGGCTAATACATGTTACAAGTTTGGATGGAAGCTCTTTCATGGTTTTCAAGTTATGCTCTGGAAACGAAATACAATGGACAGAGAGACAGAGTCAGACAGACCAGATGATGACAATATCCCCCGCATTATATGTTGGGGGAATACTGAAATTCTAATTTGCATGATGTGAGTCTTTTTAAAGCAGTACTTATTAGTTATATATCAGGACCAGTTTCACTTTAATACTTGTATTAAATATAATAGAAGTGAAGCATGGCATCAGTGGTAACTATCAGGCAATCACAATGATATACCACTAATTGTTTAGGAGAAAAGTAGAACACAATGTCAGTTTCACATCAGCGAGTTTAAGTCCTTTAAGTTTTGCCTCTTTTTAGCACTGATACAGCCTTAGCCGACAAATCTTGAGTTCATAAGTTGTAATTTCAAGTAATTGAACGCAGATTGTATGCTCGACATTGGTATTACTCCATGCAAGCCATGCTGTTCTTACTTCTCGGAGGTGGACTTGATGGCAGCCAGCTCCTTCTCCACCTTCTGCAGCTGGTCTCTCTTGGCGTGCAGCTGCTCATCCACCTCCAGCACCTCCTGCAGCTTCTCCAGGATGGAGCTGGTCTGTGCGCGGGCACCTGGGGAAGCACAGGGAACCCAGATTCAAGCTCTTCGCATCGTCAACACTCCAAAGGTTTGTATACACTATGTTCCTACATCACCTGTAGCTACATACAGCATAGTAATACCACTTGTCTATTTCTAGTAAGCTAATGAAAGGAGCCCCAAGTCATGCAAAAGGTTGGTTTGGTTGTTTTACGCAGCACTCAGCAATATTCCAGCTATATGACGGCGGTCTGTGTAAATAATCGAGTCCAGACAATCCAGTGATTGATATAATGAGCATTGATTCATGCAATTGGGATCGATGACATGCAACAACCAAGTCAGCGAGTCTGACCACCCAATCCCATTAGTCGACTCTTACGACAAGCATGTCATGGAATAGGGGATATATTAAGGATTCAAAGTTGTCAAAGAATAAACATTGCTGTTTGTGTATTGTAAGCACTTGCTGCCTTCCCCCTTGCTTGATACAGGCCTTTGCTTGATTCATTGGTTAAATATATGGACTACTCTGCATAGCGGCCATATGTATTCACTGGCGATGAAGGAATCTAGTGTACAAACCCATGAAGTATTTATGATGAACACTTTAGGACTGTCAAAGGATTTCAGTTACCTTTTAAACAACATACAGACAATTCCAAAGCAAGCAATCTTCAATGTTGTGGCATACATTTAGGAATTGTTTAGTCCTTAGAACCCTGAGCTCTCACAGAACAAATGAAATATTAGTCTGAGTTATTTGACAACATTCAGTCTCAAGAGTCACATACCATAAATACACATAAATCATGTCGACAATTTCATGTTTAGGTTAATCAGTGAATAAAATAACAAAAATTAGTACAAATTCAAGCCAAGATGACAGGTAAATAATTTGAAATGACAGCCAACAGGTTCAGAAGAGAGTGCCATTTCCTCAAACAAAACATCCAGTTGAACTGTTTGTTTGTTGTTTAATGCCGCACTCAGCAATATTCCAGCTATATGACGGCGGTCTGTAAAAAAATCAAGTCTGGACCAGACAATCCAGTGATTGACATCATGAGTATTGATCCACGCAGTTGGGATCGATGACATGCATCAACCAAGTCAGCGAGCCTGACCACCCGATCCCGTTAGTCGCCTCTTAAGACAAGCATAGTCGCCTCTTAAGACAAGCATAGTCGCCTTTTACGGCAAGTATGGGTTGCTGAAGACCTATTCTACCCCGGAATCTTCACGGGTCTCCAGTTGAACTGTCAGCCGGTGTCTATCATACCTCCAGTCAGGGTACCAGCAGGGTCAAACGAGTCTCCCTCAAGTGTGACCGACTTCTTCATCACTTTCTCGTCAAATGTCACCTTCTTGGCTGTATTCATGTCCTCACACACAAAGGCCGAGCCGAACACATACTGCATGGCTGCCTCCAGGTCCTTCTGATAGCCGATCAGAGACAGGGCTGTGTTCACATTGTCTTTGCCAACCTGAAATACAGCATGAAACTCACTGATCATTGAGGAACCATGGTACAAACACTATTTCTTACAATCTCTTTACCAGAAGAAATTGGGGACCAACTATGAAGAATTCTTTTTTTTTAAAACTAAAATAATAGGCCGCAGGTGCTACCACAAAGAATTGTTCACGGTTTGGTTTGTTGCTTAACGCCGCACTCAGCTATATTCCAGCTATATGACGGCGCTAAATAATCGAGTCTGGAACAGAGAATCCAGTGATTGACATCATGAGCATCGATCCATGCATTTGGGATACTCTGACATGCATCAACCAAGTCAGTTAGCCTGACCACCTGATCCCGATAGTCGCCTCGTATGACAAGGAAATTCGCTTTTTACGGCAAGCATGGGTTGCTGAAGACCTATTCTACCCCGGATCTCCACGGGTTGCTGAAGACCTATTCTACCCCGGATCTCCACGGGTTGCTGAAGACCTATTCTACCCAGGATCTCCATGGGTTGAACTGTTCACTGGACATACAGGATGTACTTTAGTGGTACTTCCCAAATAGTAGGGCTCCTCTATGCAGTGAAAAACTGTATATCTTCAACAACAATATTCAGGCCCAGCTCTATAATATCCCTTAAATGCTTTTATTTAAAGTGCATTTCCTTCAATCTTGACTATATTTCTCCACTATAAAATTAATTAATGTCTGCCAAAATTTAGGAAAACATAGGAAAACTTTAAAAAAGGAAACAGGATGTGTCTTTTACCAGGTCCTGTGCTCTCTTGACTGTAGCATTATCAATGCTACGTGCGGAGATCTTGTTGAGAGGGATGATCGTGTACCGCCGTCGTAGCTCCCCCTTCTGTAGCAGCTTCTTGCCTGTCACCTCCGTGTCCACCACTACATTGTACAGCTGCAACACAATAGGCTGTTATCTATCTGAACTTCCTCAGTCTCATCTCCCTTCTACACAGGCGGAATGCTTTGGGGGAGAAGAATGCTGATCACATATTACAATTCATCATCTTCATACATCTCATCACAACAGAGTTTGACATGTGCAAATTGTGTAGCAACCCTGGAGATGTTAGCTGTTTCTGCTTGTGGTGTAAACATGGTTAGCAAATCAATTAACTTGAGAGCAACAGTCTGTAATTTTACTAATTTCTAATCATTCGTCTGAAGCCTACGTCTAGTAACATTCTGTTCAATCAAGTAAGCATTGAAACTGTAAGCTCAGCAGATAATTGACCATAGGATGACACAAAAATCTACCCACAGCGAAGCAAAGAGACAGTTTTGGGCTAGTAGACACTTTGGTCAGACTGCAAAAATATGTTACTTTTATTGGTGGGGATCCTAAAAATATATATAGAAAACCACAGGGCAAAGTTTGTTTGTTTGATGTTTCACGCTGCACTCAGCAATATTCCAGCAGTATGACGCGGTCTGTAAATAATCTAGTTTGGACCAGACAATCCAGTGATTGATATCATGAGCATCGATCCACGCAATTGGGATACGATGACATGCATCAACGAAGTCAGCGAACCTGAACACGCGATCACGTTAGTCGCCTCTTAAGACAAGCAAAGTCACCTTTTACATAAGCATAGGTTGCTGAAGACCTTTTCTACCCCGGATCTTCACGGGTCTTAGGCCAAAGTAACACATGCATCGGTCCTGTCAGCACTCACTCTTGACCCAGCAGCAACCTCCAGGGCTGTGGCAGTGCGCACTTCCTTCACCTTCACCAGCTTACACACCAAGCCGTGCACCTTGGAACGGTTAAAGTTCTTCTCGGGATCAGTATACTGGAAGTTGAGCTGTGGAAATCTGGAAATAAAACAGCAAATTACAGATCACACTTTTCATTCAGTTTAAAAAAGAAGCCAGATTAACCTTAACCAATTTCTAATCTTTAGAAATAAGTCATGCAAGTTTTCCATTTCCAGGTCTAACAATTCTACAAGTCTGTGTAAACAGTTTTTTTTTTTTGTATGACATATATTCCAGTAGATTTGTATTTAGGAAGTCAGCTTTTAATTAAGGGATAAAAAGATAATCATTTTGATACATGGTTAGATACCCTCCCTCAATCTATGCCAGATATAAGGGTCTCAAGACTTGTTAAAGCACCTAACTTTGCGATGGACCAGTTGCTGTCTTGCAATAACCTACACACGTCTGTTATCTGGCCTGTACAGATGTCATGATGTTTCTTTGTTATTTAACGCCGCATTCAGCAATACTATATAACGGCGGTCTGTAAATAATTGAGTCTGGACCAGACAATCCAGTGATTGACATCATGAGCAACAATCCACACAATTGGGATATGATCACCTGCATCAACCAAGTCAGCGAGCTTGACCACTCGATCCCGTTAGTCGCCTCTTACAACAAGCATTGTCACCTTTTACAGAAAGCATAGGTTGCCGAAGACCTATTCTACCCCAGATCTTCACGGGTTTAGTAGTTATGAGAGTTAATCTCTACTGATAAACTTTATTTTGATTTCATGTGTCTCCACGCCTGGATTTAAGTATATGCACATTATCTGGTCAGCAGGTTGATACTAGTCAAAAATTTGACTCCTCAGATGAAATCCTTTCTTCTGTCAGACAATGGTTTCTGAAAATAATTCTCAACATTGATTTTTGAACTCAAAATGTGACTTTGAAAAATTAACTGCTACATTTTATACACTTTTAAAAACAACCAACTAATACATTTTTACTATTACACCAATATTTTCAAAAGTATTGTATCACCATGATCACAATACATAACACAGTGTATTCTTCCAGACCTACTAGTGAGTGAGTGAGTATGGTTTTACGCCGCTTTTAGCAATATCCCAGCAATATCATGGCGGGGGACACCAGAAATGGGCTTCACACATTGAACCCATGTCGGGAATCGAACCCAGGTCTTCAGCGTGACAGGCGAACGATTTAACCACTAGGCTACCCGACCGCCCCTTCAGACCTACTAACATGACTAAACACAGCTAAATCTTTATGTCAGAGCATCCTGGCGCTTGTTCAAGTATGCGAGTCAAGTCCTTACCTTGCTTCCAGCGTCTCCACCCTGTCCTGCAGTTTTTGGACATCCTGACTGAGACTTCTCCTCTCCCCGAGCAGTTTCTCATCACGACCCTCCTCAAATCCCAATTTCTTCATCTCAGCCTAAACATGCACACAGTCAACAACCTATTGATTAATATCTTACCTCAACAACAGCTGACATCAATCATAAACGTGGAGCCAAATGATTTAGCCATTTCCCCCAGCATAACCATATAATACGGAATACCAGAAATAGGCATAACACATTGTACCCAATTTACCATCAACACACTTTTCTCATAGTAACAAATACAATTCATATTCACTGAAAAGAAAGAACATGAAGAAAGGAAAATGTAATTTCTAAATTCTAATAACCATTTTTTTCTTGTTTATTCCATGAAAAAGTAAGGAATACCATTATAAATTTTTACAAACCTGTAGAGGTTATGAATTCTCTGATGAAATCCTCCTTGGGGCACTTATTGCATTTTCCTGGCTCAAGAAAATCTACATGACATAGTTGTAACCATTTTCCTTAATAAAAATTGTTACCACACAAAAAACTTTGTTTTTGTATGATATACGTCCACCCTTATGGTGCCTCACCCTCCACGGCGCGTCACGCCAAGGGAAGCAACTCTCACCCAAATCACTTTCCATATGTCTAATGCTGACGGAATGTGGGGAGGCGGGTGGCCGTGCCCCAAGGAGGATTTCATCAGAGAATTCATAACCTCTACAGGTTTGTAAAATTCTCTTTCAGATTAAATCCTCCTTGGGGCACTTATTGCATCAAGATAGACTCCTAAAGATAATCTAGGAAGTGGCATCCGTCAGCAACAAGCGTGCATAAAATACATCGTATTTTGATTATTTCAATGAATAAACAAGAGTTCAATAAATGGAACCAACCTTATCGTGAGGCACCACCGTCGAAAGGCGGGGGCTGGAGACAGGGCGTTATCGACCATACACAATGAAAAGAGCCATTCTTTGTGGCTCATCATATCGAGAACTCGAGACACACACACCCCCCACCCCACCCACTTTTTTGAACAAGTGATATTGGGGGCACAGATCACGAGAGACTATAAACCCGCACAGAGCTAGGCCAGAGGGTCCCCGTAATCGAAGGAGTGCATGTGCAATTACGATGATTATCGACTAGTAATGGCTGGTATTGTATCGACCGTAGAAGATAAAATCCGGACCGTTACTGAGCAGTGTTATAACCGGTCCGGGCGGTCTAAAATCTCGAAGGCTCAATCGGCTAGAGATGTAGTACTTTGCCCAGTTCGGAGAACTGACTGACCAAACCGAGCACGCTCGCTTGAGTGTTTGTCGAGTTGGTAATGTTTGATGAACGTGCTCGGCTGGCTCCAAATAGCCGCGGAGCAGATCTCCTCAATGGGCAGAGCCGCAGCATACGCTTGTGTCGTAGCCACTGCTCTAACCGAATGAGCCTTCAACTTGGTAGGGGGGTCCCTGCCTTGAAGCGTGTACGCCGTACATATAGTAGAGACTATCCACCGCGAGATAGTTTGTTTGCTCGCAGGTGAGCCAGCCTTCCTACCGCCATAACAGCAAAATAGTTGATTATCCTTACGGATACCCTTAGTTCTGCTGATATAGGACTTAAGGGTCCTGCGGACATCCAATACATGAGCATGTCTTGTAGTGGTCCCCGACGAGGAAGGCTGTGAAAGAGCAGGTAGCTCAATAGGAGCCGTCACGTGGAAGGCGTGTGCGACCTTAGGACGGTAAGAGTCCGGCAGGCGAATACTGACCCTGTCCCGGTGAAAGACAGTTAGTTCGGGATCGGCTGACATTGCGTGAATGTCGCCTACCCGTCTGCCGGACGTTACCGCCACAAGGAACGCCGTCTTCCAGCTCAACAGCTGAAGAGAGAGAGACGACAGATCCCGAAAAGAAGGACCGGACAGCCAATCAAGAACGATTGACAATTCCCAAGGGGGACTGATCCGCCGGACAGGCGGTCGGATCCTGTCCACACCTGCTAAAAAACGCTGCACTAATGGGTGCGCACCCAAAAGTGCCCCGTCGACGGGGACGTGAAAGGCAGCGATAGCTGTAGAGTACCCCCGGACTGTCGATGCGGCCAGGCCGACATCTAGTCGCGACTGGAGGAACTCAAGTACGGCTACGAGATCTGCAGAAAAGGGATCTGCAATCCTTCTATCGACACACCAGCGCGCATAGCAGGCCCATCTATCCTCGTACTGAACGTTTGTCGAATCCCTCCGCGAAGCCAGTATTGTGTCTGCAACTCGTGCAGGAATACCGCTCTCCTGGAGGCGATTCCGGACAGTGGCCAAGCCACCCACTGAATCCTGGGATTCGGGTGGAGGGCCTCGTTCTGGGATAGGAGGTCCGGTCGTAAAGGTAATAGAACAGGAGGCTGAGCCAGAAACCTGAGTATGACTGGAAACCAACTCTGCGCCGACCAAAGGGGTGCCAGGAGCACAAGTAGTCGCGCAGGCTGAGTGGCTAGCTGAGACAGGACCTTGGAAATCAGAGGTACTGGGGGGAATGCCCACAGTATTCTGTCCGTCCAATCTAGCTGGAAGGCGTCCGGTGCCACCGACCTCGGGTCGGGGACTCGGGAGCAGAACGTTGGTGTCTGGTGATTCACCCCAGACGCAAACAGATCCACCTGGAACGACCCGTATAACTGGGAGATAATCCCGAATATCCCCGGGTCGAGCCTCCACTCGTGAGGAGCGAGGATCCGGCGAGACAGAGCGTCCGCACGGACGTTGTCTACCCCCGGGAGATAAACAGGTAGCACCCTGATAACGTGTGAGTCGCACCATAGGAGGAACTGCCACGTCTCTTGGAGAAGCGACGGAGACACCGTTCCCCCCTGCTTCCGGATGTAAGTCATCGCCGTTTGGTTGTCCATCTCTAGACGCACCACTTGGCCACGAAGCAGATCCAGGAAGCGTTGGAACACCAACCTGACCGCTCTCAGTTCTAGCACATTGATATGCAGTTTGATCTCCTGCTGGGACCATAGTCCCGAGGCAGTGTGATCGTTCAGAACGCCTCCCCAGCCGGAGAGTGACGCGTCTGTTTGAACTGTGAGAGACGGCACGGGAGTGTCGAGGGGGAGCCCCCGGGACAGATTCCCGACCTCGGTCCACCACTGAAGGTGTGCATTGAGCCACTGCGGAGTCTCGAGAACAGTCTCGAGATCTTCCGAGTTCACCCAAAGTCGACGGAGCGCTTGTTGAATGGGTCTCATTCTCAAGCGCGCCCGCCAAACCACATCCACTGTCGCCGCCATGTTGCCCAGTAACTGGAGCCATGTACGAGCAGTGTGACTGGCGGACAGAAGGAACTGGGAAGTAACACTTCTGACCTTGGTAATGCGATCTTGTGACAGAGATACAAGTCCGCTCACCGTGTTGAAATTCGCCCCTAGGAAGACTAGATTCTGAGTAGGGCTCAGATCTGACTTCTTGAGATTGACTATCCACCCTAGAGTGATCAGAATATCTATCACTTGTTGTGTAGCTATCTGACTCAGGGATTGTGATAGAGCTCTTAGTAACCCGTCGTCGAGGTATGGATGGCAGAACCGACCTTTTGACCTGGCCACTTGGGCGGGAATCAACATCAGCTTGGTGAACACCCTCGAGGCCGTAGCGATCCCGAATGGTAGAACCCTGAACTGATAACACCTCCCGTCGAAAGAAAACCTGAGGTATTTCTTGAACTCGGGGTGTATGGGTACGTGGAGATAGGCGTCTTTTAGGTCTATTGACGTTAGCCATTCTCCGGTCTCGACAGCTGAGATCACCGAGCGCAGTGTCTCCATCCTGAAGGACGGTACCTCTATAAGTTTGTTCAGCCTTCTCAGATTGAGAATAGGCCTGAACCCTCCGTCTTTTTTGGTGACTAGGAAATATGTCGAGTAGAAGCCCTCGCTTTCCTGTCCCACGGGAACCGGTTCGATCGCAGCCTTCATAAGAAGTGCGTCGACCTCGGCACGGAGGAATTCCGCCCTCTCCAGGGTAGCAGGCACCGGAGTGTGCTTTATCCCGGAGAAGGGGGGCGGATGATGTTTCCACCGAGGCAAATGGCCATCCCTTAGAGTGGACAGGGTCCAGGGATTGGATGTGACTGTCTCCCATTCCTGCAGGAATAGAGCCAGTCGGCCGCCTACGGGGACATCCGGCTTGAGGCAGCAGACCCCGGCTGTCGGCAGTTCGAAAACATGCGACCGTGGGTCCGCCCGGGGCGCTTCGGGCGCTAATGGGAACCCGATGGGTTCCCGGCCCCGCGAAAAGGCTGCTGGCCTCGACCAGCTGCCCTGCCCCGGCCCCTGCCTCTCTTGCTCCTCCCGGCGCCCTTACCTGAAGGAAGCGGCTGCTTCCAAGCAGGTGCAGACTTCTGACCCGGCGCGTCAGCGTAGGAGGAAGCAAGTGGAGAGGTCCGCTTACGCGGTTTAACGCATGGTACCTCCAACAAGGCCTTAGAATCCTTGATGGAGGCATACAACTGTGCGGCCTCTCGGACCACCTGCTGAGCCCCAGGGAAGAGGGTGGCACCCATCTTATAAGGCAAAGCAAGTAGATCCTGGCGTGTGGAAGCCGAGTATTTGGATACCGACATCCACAGCCTGCGCATGCCCATGACTGCGCACATCATCTGCGAGGCACAGCTACGAATAGCGTCCCTCGCAAGATGACTATGTACCTCCGTCAGTTGCGCGGCCAACTCCGAAGAGTCGGCCGGCCCCTCTCCCGCTAACTCCCTCTGTACGGCCGACAGATAAGCGGAGTGTACGGACACCCGGAGCTGCTGACATGCGTTACGATATTGCTCCTCGAAGCAAACGTAAGCAGCCTTCAGCTCCGTACCGCACGCGGGAAAGGGTGGCAACCGCCGGCCCTGCTTGACCTTAGCCAAGTTGGGGGTCGAAGACCCCCCCAGGGTAACGGAGGTCCAGACGCATTCGTCCACCACCGGTACCTCAAAATCACCATCCTCTGCTAACGGGTACCGCTTAATAAGTTCGGGCAGGTCGAACTTCCTGCGGGCACCCGACAACAGAGGGTTGATGACTTCATGCACCAATGAAGACAGAATACGGAGCCGCACCTGGGGCGCCTTGCTCGGAGCAAAAGCGTCCCCCGGAAGGCGGAACTCAGTCGGATCCGACTGGGGCATGGGCGCAGCCACCTGAGGCAGTACCTGGACAATTTTGTCCCGTACATGCCTCAACGAGGAAACGAAGGAAAATATTCCCGAGGTCTCCGAGTCGTCTCCCCCCTCCTCCATCCACTCCTCCTCTCTCGATTCCGAGCCGAAATTAATCGACTCTTCCCCGAGAGAAGAGGCAGACGAAGTCGGAAGGGGACGCCCGAAGGCCTGGGCCTTCGCATCCCCGGGCTGCACCCGGCCCGACGCCGAGTCCCGGTCCCGAGGTGCCGGGGGTTCAAGGGAACCCACCTGGCTCTGGGCTAGAAATCCGCTAGAGGAAGCCTCGGCCTCGGAAGAGGCGTCTGGCTCCGCTAGGGAGAACTGTGCGTCGGTAGTGAACGGGCCAGTGCCCGCCACCCCTCCGCTGGGGAGCGACCTCGAGCCGGCGCCGAAGCCCGGTCTGAGTTCGTCCCCGAGACCAAGTGGCCTGCCTCGGCCGACGCCGGGCATATCACAAGGTCTCGAAGCCGCGTCCGGCGCCGACAACGGGGAAGGCTCGGTCCGCAACTCCTCTCGGAGCTGAGACTTTACCTCCTCCATCATCGACGCCATCTGCGACCTCAACAAGGCAGAGATGTCTGCCAAAGACGGTGCAGGAGAGGGTGCAGTGATTGTGACGGGGACCCTAGAGCCTTCTCCCCCGGCCCCCGGGGAGGGAGCGGAGGAGACAGTCTCAGCTGCCTTTTTACCCTTTCTTACTTTTTTTGAGGGGGGCGGGGCGGTCTTTGCCGATCTAATGTCCACCCCCGCCTTCAATAGACCCTTAAAGTGTAAGAGGTCCACATTTCTCTTTTTTTGCGCCCGTGGTGTAAATGCAACACAGATCGGGCATGACCCATCGTCATGCCCGTCTTCGGCCAAACACTTTATGCAGGTATCATGCCTGTCTTGGGGGGGAATCGAAGCCGAGCACCCCGTACACAGTTTGAAGGTCTGTAAAAAAGACCGTAATTTTTGAGTTTGGCGGGAAGGGTAATAAAGTGTATCAGTGCGATTGAAAGATCGGAAAGATACGTGCATAAATTGTGTAACTAGAAGCAAAGGCGTAATTTAGAATGCGATTGGTAACGCGATACTAATAGCCAATGTCGTAGTATAATTATAACACCAAAGTGGGCGTGTTACGCGCGAAGGTGTAGAAAACCCGTAAAAAAGGTAAGTGTAATTTAAAATAATTAACACACCACCTTGGGTTTATTTTAAGGAAAAGATTGTAGGCTAAAGCCCGATGATATAGATTAAAAAACCGAAGCCGTTTTTGATGGCCCTGGTGTTACATATATCATACGTGGCACTACAAAATGGACGCTACGACGGCCTTATTTCAAAGGTATCGTACACGTGTCACATAATTACAACTTTATAACTTTACAATGCGAGGTATTACGCCTTTGCATGAAAGAAATGTACCATACATACAGTTTGGTCTGCCATGGTTCTTGTACGAACGATAATCTTGTCTTTATATTGTCTTGAAAAAAAACAGCACGTCTGTCTTTGTCAGATGACATAAGGAAAGTGATTTGGGTGAGAGTTGCTTCCCTTGGCGTGACGCGCCGTGGAGGGTGAGGCACCATAAGGGTGGACGTATATCATACAAAAACAAAGTTTTTTGTGTGGTAACAATTTTTATTAAGGAAAATGGTTACAACTATGTCATGTAGATTTTCTTGAGCCAGGAAAATGCAATAAGTGCCCCAAGGAGGATTTAATCTGAAAGAGAATAATGGGGTGATGGGTAATAATGGAACTTGAGGCTTTCACCTATAGCACTTGGACCCAGAAACCCTCTAAAAGCAACAGGATTTGGGCAGAACTCTACGATTTTCCTTTGTAATTTGAACACAGCAACATGAAAACGTACCTGAATCTTCTTCATGCTCTGCTGTACGGCCTCGTAAGCTGCCTGGTCCTTCTTGTATCCCTGCTCCGTCTTCTTCAGCTCAGTCTGCTTCTTCTTCACCTCCTGCTGGGCATGCTTCAGCCTGGAAGGGTCATGCCACATCTTTGATAGGCCATAGTGATTGAGGAAGTGTGGTGGAGAGTATTTCAGTTATAGCATGGCATGTAGGCTTGATGTAGGAGAAAAACCCAAAGTTATGAGGGAGAGGAGGGGGAGGGAGAGGTGGGAGGGAGAGGGAGGGAGAGGGGGAAGGAGAGAGGTAAGGAGGAGAGGGAAAGAGGGAGAGGGAGGAGAGATGGAAGGAGGGAGAGGGAGGAGGGAGAGGGAGGAGGGAGAGAGGGAAGGAGGGAAGGAGGGAGAGGGAGGGAGGAGAGGAAAAGGAGAGAGGAAAAGGAGGGAGTGGGAGGGATAGAGGGAAGGAGGAGGGGGATGAGAGAGGGAAGGAGGGAGAGGGAGGGGGAGAGGGAGGGAGAGAGGGAGGGAGAGAGGGAAGGAGAGAAGGAAGGAGGGAGAGGGAGAAGGGGGAGAGGGAGGGAGAGAGGGAGAGAGGAGAGGGAGGAGAGAGGGAGTGGGAGAAGGAGGGAGGGGGAAAGGGAGAGGGAGGGAGAATAAGGGAGAGTGAGAGGAGAGGAGAGGAAAGAGAGAGAGAGAGGGTGAGGAGGGATATAGAGGGAGAGGGAGAGAGAAGACTGAAATAAGGATTGGATGATTACACTCTGAGAAATACCAAGGCTGCATTGATTGTTGACAGTGTTATCAAAAGTGATTATGCCAGTCCAAACTCACCAATGTAAATGCAACTGTATATAGCTGAATGTACTTAAACATCTACTCACTCTTTCTCATCTATAACTAGGTTTAGTAGTTATTACACTTACTTCATCTGGGCTTGTTTAGTCTCGGTTTCAGCAGTGCTGATTTCACTCTTTGCAGCTGTAAAAAAATATTGTATAATCATCACAACAGTGCACAAAGGAATGATATATACAGAGATTTCCATGAACAAATATTGCATACATGAAGACAGCAAAGTGTACATTTGAGACAGTAAATGAAGCCTTACTCATGAGTTGGTCATTGAGCGTGGCATCCTCTCCGTCTGTGTTGCTGGAGAGACCAGCGCTGACAGCGTGGAAGTGTTTCTGGGCAGCTACATGAGCTTCATGATCAGTTTCACTCTGCTCCTTCAACTTGTCCAGGTCTTTGTTCAACTTGTCCAGATCCTTGTCTCGAGCTGCCAACGCCTTCTTGTTCTTATTAAGGAAAATATACACCATGTTTACCGTATGCGAGAAGTGAAAGAGTGAGTATGAATTATAGCCACCTTGAACAGTATTTCTGATCTATCACATCTTGCCAACTTGATGTGGGAGGAAAGTCGGAAGATGCTAAATTCTTTGATGAAACCCACAAGCATGGCTATGGTGCTGTCAAAGCTAGAAAAATAATCAGGACTAACAGCGAAGATCTCTGCACAGCAAACTAAGGCAGCTTAGATGCCTTTTGTGAGGAAGATAAGGCTTGTTGCCTATTTTGATTTGCTGAGTTAATCCAATGAATAGATGAATGTTGCTTGGACCCATCCTCCAGTTACCTCCCTTTTCTTTTTCCTAATGTTAATGTGAAAATCAAGGGCAGGTAATGTGAGATTGCAAGAACCACGGAAATGGATCCAGTGGTTAGTGTAGGTTTCCCGAAATGCTAGGCTGGGTGATATAGAGGAAGGTCTGGACCAGGCAAACCACTAAGGCATGAGCAACAACTCACTTAGCATGAAAACTCACTTAGCCACAAACATGAGGTACCAGAGACCTGATCAAATCCCCCAAACAAGAAGTTAAGAACACAATTTGTTTAAAACCAATGCATATGAAAAAGTATTTGATGCACAAATTAGTCAAGTACAGACATTTCAAAGGCTCTTATTTCAGATAATATTGCAGCTTACTGGAGTATTTACTACAAAACACTGTTTCCAGGTAACCGTTTAAACTGATTGAGTTCATCAGTATTAGAATGGAACAGTCTGATGTTTCCAACTTACATCGTCACAGTTCTTGTTGAGTTCCTTTTTCTTCTTCTGTTCAGCCTTGATGGATTCCTTCTTGTTGTCCACAGAGCTCTGAGCCAGGGCGTCCATCTTCTGCCTACTGGCTAGTTTCTCCTCCAATTTCTCCATCACATGGCCAGACTCCTAAAGACAGGAGGCAAACGTTTATGGGGGTGAAAACATGTAGTTGTGCCATGTTTTGAATGGTTTTGAAATATTATGATGACCACCACCACTTTGGCACAATGAAAATACTGGGATATAGTCTAATGCTATTTCTGAATTTCAAGAGGTTACTGAAAACATGGTGCAGGGTTAAAAATTAACATACCCACTAGCCCGGGGCTAGTACATATTCCTGCGGGGTGGTACAGAGCATAACAAAAGTTAAACAGAACAACTAGTGAGTGAGTATGGTTTTACAATAACTTAGCAATATTCCATTCATTCGTTTTTGTCTCCATGCAAGGAATCGAACCCAAGCCTTTGGCGTGAAGAGCGGACATTTTAACAACAAGACTACCCCACCGCCCTAACAAAACAACGAAATATTATAAACAACATAAGACATAAGACATTTGGGCTCAAAGGGCTTCATGACATTTACCAGGGATTTGACAGTTATTGTTAATACCTCTGATACAAAACACTGAAATAAACTTGGGGCTGGGAGGGACCTGAGATTGTAGTTTGATGGTTTCAAGACACATCATTTTTTGTCTCTAAAAGGGCGAGGCAAATCAATTTCCTGAGACATATATTTTTTAAGCCCTCCCCCCCTCCCATCTGTTACACCTTCAAAGGACATACCTACATCAACGTAGCTGCAAATTGGATGTTCGTCCTTGAGCCACTTGCATCAATATTCGACTTCCACTAATGCTGCTGCTACTACTACCACCACAGTGAATAAAAGACTTTTATTTATCCAGAACAACTGACACACAAACCTCATCTCTCTTCTTTTCCAACTCTGCAATTTCTTTATCCAATTCCTTCACTTTGTTCTCAGTCTGAAAATGAAATGTCAAGATAAGAGCTGATCAATGAGCTTGACACTAACAGACAAAAGCCAATTATCACTGTAATAAATGTATCAAAACTTAAAACTACCATAATCGTGATAATACTAGCCATTCCACAGTATTAAATATTCTCTAATATCCAATAAGGTACTTATATCTCCACTGTTCTTCAGAATGAGTTACACATGGTCGGCACAAGACCAAAGGTCAAGGAGTGTACAAAGGTCAAGGAGTGTACAAAGATCAAGGAGTGTACACGAACATTCAGCTCGTAAAAGCACCACATACCCCGCTAGGGCATAAGTGATCAATGTATATTTCTCTGACCACCATTGGGCTTTCTGTAACTCGAAACACAAACAGGATCAGTTCATGTGACAAGCAAGTGACATCACATCAAACATGATCAGACCCATGAAGATCCGGGGTAGAATAGGTCTTCAGCAACCCATGCTTGCCGTAAAAAACAACTGTGCTTGTCGTAATAGGCGATCGGGTCGTCAGGCTCGCTGACTTGGTTGATGCATGTCATTGTATCCCAATTGTGTGGAGTAATGCTCATCATGTCAATCACTGGATTGTCTGAACCAGACTTGATCATTTACAGACTGCCGTCATATAGCTGGAATATTGCTGAGTGTGGTGTTAAACAAAACTAACCAAACATCATGACATCTGTACAGGCCAGATAACAGACGTGTGTAGGTTATTGCAAGACAGCAACTGGCTCAACCCAAAGTTAGGTGCTTTAACAAGTACTTATAAAGACATAAAGTGAAATCTGAAAGGTATATTCAACCTTTATGTTATTGACAAATATTTCATATTTAGTATACCTCAACAATTTTATCTTTGGAAGTTTTAATCAGCTCCAGCATTTCTTCCAGCTCTTCAGAAGATTTCTTTTTTCGACCCTGAAAATCGGAAAATCAGAAAATTAGCAAAATTACATCATGCAGTCGGTAGGAAAACAACAGACAAATCTGAGCATTAATTTCAGTTCAAAATTTGAATGATCTATTTCTAACCTGAACACTTGATCCAAATACTGTATATCAAGTACTCATGTTGTGTGGCACAACACTTTGAAAGTCTCCATACATGGTAGTGGACTACTGGAGGAATAAATACTGACCTTAATGTAGACATAATATCTTTAGGGAATGTTTTCTCCTGGTAGTGATACAAAAATGTTTGCTATATATACTCACTACCAAAAGAAACAGGAAAGATCACTTCCAAAAGAAATATGAACCATAGAAACATATTGGAGAAATATAGAAGGTGAGAAGAGATGTTTCCACTATGTACCAAATAATGACAAAACTAACAATCAGTTAAGTGTTACCACAGAGTGTCTTTATTGTTATAACAATATGCTCACGTGATTTCTAAACAGTTCACACAAATCCCCCATGAAACAAATGGTTCATCTTTATTACGTCACATATCAGAATCTAAGATCAATTCACGTTATTGCCACAAATATAACATGTTTATCATGTTATTAATTGGTGAAAGGGTAATGTATTGGAATGTTTATCCTACCTCAGCACACACAAACTGGTAAGCGACATACAGCTTGTTGAGATGCTCCAGCTCTCTGACAATCTTCTGGTACTCCAGGTAGGACGACCTTTCATCCTTCAACTTGGCCAGGGTGGGAGTGATGTCCTCTTTCAGCACCTAGTACAAATCAAGGTGTTTAGTTATATCACAGGGTGTCAGCTTCATGTGAGATTTGTTTGTTTGTTTGTTGTTTAACACCACACTCAGCAAGATTCCAGCTACATGACTGCGGTCTGTAAACGATCGAGTCTGGACCAGAAAATCCAGTGATTGACATCATGAGCATCAATCCACTCAATTGGCATACGATGACATGCATCAACCAAGTCAGTGATCATGACCACTTGATCCCGTAAGTCGCCATTTACTGCAAGCAGGGGATGCTGAGGGCCTTTTCTACCTTGGACCTTCACGGGTTCCATCATGTGAAAGGAATGCAGGTCACAAACGTATACCACCTTGGTGAAACGCACGGGCATGGTGCTGACAAACCTTGAAACATACGTGCGGATAACCAGGATAATAGGTTTCTGGCACGCCCAAGGGGAACAACCCTGAATAGTCAATTGTGGTGCCTAAGATGACTGGGGCACGGGTGGCTCAGTGAATTTGAGCGTGAGTGAAGTTGTAGCCAGTGTTGACAGTATTTCAGTTATATCATGGTGTGTCAGCTTGATGTGGGAATTAAGTCATAGATGTTTATGGCTTTGGTGAAAACCTGAGTATGGGAATGGTGCTGACAAACCTAGAAACATAATCAGGGCGAAAATGTGACTTGAATCAAGGGTCATAGGTCTCTGGCATGCCTGCAGGATGCAACACTGCTCAGTGAATTACAATACAGGCAAAGACTGGGCCACTGTAACACCCCCATTTTAGTAGTAATTATCATGAGGCCTTCATTCATGTATTGAGGAGGCGGTCAGGTAGCCTAGTGGTTAAAGCGTTCGCTCGTCACGCTGAAGACCCGGGTTCGATTCCCGGCATGGGTACAATGTGTGAAGCCCATTTCTGGTGTCCCCCGCCGTGATATTGCTGGAATATTGCTTAAAGCGGCGTAAAACCATACTCACTCACTCATTCACGTATTGAGTATCATGCAATTCATACAACTCAGGGTTAGAAATTGGCACTAGTCCTGTCATCCTTGCCAAACTGCCCAATAGTTAAGGTATCATAAGGACTAGTAGAAACATGCCATTTTTAAGTGTTTTGCTATTTGTTATCATTATAAGGACAAGGACTAAAAATGTTAGTTTCTATCACTGCAACTGTACTTGAATCTGGTGACCAGCAAAATGTGACAAGGGCAGCAACCTCTTGGATCTCACTGGCATTCTTGTTATTCAGTGGTATTCAGCATGATTCAGGCTAATTTACATCTATTCAAAGAATTAGTCCTCTTCAACACTCGTCAGCTTGGTGTATTTGTAACAAAACTAATGTGTAGGTTGACATTAATTCCATAAATAAAACAAACAGCCAGTCTGAAAGTGAATTTGCAGATGAGCCAAAAGGAACTTACAGCATCAATTTCTCTAAGCTTGGCATCTTTCTTCTCGATTGTCTTCTGAGCAGATTCTTTCTTTGTCTCATAAAGTCTGGTGCCTGCTGCCTCCTCGATCATTGAGAGGATCTGAAAACACACAATATTATCTGGTACTAACACAAAAAGAAAGGTTTTTTTTACAATAAAATGTATATTTATATACTTGTCCTATCTCGAACTATGCATTTCTCATTCTTCTTTCGATCCTAAGTGAACAGGTGTTTAAGCAAAGGTTTCTGGCTTCTAAAAAACAATTCACCTGAGCACACCTTAGCATCACCATGGTCACCTCCCAACAATCTGGGTCATGCATGCTTTTCATGCCGAGCAACCTACACACATTGAACATGTGGTTTCTCCAGCCAACTCATTCTCTTTCTAGAGCTAATAGGCTACAGGAAATATGATGCTGGGTCGGACGGGTGGGCATATGGTATGTGAGATAGGATAAATATATATAAATATACAATTCATTATAAAATTTACAAATTTAGAACAAAAATTATCCTATCTCACACTATGCATTTATCCTTTGGTTGGATGGCAGGGCACAAATCCCTTACCTCTAAAGGCAACAACCGTGGGATATTCACGAGGAAGCTGGTGCTAAATAGTGATACAGAACAATATTATGTAGCACTGTCTAGTGTCATAACGAAAATACTTTGGATAGGAGTGAGTGAGTGAGTTGGGTTTAACGCTGCTTTTAACATTATTTCAGTTATATCATGGCGTGTCAGCTTAATATGGAAGGAAAGTGATGCAGGTCCCAGACATTTACCACTTCAGTGAAACCCACGAGCACGGGTATGGTGCTGACAAACCTAGAAACATAATTGGGGTGAACCGACTTTGGAAAGGAAGAAACATGACCCTGATACGTGAAACACATGAGATCGGGAACATGTGAAACATGTTTATACGTAAAGGAGTGTAAATGTAAAGCCACACAATACAATGTACGACTTATCATTGATTTGTAAATGGAATCCAGCCAATCAAATCTACAGGACAGGGGTATTGCTCTCTCCCATGGACGACAGGACAAGCCAGTTAGGCATCTCTTTTAGCTCATCGTCAAAGCCATCAATCACGCCTGAGGGATTGAAACGATAGGTTAAGACAAGAAGATGAACGATCAACCACATCCACAAAAGGATCATCGGACTAATACCCAACAACACATGCACATGGCAGAAGTGAGCATAATAAAGGATCAGGGCCCCGTTCCTAAAAGCAATCTTAGCGCTAAGGTGATTGTAAGTCCCATACTTTAACATAGGCTTACGATCATTGTAGCGCTAAGATCGCTTTGAGGAACAAGGCCTAGGACTCAGAAAGCTGGCCGGGACTGATAAACTCAAACATGTCAAAGGAAAATGCAAAGGTATATTTGAAAAAAAGGAGAAAACATGAAGTACAAGGGAATGGATCCAGTGCATGCCTCACTCTACCTGCGCAGATTTGTCCTGGAGAGAGCCAATGGCCCAAATTGATGCAGACGTTGGATGTCAGTAAAACATCCTTCCATAATTGCAGCCAAAGTGCAATTACTGTGTAAAGCTACAGCAGAGGTGACAACACAAGTTTCATGAGTATAAGTACATAAGCCCGGAGAATAACCAAATGAATCCAAAAAGAAATTGTGTGTGAGTTGGATTTAATACCCCTTTTGACAGTATTCCGGTTATATCGAGGCATGTCAGCTTAATGTGGGAGGAAAGCCCGAAGTGATGCAGGTCTAAGACGTTTACCACTTCGGTGAAACCCACTAGCATGGGTATGGTGCTGACAAACCTAGAAACATAATCGGGGCGAACCGGGATTCAAACCCACAGTCATAGGTTTCTGGCGTGCCCAAGGGATGCAACTCTGCACAGTGAATCGCAGCGCCTTAGACGACTGGGCCACCCATGCCTCCAAAGAAATTGTGGTACGGGAGACTTCCGTAACAGCTGGCAGAGAAAGCAGAATACAGAGCCACTTGCCGGGGAACACTGAAGAGGTTTCATCGCATCAAGGTAGATCCAAAGCCCACGTACTAGATGTAAGGAAACATCTTTAAGATCTTCAGGATTCAAGATAGACATCAATGGCGGGATAGTGAATAACCAGGTTGTGCAGGAAGTTGAATTTGGCCATTATGTCCCATCGCAAGCCCAGAAAACTTTCCCGTGCAGAGCATGTTCGAAGCAAACTCTGTTGACATCTAAGGCATGAATCTCACTCACTCAAGCAGCAGTAGCAAGATCTAAAAGAAAGACTTTTTAAACGTGATATGTTTGAATCAGCCAAAGGAAAATGATGAAGTATGATGTTCAGATCCAAGTTCAGTGGTTACACATGAGATAACTGCGTCCATTGAAGTAGCGACAACAGAGATTATTGCAGCAAGACACGAAGCTAAGGTAGAACCCTTAAGCTTATGTGACAACAGCAGATGAAGGAGCTTTTCAGCACTTTGCTGTGGATAAGCAGTAATGGGTGTAGAAATATGGAGAAGGATTCCATGGAAAACCGCTGCATAGATGATTGTAGTCACAAGATGGAGAGCAATCACGCAAGTAAGGATCAAAATAACTGTAAGAAGAGGAGTGACTCAGGTTCGGCAAGTGTCCCCAAGAGCCAGTATACAACTCATCCTCATAGATGTTAAGTGAAGGAGACCAGTTCCTGATTACTGAACCTTGGGAGAACGTCTATCCGTAGAGTTGCGTCCATCTTTGGAGGAGTGCCAATCCTTGGATGTTCGTCAATCCTTAGACTTAGAGGTTTGCCAAACCTTGGAAATATAGTGATATCTATATTTGGAGGCATGCTGATCCTGAGAGGTATGTTAACCTTGCAGGTGCAACGATCTGAGGAAGATTCCTAATCCTTGGAAGGTTTGTCAAACAATAGGATCGCTGAACCTTCAAAGTCGATTCGTATTGGAAGACCCTTGATCCGAAAGTGAAGGGTGAGCTTTGGAGTAGAGCTTATCAGTAGACAATTGAACTTCCAAATCATGATCAAAAGATTGTTGAACGTGGGTACACCGATCCAGTGAACCAGACTCACATGAGTGATCCAGAGAAAAATCTGACGAGCCTGAGCAGCGATCCTGCGACCTACGCCGCACAGGGGGTCTGGAATATCAAGAGGTAGACTGTGAGAGAGAAGAAACAACCTTATATTGATTTGAAAGAGCAGACTAGCAGCAACTGCTGATGGTGCAACCTGCAAACTGCAACCATGGAGATGCCAATAGAGGGAAAACTCTTGTCGGTATCAACAACAGTAAGCAAGGTCGGTGAAGGTCTATTGTAGACTTCTTGGAAAAAGAGAGAGCGACCGAATGTGAAGAAACAGCAGAGGCGGTCAAATTCAGTAGGCCATCATCCTCAACTGAGTGCAGGAAGAGAGAGGGTGCGAGATCCACCAATTGCAGGAGTTGTGGGACACTTGGTGGATTTCTTTGACTTTTCAGTAGGTGTTTTCTTTGACTTGGACAATTTCTCTGATTCCTTGGATTTAGAAAGGTGATCCAATTCTCTGCGGCAACACTTGTGTTTAAGTAAATGCTGAAAGAGTTGTTAGGCAGGTCAACACATTGTTGACATCACATAGAGGAACTGCAACGCCCCCGAAAATTGGAGCAAAGACCATGCAGGTCAGATGGGGGGGAAAAAAAACAGTAATTTAAAAAGGCAGGTTTATGTGACCCGAGTTCGTCTGTGTAGGCAAGGGCGAACTCAGAGTGTCAACCTCTCTGTTGACCTGGGAAGACTTTCATGTAGGCATAGCCTTACTTTGTGATGAAGGGGGGATCAAATTGGACCTCTTCAGTAATATCAGATGGTAACTCTTCCTCTGAAGAAGGTGCAGCTGTTACCTCACACTTCTTTCTCTTAATGGCTGGAGATGATGTAGATTGTGATAATTCTCTTCTCTTATGGTCTAACTCCTTCCTCTGCACGACGAAGAGGTAATGTGCAAAATATCCGTCATCCAAATTTAAGATAAATTAAAATAATAATTGTTGGATATATTAATTAGATATTAGAAGAATGTAAGTCAAGCAAAAATGTTTTGGGGCATATATAAAAAACTTATAATTTTAGGGCAAAAATGAGAGTGTCGAGTCTACCGGATTGGTCATGTGCTTCCAGTGTGCATGAGCGGCTCAGGGGTGAGTTCGGGTGAGTTGTTTTTTTCTGTTCTCAAGGAAACACTGATCAGGAAGTTTCCACAGCCTTTCAGCAATGAGATGAGATGAGCAATAAGTAAGAGTCAGGATAAGATCAAAATTATTACTTTTACTGCTAACTGATAAATCAGTGAACTTCATCATTTGTGAGTTAAGTAAGATAAGTTTAGTAAAATCTAAATATTTTTTACATTTGTATACTTATCCTGCATTACTCCGTATTGCATTTACTGCTATGTTTGACAGAGAGACGAACTGTGTGAGATCCAGCTGCTGAAGAAAGTTGTCCCAACCAGCCCAGGAGGCAGCGCCCTCTCACAGTCGGCACGTGACCCGGAAGTCATGACGTCACACCAAAAGACATAACTGCTTTAAACATAACATCTGAAACTTCGTGGGGAGGTAGCGTAGCGAAAGGGAGGGAACTTAGACTTCGTAATGCAGGATAAGCATACAAATGTAAAAAATATTTAGATTTTACTAAATTTTTTAACTTATCCTGCATTACTCCGTATTGCATCTTTATCAGACGGCTTGGCCTGTGGGCATACTTGCAGATGTGAACCATATTAAACCCTCGTCAAGGTCCGATGAATCCGCACCGCATACACGTGATGACCGGAACATCTACGACCATTCCTGTCTTCAGGAAACAAGAGTCGATGCAAAAACGAAACGCCCGAATAGGTAACCGAAATACAATGAGGCGTGTAGCCAAAATATATAACTTACCGAAGAGCGAAAGCGAAACGCAGTAGAACCTAGAGCTAATCTGAGGTGATAAACACCAGAGAGTTCGACGGGCCCCGCTCGGGGAATCGAAGAATCAGCGGCGCCGGCAGCAAAATCTACGACCAATCCCAAGAGCGAATGCGAAACGCAGGAGAGCCCTCTAGGCTGGAGGCAAGGAACACCGGTGAGGTCGACGGGCACCGCTCAGGTACCAGAGAAGCAGCGGCGTCGGCGTCGGCGCCGGTGTCCACATCTACTACCATTCCTGTCGTCAGAAAACAAGAGTTGATGCAAAAAGTAAAACCCGGATAGGTGACAGCAATAGAATGAGTCGGGTAACCCAAAACTAAAACTGACCTAAGAGCGAATGCGGAACGCAAGAGAGCCGTCTCGTCTGGGGTGATAAACACCAGAAAGGTCGACGGGCCCCGCTCAGGGTATCGGAGAATCAGTGGCGTCGGAGATAGATGACCTGTTGGGCTACAACCAGGGACCAAAACTGTGAACGCCGGCGACAACTTTCAAGGCTACAGCACGGAAGTAGTGGTTGGTGAAGGCGGTGTCAGATCGCCACGAACAGGCTTCCCCGAACGACGGGATGGAACAGTATACCGTGAAGAACCAGTGTAAATACGATCGCCCTGATCTCATTTTATTTCAGGTAATAGCCTTTGGGGGGAGGGTCCAATCCGGCGGCTCATACGCTTTAAGGATGACCACCCGGAGCCACAGGGAAAAGTATTCCGGCTGACCAACGACAGCGACGAAGGGGAGACCGGCAGAAAAAGGTGTTTCCTAGACTTGCGGCAGTCTTTAGATCGTAGAATAACCTTCAGTGCCCTTACTGGGCATAATGACGCTCATCCTCATCCTCGGCACCCACACTGGACGAGGGGGGAGGGGACAAGGAATGATCTATCAGGCTGTCCTGGGAGTTGAGTCTTTACGCTGATGTCCCAGTACGGTCCATGATGAACGGCGCCCTGGGTACCGCATTCGAACCGGGCATGGGAGACGTCGAGGGCGTGCTGTACATGGACTCGAGCGGCAGTAGTCAAAACCAGTAGAAACACCCGTCTTCTACTTAAGGTCGAAGAAGGAAGACGAGGGGAGTGGTTCGAAGGGCATTGAAGACCACATTCAGATCCAACGCAGGCGGTCCGAACTTGGTCTTCAGGTCTTCAAGACTGAACGAGCGCAGCCAGGCCCGTAGGTCGGGAATTTTCGTCTTTCTCCGATCGTCCGGGATGGCCAGAACGGAGTAGATGGCGACCAGGTATGTGGGGGTGGTAAGCCCTTCAACCGATGGGTGCTACACAAGTACAGAAGGAACTGATCCAGGATCTGCGGTGACGCTGTCATCGGATCCTGGTGTTTGTCAGAACAAAATGCCTGGAACAAGCATCATTTATCAGCATACAGTCCCCCTGTAGATGGACGGTGGGCTGAAGCAATAGCCTTGGTCGCTCTAGCCGAATAGCCCTTGGCTTTCTGCATGTGTGTCAGGCGTGCAGACGATAACATGCGGGTATGAGGGTGTGGCAACAGACCGTGTGGATGGAGCAGAAGGTTGGACCACACCGGAAGTTCCAGGGGTTGTCTCTGGCTATGTTTCGGAGGTCGATAACCCAACTTCTGGCTGACCAATAAGGCGAGACCAAAGTCAATGGCAGGGGTCGAGTGGCCTGGATCTCTGAAGAACCGTGGGAGGGAGAACCGGAGTCGATAAAGCGTACGCGCGTAATCCTTCTCAGGAACGATGGAAGGCTTCGACTGCCACAGCGGTCGTATCCGGCACAGGTGGAATGGAAGACGACAGCTGGCCACATTCAGATATGAGGCAAACAGATCTAGGGTTGGGGTGTCGACCGTTTCACATAGTCTGGCCGGAGAGCGTGAAGCGTCGGAGAGCTTGAGGCGCCTGGAACGCCGAAGATGGTGATTCTCGGGGGCGCCGGTCGAGTTTGTGGCGCCGGGAGAGGGGCGAGAACTCTGGGTCCGCAAACACCACACTACGTTGACGTCGTCAGTGGACACGATCAACAGGGCGTGACCGAGAATGCACTGTCAGCAAGTGCCGTCCTGGATAAGCTGTGCCAATGGTGTTGATCTCTGGATCACAGGTGGTCACAATGTGGGCTGGCGTGGGCCACTAGCCACTGACAAGGTGGCAGGGGAGGTAGTCAGCAACAGGGGTCTGCGATTGCGTACTGTCGGTACGATTCGGAAAAAGGTGTGATCGCCTCGACCTTATATCGAGGTGACAATGGAGGACGACAACACGATACGAGGCAGGTATGCAACAGGGGTCAGTGGGACGGCCGAGGGACTTTAAGTATCAAATCGACACTGTGTCCGGTAGTCAAGGCGGAAGATAGGAAGGTGTCGTAGTCGAAAAGATCAAACCGGACGAAGGAAGGCGATCTTTTCCATCCCTTGAACGCCTATAGGCGCTATCGTTCTTATAGCGAAGGGTTGATGAAACAAGGTTCCTCGTGACAGCCGTGTTGGTAGAGGAGGTCTATTGTTTCCAACATCCGTGCATGGATGGACTGCGACAGGCGCCTGGTTGAGTGGTATCACCAAGCGTACAGGTAGACATGGAAACCAATCTGTAGAAATACATGGCACCCCTTGCCATGGTAAGTTGACCTAAATCCGGTCGGAGTTGTTGACAGTCCGAGTACTTGACACGTGACATGTAAATCACTCTGCGCAGTAGCCGAGAAAAGCGCCTTGGAGTCGGAACTGAGGTGCAAACTCCACACACAGACAATCCTCAATGAACTGTGTGAGAGACGATCAAGTGGTGTACCCGAGTTTTGCGATAAAACACGGAACCCCATGGGCGTCGTGGAAAACCCGGGGAGCGCCGAGGAAGAGTCTCTCTCAGGAACGCTGGCGCTAGGGTAGGGTAGAACAGCGTTGATGTCTGCGATGTCGACGAAGTAAACTCTTTGTAAGTGGATGTCGTCGTCGAATCTGATACAGACGCTGTTCACATGACGCTCTGTTTCGATGGAAACCCGCAGGTCATCTCTCCGGAATCATAGCGCTTTAAACGACGGGATTATGGATAACGTCTCAGTGGGCAAGTTGAATCAGACCAACTGTCTATTGGTTGAAATGATTCCACCCAGGAAGTAGAACGATAGTCACGATCCCAAAGACCGACGGGAGAGTAGCGAAAGGAGCGGCGACAGTTGTTTCACCATGCTTCTCCGTGTGACGAGTTATGAGACGGCAGCAAGAGAAGAGGGCAGTGGCGCCGGGGAGGCGATTGCCGATGGTGCCCCTTAAGCCGCAGTAGAAGATCGGATGGTCGGCTCGTTGATCTGAGCTTGATAAAGCTTGTTGTTCTGAAGCTTGTTGAGCGCCGAAGACATCAGAGGATGCGGAGGCGCCGGAGCGCGGAGACATCAGAGGCGCCGGAGGCGCCGAGACATAAGCGGCGCCGAGTCATCGGAGGCGCCGAGTCATCAGCTTGTCATGAACAAGTCATGAAGCTTGTTGAGCGCCGAGACATCAGCGGCGCCGAGTCATCAGCGGCGCCGAGTCATCAGAGGCGCCGGGAGCGCCGCGTCATCAGAGGCGCCGGGAGCGCCGTGTCATCAGAGGCGCCGCATCGTCAGAGGCGCCGAGTCATCGGAGGCGCCGGAGAAATCAGCGTTGACGGTGTTGGAGACCGTGAACGGTTGTATGTCGTGCCAGGGGAGGCAGACTCTACGTTGGGAGCGCTTGAGCCGCCGGTGGAGTAGGAGACCGTGAACGGTCGTATGTCGTGCCATGGGAGGCAGACTCTACGTTGGGAGCCGCCGTGAAGCTCCGCTGAGCGCTGCTGCCGTCAACGTAGGTGGGGGTCGACGAGCACGTTGAGCGAGGTGTGTCCTGGATACTCGCATGAGCTGAAGGATCACAGCGACGAATGACTGCAACATCGGCACTGCCTTGTAAAGTACAGGGCGTCGTACAATCACGGCAGAAAGGGGCGGCCCCGACCAGATTTGTTCCCGCGGAAACAAGTGCAGCGAGGCAGAAAATCTGGAATTTAAGCAAAACATAACTATGTGGCAAAGCCACAAAGTGCGGGAAGCATAATGTGTGGCCAATCACAAAGTATGGGAAGCATAAAGTAACTCAAAAACAGTATATTTTATTAAAGTTTATGAGATAAACAAGTACGCTAAAAGGGAGCGAAAAGGCAAAGCCTTAAGCAAACACGTAACCATGTGGCAAAACCACAGAGTACGGGAGACATAATGTAACTCATAAACTTTGTATTATATTGAAGTTTATGAGAAGAAACAATTACGCTGAGAGGTAGCGAAAAGGCAAGGCTTTAAGCACACCAAAACAACATACATAAATGTAATGTATTACCCAAGCCAAAGAGAGAATTCAAAACGCAGAACACGACATTACGTGGCCACGTGGTGAATGGCCAAAATGGCGGGAAAGAAAACAAAATGACGGGAACAACATTGCGCCCGTAAATTACTGTGACGTGAGCCACAGACGAGCGATAAACGTTACAATTTACGAATGGGAAGACCCTAAGGTCACGGCCCATAACAGGTAACAATGTAGCAGCATATAATGAATGTAGAAACACGCAAAATATAAAAAACAAATAATAAGCTTTAATTTCCACAAGGGATACAAAGTACGTCCGTCCGTGGAGGTGACAAAGCAGTTATGTCTTTTGGTGTGACGTCATGACTTCCGGGTCACGTGCCGACTGTGAGAGGGCGCTGCCTCCTGGGCTGGTTGGGACAACTTTCTTCAGCAGCTGGATCTCACACAGTTCGTCTCTCTGTCAAACATAGCAGTAAATGCAATACGGAGTAATGCAGGATAAGTTAAAAAATTTAGAAGTCTCGAACAAATTTACCTCTGGTGGTTTCATGTTGAGAACCTTGGTAATCCGCCCCTGCATGATAAGAAAATGGGGATTGTTGACGTTGAGCTGGACAGATCTGAAGAGATCCTGGACTCGGGCATTGTTGGCATTGCTTCCATTGATGAGGTACTTGTTACGTCCTCCAATGACCACCTGGAAAAATGGATACACCATAAAGACACCTGACATCACCTGATCACTCCTTGAATACATGACACTTTTCATGGATAGCAACTTTTTTTTCTTGATCGGGACATTTCAGAGCTACTTCTTGCTCCTTCAGCAGGTGAATGCCTGTTTATACAGTTTAGCACTGTTCATACCCCAAAAGGCATTCACTTGATCATGTTGATCAAGGAGCAAGAAGTAGCTCTGAAACGTTGTTATCCATAACTTGTGTCATGTATTCATGTTCTCCTAACTTCTAAATGCCTATCAAAGACTTCATCATGTAACTTGTTTTACCGAGATCATTATTTTTTTCATTTCATTTTCCTACAACATGAGTAACTGCTTACAGTTAGTTTTAAGCAACTTCAAGTAACCTGAGTAACCAGCAGAAATGATCCTACCTGTCGTGTAACTGTGATCTCATCATACTGTTCATACCCCAAAGGGCTCTGTTTCTTGTCATTGTTGTCGAATGTGATGCTGACAGTTGCCTTGATGACTCCTGCTTGACCACTTTTGTACACCAAATCTTGTAAGTTACCAGCTCGGACCTGAAACATGTGAAAAGATGGAATTTACTTTGCTTGTCCATATCTTTACTTGTGTTGATAACTGTAGGAATCTATCCATACTAATCATGCTGGTGCATTTATCAATTTAGTTTAGTTACAATCATAATGATTGGCAGGGAATAGGAAATGTGCATGAATCAGCTGTTTTTTTGCCTTCATAGTGGAACCAAAGGGGCAAAGTCAGTGAGTTGAGTCTAGCAACAAGTCGCGTGACCTCATTGCAAAAACTTCTGAGGAAGACTGTCGTAACCAAAGCGCTCTACTACTTATATAGTTGCCAAGGGCGGTAACTCCACATAATCCAGAAACTGGCTGTGTATTGCAACATGGTCCCAAACCAAACCAGCAACCACATACTATTTCTTTTCTGTGTTTAAAAGATTCGCTGATCTGTGTACATAAAATGATGGATCACCGATCGTACTTCCTTTGTTCCTTTTTATGATATCCTTATCACAACTTGCGGATATGTCCGACTCTGACAATAGTTTTTAAGTTATCATGGAATGTGAATATTTCTTGGAAGATGAATTGGTGATTTCAGAAGAAGTACAAGTGAACCCCCACCTGTGACAAAATAATCAGGATGATCCCCATCTTGGCCGCATGGATTACAAGTGATTGCGAAACACAGATTGGTACCTTTGTTAAGTTTATTTTCTCCAAAACGCAACAGCTTGGTGGCACTGACTTAAAATAGCTCCACAAAGATGAAGTGACATGTCACAGGCTCTGTAAATCCGTGCCACATGTTACATTACACTATACATACGCAGGGTTAGAAACTAAGTTTTTCCCCACTAGTCCTTATAATGATACCATATAGCCAAACCCTTAAAATGGGCCAATTTCTACAAGTCCTTAGGATACCTTAACTATTGGGCAGTTTGGAAAGGACTACAGGACTAGTGCCAATTTCTAACGCTGCACATGGCTGACTGTTTTATGATACCTGGACTGACTGCTGGCATACATAATGGGGGGTGGAGCAAACCTGTGTGGTGCTGCAATTTCAGGCCACCTTTTTCTTTTTTACCTCAGCAGAGAAGCTTAGGTTTGAGATCTGATGGTTGTTTCATAATAAATAAAAGGCAAGGTGACCACAGATTAACACAATTGCGTAGACTATGGTTTGTTTAGCAAGTGCCAATAGGTTGAAATAAGTGTCATTCGCATTTCATGCAATACAAAGATGTGATTCGAACCGACGAAATCTTAAATAAGGATCAAGATGGCGGGTGTCACTCCTCTAGCCTATTTGTGTAGGGGTGTGATAATTTCTATGTGAACGTATCATGCTATACACGCGATCATCAAGTTCTTGTGCTTGACAGCTTGCAGGGATGCAAATGAACCATAACAGTTTATTATGTTTACCAGCCCAGTGTGTGATATTACAATCATCAAAAAGCCTGCAATTCAGAATTCTACTAGGCCCATAACTGGCATATGTAACATTGAAAAACTTGGGCTTGTGCCAATTTGCATCACTCGCTTGCTAACGGGTTTAAAACTTCAACTCTTTGGCTAAGTGAAATGCCAGTTAGACCAGGCATCTGATTTTGGGGGGCTTTGGATAACACGGTCGGTGGTTCGAATCCCATCACGGAACTCGGAAATATTATGCCCCCCCTACATCATGATGTTGCTGATCATGCTTGGTCTTAAGTTGGTGTCTGACATCAGCTGGTCACAAACCTTATTGGTGAAGACTTTATCTGTCAAGATCGAATAACTGTGAATACACTTCACGGTCGTTAACCCTAACAAAGTATTGTTTCAAGTGATTTACTTAACATAAGTATGATACTTACGTGTGAAAGATTGGTAATGCCGAGAAGAAAACATATCGCATCGAGGATGTTTGATTTTCCACTTCCATTCAAACCTGTAATAGCGTTGAATAATGGATCAAATCCATTTATTTCCGTACGTTGGGCGTATGACTTGAAGCCATCAACGACCATCGACTTAATGTGCATTTTGGTTAACTGTTGATTACACCATCAAATTCAAATGTTTTGGTTGTTACTGTCAATAAAGTCGTAAATGGCGCTCAAATCCGTTTAACCATTTCTGCGCATGCGCTCTATCCCACAATGCAAAATCGAAAACATATATGGCTGCGCCCATGTAAAGTCATGACGCACATGATGAACACATTTCTTTACAGTGTTTGTATACTAAGCGAATTTGAAACATCTAATAACTACGGATTGCAAGAAGCGAACACATAGTCACGATTTATTATAGGATTGATAACTGTGACAAGCTTGTAAAGGTACTACACGCGATTAGAGAGTCGTTGTTGTCATATATGGAGCAAGGGAGATAATTCTGTTCACCCAACATCTCATTCACATTTATAAACCAGCTGATAACCATGATAACTTGAGAAACTTTTGTCTGCCATTTCACGACAATCCTTTGGCTTTTTTAATACATGAAGTTTGTAAAAATTATGCATAATAAAGAAAACACAAATTCTGATATTGATCAGCTGGTTGTGAATGAGTTCCATTCGAATAACTAAAACCCATGCTTTTACTGTTAATAAGCCTCTCTTACATACTCCAGAGCATATATTCAATGAGAAACTGAGACATTGTTTCTGTGTCGTTCGGCTTACCTTTAGGCCTATCTGGTGCAACTGCTTGCAAATGGCCCGAAAAAAAACAACCTTTGATTAAACTTCAAAACACCTGTATAGTGCCTTGTCAAAATTCTCATTGTTGTCTTCCACATGATCATTCAGATGGTATTGAAGGGCATGGTTAACATTCTATTTCTCTTCCAGATTGAAGACGGTGAAAATGACATCAGCATTTTTCTCGCCTGATGTTGTGAATCAGAAGACAGATATTGATGTTCTGGCAGATGTAAAGACCGATGATATCCCAAGAGTGTATGAAATTCAAAGATGTAGTGAATGGATAAAATCTGGCAATTTCACAAGGGTAATTATATGAAGAGTTGTTTTATTGTTCTGTTAGGCTAAAAAGGTCGCTATATGGCTGAAATAATGCTGATGCGGCGTTAAATTTTAACTCCCTCACAGTAAGGCTAAAAAAAATAATAGTCTTGGTTCTCAGGGAACGCCTGCATCATCAAGTTTGCTGCACAATTCATTTTTATTTTCATTTTTAATAACAAAAACAAAAAAAACCAAGTCCAACGGTAGTCAAATACTGTATTCCAGTATTTTACTCATTAAGGAACACTTTTATGTAGGGAGGCCCTTTCCACGGTTGATTGCACATAATGGTTTATTTAGTTACACTACTATTTATTTGGTTAAATACCAGTTTGAACAACAACAACAACAAAAAGAAAAAAAATACACCACCCAACCGCACTATATTTTCAAAACCAGCCTGAGAACCAATTCTTTTATTTTTTTAACCACACTTTTTTCACACAGTGTCATCTGAAATTATGAGTAACCATTAAGTTTTCTTATTCAGTTGTATGTTCTTATGCTCAATTAGACATGCTATATTTAAAAAACAATGTTATATGCATGATTAGTATGTACCCAAATGCTGTCAACCCTGGATATATAATAAAGTTAGCTATTGTGAAATATTTATTATATTGAAACAAATTTTAACAACTGTACCTAACAAGGTTTAAAGTCGCATCCAAGATTATTGCACTTATATAGGGATGTGCATGCACGTGTGTGTGTTTGTGGCTGCTTGTACTAGTCCGGACATATGCTGATTTTATAGTGCTAGCTCACTGAGATACCACGGGCACAGACCAACCACGGGCCTAGGTAGTCCAGTGGGCACCTGGGTCCTATTCCTGAATCCACCGCACCTGCGTACCCGAGTTTCCTGTCAAAGGCCTAGTTTGTGGTGTCTACATATCACCAAGACAATATTGGTATATTTGCAGGTAGCGATTCAGCTTCCAGATAACCTTCTGTGTGACTCAGCAAGGATTGTACAAGAGCTAGAGAAGTCAACAACTGCCAAATTGTTTATCCTGGGTGATACATCATACGGAAGGTATACATTTAGGTGATGAAACAGAATAGACCTGTGAAGATCTGGGTTAGAATAGGTCTTCAGCAACCCATGCCTGCCGTAAAAGGCGACTATGCTTGTCGTAAAAGGCGTTTAATTGGTGGTCAGGCTCGCTGACTTGGTTGATGCAAGTCAAATGTTGGATCCGTCCTTGCTGTGCTAAATAAGTGATAAGAGAGTAAGATGGTCCGGTCACTTGCAATACTGTATTAGACGTAATAAGCGCCCAGGGCGCTCTCAAAATTAGAAATAGGGGGCTCTTATTAGAATATTATTATGGTGAAAAAAACAGAGTTGAAAGATAAATTTCGTGGTTTATGCTGACAACTTTAAATGTTTATCTACGACAGATATATTTTTCCAGAATCAAATTGCCCATGATTAAGGGTGCATATAACACACGGGTGCGTATTATACGCGAAAAAATAAGCCTTGTGTACATTGATCAATCAGAAGGGATGCCAATTGGGATTGTTCACTAAATATCACCATGGGTGCTTATTAGAGCGGGGTGCTTATTACGTCGAATACGGTACTAAGACCAGTATAAAATTGGTCCAGGGTATTTATCATAACAATACAAGACAGAATGGAGACATAATACCATGGATAATCAAAGGATGGGTTCATCCGCGATGCTACATTTTTAATTAGTTTAAAAATCTTCTAGGATACTGTGTTTATATAATAATATAAAATTTGTTATATTCTGGGGATCTATCCATCTTTGAGTACCTGTGTAAAGTCCATTACTGGTGTCCCCAGTCATGATGTGGCTGGAATATTGGTAAATGGTGAGTAAACCCAGCTCACTCACTCTAGCAGCTTACATCAATATGATTCTGTCCTATTCATACAATTCACGGATTTATTTTTTTGTTTTGTTTATCAGCTGTTGTGTGGACGAGATAGCAGCCCAGCACAATGCTGCTGATTGCATAATCCATTTCGGACGTTCATGTCTGAGTGTGACCAAGCGCTTACCAGTTTTGTTCATCTTTGGACAGAGGCCTGTTGACCAATCAGACTGTTTTGTCAAGTTCCGAGAGTTGTTTCCGGATGAAGAGAGCAAAGTAGTTGTCTTGTATGACACATACTATGCTTACATTGTTGGTTAGTATACTTTACTGAATATTGTAAATATTCTAGTAATTCTGAGGCAGAATCAGCTTCCTGTGGCAAGGGAGTTAACTGACTTTAAGAGTTTAGTTTCAGCCCTTGCTGATATAGGCTGGAATCATGGAGTTATGTTTTGGCTGGACTAATGAGTCTATGCCTATTTCAGTCAAAATCCTATCAAAAAACGATATCGACATCTGGTTCATAAACAACATGGTGAGGTGAGGTGAGGTGAAATTGGGTTTAACGTCGCGTTCAAGATTATTGCACTTATATAGCGACGTGCATGCACGTGTGTGTGTGGCTGCTTGTACTAGTCCGGACTGATGCTGATTTATAGTGCTAGCCCACTGAGATACCATGCCGCAGTTTAACATGAATACACCACTCAGACACAGTATACTGACTCCGAGCCGACCAGTCCTTGTTATAGCCCCTTAATGCCGAGCGCCAGACAGGGTAACAACAAGTACCATCTTTTAACGTCTTTTGGTATGATGCGGCCGGGGATCAAACCCAGGACCTTCTGCTCTCTGGGTGGAAGCTCTACCACTAGACCACGGAGGTGGAAGTGCTGTGCCAAATTTGTTGAATTGCAGGATTTACAAAGCATGTTTAATGTCAACTTGGCATCAACACATATTTTCCACATCTTTTCATGTTTTTAATCAAGGTGCTCACATGATTTGATGCACTTCGAGAGCATTTAATTACAACTAGGATTTTTATTATCGATAAGATTTTCTTGACTGGGCAAATGCAAATGATATGAGAGGACGAATCTGATTGGTCAGTAGGGGGGACATAGAAGGGACATAACTTGTAATAGCCACTGGTGGGGCTATGATCAAGCCCAGAAGTTCCAGCCTGGTTCGTCAAGGGTGGAAACTTGACTTTTATGGTCAGTTAACTCCCTTGCCTCGGGAAGATTAGGCAGAATAGGTCCCAGTACCCATGGCTTGTTATAACATGTAGACTTCCATCAGGTTGACACACTTGATGAAGGGGTCAGAAGTAGACCTGAAACATTGTTAGGCTTTTTTAAAAATTTGGTTTAGGGATCCTTTGATCCCAAATTACTGAGAAAATGGAGAAAAAAAATTATCAAAATTTTGAAATAGTTTTATCACTGCTAACCCCCAAAAACCTTTGTATTCAAATAAAACAATATATATTTCTGGAATTTTGCAACGTAGTAGTAAGACGACTTTGCAATCAAAACTCTCTACATTGCAGAAGAAAATCACTTCTGCAATGATTTACGTGACAATGCAGTGTTGACAGTAAGGGGAAGTAACTCCAACCACATCTGGGTACCTTGCCTTGTCTTGTATTAATTTGTATTTTAAAAATATAATTTTCCCCTACCAAACAGATTTTTTTGGGGGGAAAAATTTGTAAACCATCTAAAACAAATTCCTTTATACAGAGTTTTATGTCTTCTTTCTTCCAACTTGTAGACACCTAGCAAAGACTTCCTTGAAAACAGTTGTGACCTTCTCCCAAGACCATGCTGTCTCAAACAAATAAATAATGATCAGATACTGATTTAGCAGGTAGCTGTGAGTCATGTTTAAGCGACATATGACACCATGCCTGTATACACACTTATCATGGAAGATAAATGAAAGACGAACCCATCTTTCAGACACTTATATTTTGCAATAATCTTTTTAAAAAGTTACATTGATACTTTCAGATGACATCTTCAATGAACTTCAGAAGTCACACAAGTCTTTAGTGTTATCAAGACTCCTGACGCCTAATTCTGAATCTGATTCGGCACAAGACAAGTCAAGGTCACCAGTATTCACCAGGTGCAACCGAACTGTTCGGCTCCCGGAGTCTGAACTCATCCACAACTACAGCATCTTCTACCTCGGCGGGGAGAGCCTTGCTCTGACTAATCTCATGATGAACTTTACCAAGTGTGCCTTCTATACATATGATCCAGAGTCCTGTATCGGGAGACGAGAGACCCTGAATGTAAACAAGGCTTTGATGAAACGCTACTACATGATCGAGCGAGTCAAGGATGCAAGTATTGTGGGGATTGTAGCAGGTACATTAGGAGTGGCCAATTATTTGGAGGTTATGAATAGGCTGAAAAAACTTATCAAGATTGCTGGTAAGAAAAGCTATACTTTTGTGGTTGGGAAGCTGAACGTGGCAAAGCTTGCCAACTTTATGGAGATTGATGTTTTTGTGCTGGTGTCGTGTCCCGAAAACACCTTGATTGACTCATCAGAGTTTTATAAGCCTGTTGTGACACCATTTGAGATGGAAATAGCTCTGAACAGTGAAAGGGAATGGACTGGGGACTATATCACAGATTTTCAAGAAATTCTACCAGGTGAGTGCTCGGTTGTGGTCTTGTAGCCATTGTGACAGTGTCAAGGGAAGGGAGGTAATTCTTGGATCTCAAGTCCACATGCTTTCCTTTGAGATTTGTAACTATACATGAATGTTCAAACAGAGAAATAAGGGAACACTACTATCTTCATGTGAGGCCCAAACTAAACAAACTTTCTTTTCTTTTTCCCCCCAGACTAATACAGGCATAAAGTATGAAATCATTAAACTCTTTGTTTGGTTGGGGGTGGTGGGGTAGCCTAGTGGTTGAAGCGTTCGCTCGTCACGCAGAAGACACGGGTTCGATTCCCCACATGGGTACAATGTGTGAAGCCCATTTCTGGTGTCCCCCACCGTGATATTGCTGGAATATTGCTAAAAGCGGCGTAAAACAATACTCACTCTCTTTGTTTGGTTGAGACCGCCTCCGTGGTCTAGTGGTAGAGCATCCGCCCGGAGAGAGGCAGGTCCGGTGGTTTGATCCCCAGGCGCGTCTTTCAAAAAGACTTTAAAAGATGGTTCTTCTTTTTACCCTGATGATTGCATAAAAATCTGCCGCTTAGCGCGAATCAAGGGCAGACAAGTATGTTAGACCCTACATACATACAATGTTTTGCAACTGAGAAATATTTTTGAACAAGCCAGTTGGTTGGCTCACTTTGACCTCCAACAGAAAAAGCATCAAACAAATATGGCAGATAGATATCTGGTAGGATGCAAATTAAGTTTAGATTATTTTGCACCCAACCTAAAAGGGCATGGGTGTTTAGTTACACCAAGGAATTCTGTCAATCTGTCCGCCCATTCTCTGAGGACATTTTTTTGTGCCACCTATAATTTGAAAACTACTGCATAGATTCTTTTCAAACTTTGTGAAAACTTTCTATACCAATAGGAGAGATGCAGTGTGAAGTTTGATTTCAATATGTGGATTTTCTGAAAAAATATAGCTATTCTTCAATTTTTTACTTAGAGTTGTTTTACTTAAACTTTTGTGCAACCTATAACTTCAGGCCTTCTACATGGATTTCTTTTCAAAGTTAAGGAATACTTTCTAAAATAATAAGAGAAATGCAGCGTAAAGCTTGATGTTGATATGTGTATTTTCTGAAAAAATATGATTTTTTTTTAATGTTTTTAACTGAGAATGTTTTTTTACTTAAGAATTTGTGACCTATGACTTGAAGACTACTTAATGGATTCTTTTCCAATTGGGGGTACCATTTCTATACCAATAGGAGAGGTGCAGTGCAAGGTTTGATTTTGATAAGTTGAGAAAATTATGCTTTCTTCAAGTTTTGAACTTAGAAATATTGTTATTCCCCAAAAACTACTGTGATGCACCAGTGCAACTTTGAATTATGCCATGACAGTGTTTTATCATTGTGCTTTTTAGTGAAATCAGCTTAAATGGTAAGGCATCAATATATATATATCTACAATGTCAAAATTGATCTTAAGCTGATGTTTGAGTTGAGGTCGGGGGTATTATTAGTGAACCTTGCTCACCTTTTGCCTTGTTTTCCTTTACTTCACATTTAGTATTCTGCCTACGAAATATTTAGACACATTCCAATTACTCATCAGATTTCATTCAATGGAGATTCAGGTTGGAATGAGGTCCCCAGCAACTGATGCTTAGTGTATGAGGTGACTAAGTCAGTCAATCACTGGATTGTTTGGTCAGATTGATTATTTACAGGCTGCTGTCATATAGCTGCAAAAACCACAAAACATCAATTAGCCTTATAAGTTTTTACAAAACGATCCATCACCATGGTTACCATGGTTACAGGTGCTGCATCATATGTGGAGATTCCAGCCGACCAGGAAGCGGAAACTGTGGCGGATGTGTCCCTCATCAGCAATCAGATACGGGTGCTGGGGACGCAGAGTGAGACTGAACTGATGGCAGCCAGTACGGCTCTTGTGTCGCGGGACCAGAACATGGCCGTCGCTACAGTCCAGGCCCAGTCAGCGGGTACGTAGCACAGTCTTTGTAGGACGAACAAGGGTGGGATCTACCAACATGACCAACAAGCCCCAAGCTCTTACTTTGTGATCAGATTTGAATTATCCAAATGTAGCACGGTAATGATACCCTTGATGCAATATGATTCTTAAGAATTGACTTCAATATTTTTTGTACTTATGGAGGAATAAAATTATGATATTGAAGTCAAGTCTTATAAATAAGTCAACAAAAGTAACATAAAAGACAGTAGACAACAATATGAAATCAGTGTTTGTTTGTTTATTTGTTGTTTAAAGCCGCACACAGCAATATTGCAGCTATTTGACAGCGGTCTGTAACTAATCAAGTCTGGGCGAGATAATGCAGTGATTGACATCATGGGCATCAATGCATGCAATTGGGATACAATGACTTGCATCAACCAAGTCAGCGAATCCAACCACCCAAGCCCGACAACCTGATCCCGTTACGAAAGCATAGTCGACTGACAATGTTTATCATAATAAGGCAATAGAAACCACACCCACTCTATTATCAGCCAATCATGTAACAGTAGTTCACTCGTCAGCATAACCTAATTCTTTTAGGTTTCTGGAAACAAAAAACATACAGAAATTGTTTGGATAGCTCATTAAATGCCATGGAATCACATGTATATATATGTTTACATAACTCGATAACACGGTGTATGATATGATACACAATACGATACATGAAAACTCAAACTGCATTGACATTTTATCAGCCATATAGCGACGAGAACAAGTTGATATATATATATACAAAGGGGTCATGAATACAAAGTAATATTTAAAAACAAATTTATGTAACATATTTGGGTATAACAAAATTTGTAACTGTTTGAAACATGGGGTATCGGCCACCAGTAACCAAAGCTAGGCCACCTCGCTGGGGATCATCAGGACTTACAGTGCGTCAGCTTCCTGCATGCTACCCCAGCAGGATTTGCATCATGACCTCAACTACTATATCACTTTAGCTACTGGTGGTTGCACGATACAAGCCAATATTAAAAAATGCTCAGCAATGATTTGGCTTAAAACACTGGTAAATGCTTTGGACACTTGGGTTCCCCTCCAGGTCTATCTAGGCAGTGAATCAGGTATCTGTTCTACTTGACCTTTGACTGACATACTTCCGCTTAAACCAGTTTCATATTTTTAACCACAGGAAGTTCTGATTAATATTACAGTTGATGTATTTATATTGTCAAATAGGTGTTTGGTATTAAATAAGTCATTCATCCATATTAATGTTTGATAGTCAAAATGGAAAAAAAATGTAATTTTTATTAGAACTTCAGATCCTTTGATGTAGCATACTTGAGTTCAAATAAGAAACATTTTGTACTTAAATCTCCTAATTTCATTCACTTGTAATCAATATTCATTGTTACCTAAACAAAAACTAAATCACCTCTGCCCAGTGTCGGTTGTTCACATGGTGTGTAAGTGTATGTGTTTGTTACAGGGGAGTTCCTGGGAGCAAGAACATGGCAGGGACTTGAACGTAACCTTGGTGATACACCTGTTACCAAGGCAACAGAAGGAAGAAGTGGCATTGCTGCTAGTTATGATGATGAACCTGCATAAATGTGACATACAGTATTTAATTTAATAAACACAACACTGCATCACTCTGGTGGCAGGAGCACAGCAGTGAGTCTTGTTTGTATTTGACTGGGGAACAGTTGTGTAAGGCGCCGCGATTCACTGTGCAGAGTTGCGCCCCTTGGGTACGCAGAAACCTATGATTGTGGGTTCGAATCCTGGTTCGCCCCGATTATGTTTCTAGGTTTGGCAGCACCATACTTGTGCTCGTGGGTTTCACCAAAGTGGTAAACATCTGAGACCCTACTGTAATGTTATAGCCCAAAACGAAGCATCTCTAGATTTTCCACCAATTTAGAGTATCCCATCTCACAGGGGCTACTTTTCGATATATTTGTAGTTGCTTTTTTATCAAAATTATAGGTTTTCATAGATGTTAGTCTAGTTGAGATCATAAGAATCCCCGAAAATCTCAAGGAATTGAGGCCGTTCATAGTGGTCAGACTGAATGTTATATAAAGAAATATGTTCTTGATGTATAAATTGCGGATTTAACTTTTGAGAAGCACTCGTTCCAGCAACGTTAGGCAGTCAGTAGGATGGTCCAGGTGAAGTATCACCATCCTACATCTTTGATATAGGAAGTTCAACCAAGCCAAAACTGTGCACTGATGGCAGGCCAGCATTTGGGACTATTTGACTGGTGTGTAGGTTACCTCTTGGGCTGTCAAACCCCAAACAGCTGTTGCTTCGGTCATGGAGGCAAGGGTGAGTGACCTACAGCACTTCCAAGAGGGGTCTCTTTCTTGTGATGGACTACTTAAAGGTTACATGACCCTGTGACCTCCAATAGCCTTGACACTGACCTTTGCAATTGAAACATTTTTACCACAATCCCAAATATCTTCTACTCTGATACGGCTTCACTGATGAAGCTGAAATTTGTCATTCCTTCTTATGAAGACATCTGACCAATGTGATTTTAATTAATTTTTTTTTTCAATATTTATGTCAAACAGACTTATTTAAGAAAAATGTTTTCTTTAAATGACAGGGCACAGAAATTTAAACTTTTTGTGAATGACTATAAGAAGATCCAAAATTAGTTTAAGACATCACTATTAGAACTCAATATGGTTGTGTCATGAACAACGCATCAGTTTTCTTGGAATCACTATAGATGATGGCACCAAAATAAGGTTGAAGTATCTGACACTTATTCAGTTGACGTGAACTACAAAGCCTTGCGGCTTTCTTTGGTATTTATTTGGCTGCATGTCAGCTTGATTTGACTGGAAAGCATGAAGTGATGCAGTTCTGACACATTTACCACTTTGGTGAAACACGTGCAGCAGTATGGTGCGGAGGAACAGAATCATTATCAGAGATAACCGGGATTTGAACCCACGATCATATGTTTCTGGCAAACCCAAGGGACGTAACTCAGAGTTCCGGTCGGATGCTTTACCACTAGACCACGGAGGCGGTGCCCCACGATCAGAGGATTCAGTTGCGCCGAAGGGGCGCCACGTTCCACAACAAACTGTAGCATGTGGTAACAACGACGACCTGGTCACATTTTGTTTTATTACCGGGGGGCGGTCGGGTAACCTAATGGTTAGAGCGTTCGCTCGTCACGCCGAAGACCCGGGTTCGATTCCCGACATGGGTACAATGTGTGAAGCCCATTTCTGGTGTCCCCCGCCGTGATATTGCTGGAATATTGCTAAAAGCGGTGTAAAATCAAACTCACTCACTCACTCTATTCATACAGAGCATCAGTGGGGCAGAGGTAGGCCTGTCTGAAGCACTGCAGTTGGCTATGTAGAGTGAGTTTGATTTTACACCGCTTTTAGCAATATTCCAGCAATATCACGGCGGGGGACACCAGAAATGGGCTTCACACATTGTACCCATGTCTGGAATCGAACCCGGGTCTTCGGGGTGATGATCGAACCACCAAATATTATTCTCATCCATGAAATAATTCAGGTTAAAATGCAAACACAGTTTTTTATGTGTATTAGCTCAGTATAGATGGTGAACTATGAAGATCCAGGTTAGAATTGGTCTTCCACAATCCATGCTTGCAAGAGGCAACTAATGGGATCTGGTGGTCAGGCTCCCTGACTTGGTTCATGCATGTCAATCCACATTGTATAAATCCATGATCATGATGGCAATCACTGGATTGTCTGGCCCAGACAGGATTATTTACAGACTACCGTCACATAGTTTGAATATTGCCGAGTGCGGCGTTAAACAAACAAACAAACAAACAATATACATGGTCACCCATGCCACCAATCACTGGTTTGTTTGGTCCTGATTATTTACAGGATGTAACTTAATTTTACAGACCGTGCTAAAAACAAGTCATTCATCCACTCTTTGGACAGTAGCCCAGATGTGACCCAGCAGTTAAGACACGACCCGGGGGCACGGGTGGCCCAGTCGTCTAAGGCGCCGCGATTCGCTGTGCAGAGTTGCATCCCTTGGGCACGCTAGAAACCTATGATTGTGGGTTCGAATCCCGGTTCGCCCCGATTATGTTTCTAGGTTTGTCAGCACCATACCCGTGCTCGTGGGTTTCACCGAAGTGGTAAACGTCTGAGACCTGCATCACTTCGGGCTTTCCTCCCACATTAAGCTGACACGCCGCGATATAACTGGAATACTGTTCAAAGCGGCGTTAAACCAAACTCGCTCACTCACTCACTAAGACACGACCCTGCATTTACACATGCGAAACATGACATAAGGGACAATTCCGCTTTGTAACAGTAGTCGTCACAACGTGACAACAGCGCACAAACAGGAAGCAATAGGCATGGTTAGGTCGAGGAACACAGACAGATTGCTAACAATTCAAAGCGAAAACTGGCGATGTGAAAATGCGGCATGCTCGTTTGAGTGTATGGTTTTACGCCGCTTTTAGCAATATTCCAGTAATATCAAGGCGGGGGGACACCAGAAATGGGCTTCACATATTTTACCCATGTGGGGAATCGAACCCGTGTCTTCGGCGTGACGAGGGAACGCTTAAACCACTAGGATACCCCACCACCCCTGCTCTTTTGTGAGAAATGACAGATTGTAGATCGTCAGGAAATGATTTCAAGTGTTATACAATAGGATAACTCAGATCTCCATCAACACTCTGTGCAGGGCAATCAACAAAGGCAAATAAGTGACCGAAATGTATGCAATCGGTTCATAAATGCAGGGTTAAAAATGTCACACAAAGCGTGCATAGAGTAGTATTTGCATTTACCACACATTATATATATCATAGTTTATAAAGGGGTTCTAAATCATGCATGTAAATAAGACCAGAAGGCATATAAACTTCCATAATTACAATTTGAATATGCAATACATTTAGCAACTTCGTAATATCTAAGTATGTCTATCTGAAGTGGTAAAAAATGGTTTCACTATTTTTTTCTTTTCACTGTGTTACCATAATGAATGCACTGAGTGAATTGTTATTCTTCCTTTTAAATCCAAACAATATGTGTTCAGTACGGAAATTTACTTCCGTATAGTTTCCATGCCAATCGGAAAGTGTCTTCCGTAAATCAACGGCACAGTGAAACTATTACATAATTCAGCACAGCACGACTGACACGCTGGTGGCTTAGCACTTCATTGTGTGCAATAAGACAGACCTCCATCTTGGTGGACAAAATCCCAGAAATAAGCTTAAACCTACCCATCTCAAAATCGGAAATTAAAAGTGTCAACAAACAAAAAATCACCAAAAAATGGCATAATTTATATCTAAACTCAAATAGCCAAATCAGAAAGGTTCTCAAAAAAACCCTTACCAAACCATACATTCTACATCCGTCCAAAGAAATCGACAGAGTAATCACTAAACTCCAAACAGGACATACCAACCTTAATAACCACCTCAAAATAATTAAAAATACACGCAACAGGAACCTGCCCACATTGCAAACAACAAGAAACCCCAGAACACGTACTCATACACTGCACCCACTACCTAACACACCGAAACACACTACAAACCACCCTAAATCTAAATAAGGATCTTACCCTAGAAGCAATCCTAAACCCACAAAATAAAATAGAAAAATTCAAAGCCTTAGGCGTTTACTTAATCAAAACAGGACTAATAAATCGCATTTAAGAACCCAATAAACTTCCAAAACCATATCACATAATCAAACAATCAAACTACCACACACTGGCCCCTTAGTTCGCCCCCAAACCTCTCTTGGCATTTATTCCAAATCTCAAAATTTCGAAAGCGCAATATAAGCAACCCCTTAACTAAAATAAGGACTGGTCGGTTCGGAGTATAATATGTACTGTGTCTGAATTGGTTTTCATGTAAAACTGCGGCATGGTATCTCAGTGGGCTAGCACTATAAAATCGGCGTTAGTCCAGACGTATTCACGCACGCACACACACACACACACACACACACACACACACACACACACACACACACGCCTCTCGTATCTCATATTTCATCTCACATTACATCAAGACCAACTTTAATGTGAAGATCACTTTTCAACCTGGATATTCAGCTAGAGACTCACCACAGTTGACTGTTGCTGCTACACTGACAGACATAATTTGTAAGGTAACTTAGTTTGTGAATTTAACTGTCCACTCAGACACTATCATGTCAGTAGACTTTACTAATTAGATAGTATTTTTAACTAGGATGCCTATCGTCACTAAGACAATTAAGTAGTAATCAGATATACTTTCATTACCTGCGTCCTGTGCGAGAAAAATACTATTGGGCATAAAGCAACTATACATAAATGAACACAAAAAAATTTACAAGATGTGATTGGAAACTGCAACCTCTTGATTTGTATTCCGTCACGCTACTGTGCTACTGAGACTGTTGTCGTCACAAGTGTCTATTGTCCTAGTTAGTTACTATTAGCTTGGTTATATTTCAACATTTTTTATGTTAATATTGTAGCAAGTTCGTTTGCGTATGTGATATGTAAGTAACTGAGAGTGTGAATCTAATTTGCACATCTAATTTAAATATTTATCTCATTCATATTTTGACTTATGACCTGATGATGTGCCCTTTATTAAGCATATTAAAATTGATAAATTCTAGACATGTTCAAATGTGTTTTAAATTCTAAACATGTTTGGATTATGGGGATGTGGTGTTTAGGCTATGAGGCGAAAGCTCATACATGTTTCAGACCTTAAACGTGTTTAGATAGAACACACCAAATATGCATACCGTTTAGGATTGAACACATTCCGATACATAGATATATCTTGTATGTGTTTACATTCCTAACTCATTGTTTACAATGGGGTTTAAGTAGTGCATTATACTAATTTAATAAGTGATATTTACTAATCTTCAGTATCTTCGTGCCATCTACCAGACAGGGTAGTAAATCCGCTGTTTACTAACATTCAGGCCGCTCTTATAACTGTTAAGTTAGTGAATTCACCAGACTTTTTGCTCAGTGTAGCTGAATATTATTATCCTTGTCTTTAGTGCTTTAATCACTGCTATCATATTTTACATTGCCACTGTACTTGTACTACCATGGCAATTTGGAATGCCATTGTAATTGCTGTGCAGTAATTTGTAAACCTAGTTGATTTTATAAAACAATTGTTAGTTGTACCATTTCTTCCTGCTTGTTGGTTTCACGCAGGATTCTTTTACGTACAGATTTCTGGGTTAACGGACTGTTTCAATTTGGAAATCGCGCACGAACGTAACAACATTCACTCTCCTAATCACACTCTTGATGTTGCATTCCTGCTAAAAATTCAGACAAAGACCATCTAAATTTATTTGTTTCCATGAATTGTGTATCAGCATTTTTGTGAAACTGAAATCTAAAATGTTTATGAAACTGAAAACAGCATTTGGTATGACACAGACATCACGCAAACAGGAACTCACAGACCTTCTCCCTAAACCTATCGTCAATTTATAAGATAACGTTGGAAAATAAGGCCATTTTGAGAAATAATGTCCACATAATGCCATATTAGGAAAAAAGGCTTTAAGGGGAATGTACGTATGTATGTATACTACTCAACATGTTTTGGGGATATTCTTAGTGAGGGGATAAATCTGAGTGGTTGTTTGGAGATGAAAAAATAGGATCTGACTAATGTTAAGCTCCAATTTGAGAATAAACAAAGAAAACATTTATATACGTTGTTGTTGTTTAGTGTGAGGTTTAGCTACCACACTATCCCTATCATGATTTGAGTAGTATTGTACAGATTGTACTGTTTTTGTTTGGTTATTATTACTTGAAATGCAGCTTAACACCATAAGCTTAAATTGAAGCTTCGCAGAACACCCCTACCAAATAGTGAGTGGTATATACTGTGCTAATTCAACCGGTAATAAAGTGAGTGAATGAGAATGGTTTAAAGCCGCTTTTAGCAATATTCCAGCAATATCACGGCGGGGGACACCAGAAATGGGCTTCACACATTGTACCTATGTCGGGAATCGAACCCGGGTCTTCGGCGTGACGAGCGAACGCTCTAACCATTAGGTTACCATTAGGTTAAAACCAAATGTGGCCAGGTCGTCGTTGTTACCACATGCTACAGTTTGTTGTGGAACGTGGCGCCCCTTCGGCGCAACTGAATCCTCTGATCGTGGGGCACCGCCTCCGTGGTCTAGTGGTAGAGCATCCGACCGGAAATCGGAAAGTCCGGGGTTCGATCCCCGCGCGCGTCCTACCAAATGACGTTAAAAGATGGTACTTGTTGTCACCCTGCCTGGCGCTGACTGATCGTCTCGGAGTCGGTATTCTTTGTCTCAGTGGAGTATCCATGTTAAACTGCGGCAGGGTACCCAGTGGGCTGGCACTACAAAATCGTCATTAGTCAGGACTAGTACAAGCAGCCACGCACACACACACACACACACACACACACACACACATACACACACACACACACACACGCATGCACGTCGTTATATAAGTGCAATAATCTTGAACGCGACGTTAAGCCTCATTTCACCTCATCTCTGATCTTGGGTTCGAATCCATGATGAAACCATATTATGAGCCTCGGTTTGTTAGCAGAGCCCAATTTCGTTTGCATTATACCAAAGCATGTCGGCCGCCAATCTCCCGTGAGTGAGTGTGGTTTAATGCCGCTTCGCCCAGCAATATGACGTCGGAGGACACCAGAATGGGCTTCACTTGTTGCACCCATGTGGGGAATCGAACCGGGGTCCATTGGGTAAAATACTTTCGTTTATGCACAGGGTGTCTTGTGTCGGAACAGTAATCATTATGCTGACTAACAGACAAATGGACTATCAAACCGTCCCAACACATACTTCGAAGCCTCAACACCACATATTAGGATCTGAACCTCATCCAACGGTTGACATAAACTCGCCCGAAAACGGAGTCTATGTGAGGCTAACTTTTTGTTTGTTTCTTGGAAACATAACAATGGACATATGTGAACAGATTATACACACTCAGCTATATTCCAGCTATATGGGGGGCGGTCGGACAGCCTAGTGGTTAAAGCGTTTGCTCGTCACGCCGAAGACCCGGGTTCGATTCCCGAGATGGGTACAATGTGTGAAGCCGATTTCAGGTGTCCCCCGCCGTGATATTGCTGGAATACTGCTAAAAGCGGCGTAAAACCATACTCCCTCCTCACTCACTCACTCCAGCTATATAGTGGCGGTCTGTAAATCTAGTCTGTACCAGACTATCCCGTGATTGACATCATGAGCATCGATCTACGCACTTGGGATACGGTGACATGTGTCATCCAAGTCAGCGAGCCTGACCACCCAATCCCGCTGGTCTCCTCTTACGTAAAGCATATGCGCCTCTCACGACAAGCATGGGTTGCTGAAGACCTATTCAAATTGGCTGAGGACCCTGAGCAAAATATGTAACGGCGAAGTGGCGTCCCGAATACCTCGTCAACATGCAATGACGAACATGGCTACCCGTATGATGGTGTTGAACGTGATTCTGCTGTTATGGTTTTGTGCTGATGTAGAAACAAATCCAGGACCAATTGATAAGGCATGCGAGGATCAACGTATGCTTCGGAGCAGTGGCGCCAGCAAACAAATGCTTTTGACCGATCCAAAACAAAGCAAAATTCCAGTTTTCGAGGCCATTCAGGGAATGACTGCTAAAATAGATATCATGGAATCCAGTAATGTGTGTGTATGTGTGTGTGTGTGTGTGTGTGTGTGTGTGCGTGTGCGTGTGCGTATGCGTATGCGTGCCCTGCCGCAGTTTAACATTGATACTCCACTCAGACAAAGAATACTGACTCCGAGCCGATCAGTCAGCGCCAGGCAGGGTGACAACAAGTACCATCTTTTAACGTCTTTTGGTAGGACGCGGGCGGGGATCGAACCCCGGATTTATAGTGCTAGCTCACTGAGATACCATGCCGCAGTTTAACAACAATTTAACAAAATATTTTTAGCATTATCAATGATTCAAAACGACCTGTACATTATAAGAAGATCAAGTCATTGCTGACTGTCGACTATTATGTTACAAACATCAATGTTAGGGAATTAAGAAGATATATGTGTTTGTTGAGATTGCATGTACTGTCGTTGCGTTGTAATATCAGATGTAAAGAAGCTATAACTGTAAACCGAATTTGTAGGATGTGTAATACTAACAGCATTGAAGATGAACTCCATTTCATATTTGATTGTGAGGCATATGTATGGTTGAGAAATAAGTACGCACCGAAGTGGCATATTTCATCAAATATTTATAAATTTCATAAATTACTGACTTTTAATGATGTGTCAATACTTAACAAATGTGCTAAGTTCGTTAAAGAAGCTCTGAAATGTAAATATGCACTTTATAGTAAAAATATTTTGTCTTTGCCTAATTGCCATATACATACATACATACATACATACATACATACATACATACATAACAAATGAGTGAGTGAGTGAGTTTGGTTTTACGCCGCTTTTAGCAATATTCCAGCAATATCACGGCGGGGGACACCAGAAATGGGCTTTACACATTGTACCCATCTCGGGATTCGAACCCGGGTCTTCGGCGTGACGAGCGAACGCTTTAACCACTAGGCTACCCGATCGCCCCACATAACAAATGAACCAGTCTCTCACTTGTATATGGTACCTCGACGGTGGGGACAGATGTCCCTGCTACCATTCCCTGGATTATCGGGTATTTCAAAACATATGCAGTAGTGAGTGAGTGAGTATGATTTTACGCCGATTTTAGCAATGTTCCAGCAATATCACGGACACCAGATATGGGCTTCACACATTGTACCCGTGTGGGGAATCGAACCCGTGTTTTCGGCGTGATGAGCGAACGCTTGAACCACTAGGCTACCCCGCCGCCTCTACGTATGCAGTAACGCTTTCGTTATGTTGATGACACGGACACTGATAGCTTCAATCTGCCATGGCGGTGTCAGGTTTACATTTCCCTGTTATTTCCTGCAGTATTATATTTTATTTGAATCTGAAATCCCCGCATATTGAGTTAGACCTGTGACAGGCAAGGAGATGTTCTGAACCTTTCATCGTTTGAACGTGTGGTCACTCATGCTGAAAGGAAGGGCGGATCCAAGGAAGGATGATTTAATGTTGGTGTTTCTGTGAGTAGACTGTTTTCTTAAACCTTAAGCTTCATAGAATACCCCTATCAAATGTCGAGTGGAATATACTGAGCTAATGTGGCAAATGTGACGAAGTCGTTGCTTCCAGTTTGTTGCGTAACGTTGCGTTCCTTCGGCGCAACATTTTCCCCAAAGGCTGTCATAAAATGTTGTTGAAAGAAACTGAATCGGCATTGCTCATGCATTGATTAAATATAGCGGGAGGAGTTAAGGTTGTATGCATCTCAGTGGGCGATGCATTTACCGGTTGTCCATCTGCTGAAACGGAGGAAGGTACAAAAGTTAAACGTTTTGGTATTTTCTTGTGGTTAAAGCGTTCGCCTGTCACACAGAGCATCTGTGTTCGTTTCTCCACTGATGATGCTGATTGTTAAAAGCGGCGTTGCACAATACTGACCAAAATCACTCAGTAATTTAAGCCGTAGGAAAACGTTTAAAACAAAATGGTTGACAAAACATTGTTGACATTGAGTCCCCTTGTTATACACACGGCCAACACAAATCAGTTTGTTACCACAGCCATTAGCAAAGAGTGGCATTTCAGTTTCTAAAGTCTGTTGAGCTACAGTTTGGGGCTACAATGAACCTTATTTATTCTCAACTCAAGTATCTCGACGTCTATCTTAAGTCGAGGTAACTTTATGGTCTCGGCAGAATCCTCATCTTAATGGTCTCATTTTGTTACTCCGCTTGTCTCGATCTACGGATAACTCGACACCTATGACGATACTCAGGACTTCGAGTTAACGAGGTTTTGTAGCCATAGGAAATAAGAGCTATAAGGGGTTGCTGATTTTTGCCGCAGTCGTATTCCAGCTGTAGCGGGGACACGGGTGGCCCAGTCGTATAAGGCGCTGCGATTCGCAATGCAGAGTTGCGTCCCTTGGGCGCGCCAGAAACCTATGATTGTGGGTTTGAATTCGGGTTCGCCCCATTATGTTTCTAGGTTTGTCAGCACCATACCCGTGCTCGTGGGTTTCACCGAAGCGGTAAACGTCTGAGACCTGCATCGCTTCGGGCTTACCTCCCACATTAAGCTGACACGCCGCGATATAACTGGAATACTGTTAAAAGCGGCGTTAAACCCAACTCACTCACTCCAACTGTATGGCGGCATGTAAATAATCAAATCTGGACCAGATAAACGAGTGGTTGATATTATGAACAACAACGAAGACACGGGAGGAAGTTACCGGATCTGACCATCCACCCGTTAAAGAACAAGTGATGTCCAAACGACCTTTTGGCCGGATGTGTGGTTGAATTTTGTTCTAATAGTGTAAGGCATGAAAAAGTTATGCCTTTTAAAAGTAGTTAGAGAACTGAGAGTGACACTTTGCAATTATTCGCCCATGTTTTACGTATGAACATAAACACATCCGTGGTCCAGTGGATTGAGCGTTTGCCTGGTTGGCATACAGTCGGTGGTTCGATACCGGCCGCGTCATACCAAGAGACGGAAAATGATGGTACTTGTTGTTATTGTGCCTGGCTCTCGGCATTAAAGGGGTGAAATAAGGACTGGTCGGCTCGGTGTCAGTGTACTGTGTTTGAGTGGGATATCCATGTTACAAAGTAATCGGGTAGATTGAAATAGTTGATCAGCGTGATGATGTGGTGACATGAGTTAACTTATGGCTGTTTGGTTGTAGCTTAACGCCGACCTCAGCAATATTGGAGCTAATTCATGACGGTTCGTAAATATTCGAATTTGGGACACGACTACCGTGAGCCTATGTTAAAGTATGGGAGTGCTAAGATCGCTTTGTGGAACGAGCGTAGTATATTTAGTCGCCTCTTACGAAAACAGATTCCTACCCGGAATCCCCACGGGGTCTTTAGGATGTGGGTACGCCGAAATAAATGGATGTTGTCGCACAGCCATTACAGTTCCAAATAACAATATATCTTCGTGTCTGAACCAGTGGTTGATAGCGTGAGCAACGCCACACGCAATCGAGACACCGATTCTACATTCTATAAGGATACCCAACCTAACACACGAACCTGACGTCGCTATATAAGTGCCATGATCTTGAACGCGACGTTAAACCCAATTTAACCTCACCTCTTGCTTATATGTACTGTTCTATGTATTATGGTTTATGAGCGAAACCAATCCTTAATTACTTTGATAAAAGAACATATTTGAATCCACAGTTATATATGTGGATAGGTAAGTTGAAAAGTGATTGTATGAGAAATATAGAAATAAACAGGAATAGACTTAATATGCATCCTTGTCGGACTCCCATATCTCGTTCAGGTGTTTTAGACAATTTATTCATTTTCCCACACAAACATTGTATATATGCTTCAAGAATTTATGCATTTAAAAAACGGTTTATGTATGAGTGAGTGACTGCGTGAGTATTGATCAACGCAACTTCGAGCAATGTTCCACCCATAACACGAAACGGGGGAGATAAGAAATGGGCCTTACACATTGTGCCCATGAGAAGGATCGAACCCGGGGCGAGCCAAAGCTTTGGCATCTAGGCAACCACATCGTATTTACACCAATCAGAATCAAGGTGACATACAATATGTGCAAACAATATTAAACAGTTTGTCACAGCTGTAAGATACTAGTATGTATGATTAATACATTATTTTATCACGTGTTTTAAGATACTAATTAGCAATGACCTTCACATTTGCCCGTGCTACTATTTTATCGGTATTTTTCTGTGACAGCTCATGAAACCTAAAACGAGAAATTCAATCTAAACCCGGACTGTAAACAGGAAATATTTGGTAATTTTACTGACAGGAAATATTTCGTTTAAAATGCATTTATTTAAACACGTATTTGACAACGTGAATTTTTAAAGTTAACCTTAAATCAACATTTTCGAAGCTGAAATTAACCAACAGTAGGACTTCTGAAAATAAGACTATTTATTTTTAAATACTTTAAAATGACCAAAAAGATTTCCATAATCATAAGAAAACTCTACTAGAAATCAGCGTCCATTGTTCTATTACGATTCAGACTATATCATAAGCATGTGTTTATGAATATCAAATAGTGATGACAGCAGGTGTTCGCGAAACGTAGAGCGTATCCTGCCCCGCCCGTTGCACCATCACAAACACATGCAAAGGCAAGTACACTGTTCACCTGAAAATATACGAGAACAACAAAATAAAAATTATCTAATGGTTTTTAAACGATGAATCGTTATATAGGTACGGATTTTCCCTTTGCCCATATGAAAGAAACCCGCACAAGCACACTCATTCCAATGCACACAAACATATTTACATTCACCTAGGCGTGGGGTGGGGCATTTTAGCTGTTGTGTAGACGTGTGCTGTTTAAAGACTCACTGTAATTACAATCGTGTCAGGAACAGACAATCCAGTGATTGATATTATGAGCAACGATCCAAACTGACGGGGTAGATTCCTCTCAGACACCCAGGTCATTGATTTAGACCCCCGATCGCCATGGTGCCATTAATGTTACACCTGGAGCCCTAAATTGGCATCATGCGTACAGGTGAATAAAGCGTAGGTAACGACCATTGCTTCTACGCCGACTCCTAACGAATATGTGGGATGAAGAATGTCACCGAGCTTGACCATCCGATCCACTGGGTTGCCCCTGACAACCAGCATAGGTTAGCTGGCGATCACTTCTGATAATGATGACGTGTTCAGAATGGATACAAATGTCACTTCAAGCAAAGTTGTTGTAAAAGGCCTACCGAAACTTGATAATCTAGTATGGTATCGACGTCAACAACAAAAATTTCGTCACATTCTGGGACACACCAAGCATTCCCAAGTACACGCACAACAATGATCAGCTATAGTTTTCATACACATTCCCAATCTCACACACATACAGTATCAATGAATGAGCTGGCCGCCTCCGTGGTCTTGTGGTAGAGCGTCCGCCCGGAGAGCGGAAGGTCCGGGGTTCCATCCCCGGCCGCATCATACAAAAAGCCTTTAAAAGATGGTACTTGTTGTTACCCTGTCTGGCGCTCGGTATTAAGGAGCTATAACAAGGACTGGTCGGCTCGGAGTCAGTATACTGTGTCTGAGTAGGGTATTCATATTAAACTGCTGCATCATCGGGTATCTAAGTGAGCTGGCACTATAACTCGACATTAGTCCGGACTAGTACAAGCAGCCACACACGCACACACGTGCATGCACGTCGCTTATATAAGTGCAATAATCTTGAACGCGACGTTAAACCCAATTTCACCTCACCTCAATGAATGAGCACTCCTCACGTGTAAGCATGAACACACACAATCTCCTCCATGGCCCCCTTGACTTGCGATTGATGGTTAAAGCATTGGTTCGACATAGTCGCGCCGAACTTGTTTGTTTGATTCCAACAAAGGTATAGCATGTAAAGCCCTTCATTAGTGCATCCGCTGTGATGTTGCAAGGGCGTGCTTTAGACCCAACTCACTCACTCACTAATGCACTTGCTCTTATGCTTTATTCCACAGGAGGAAGTAATCACATTGTTGGGGGAATGGATGCTGCCAATTGGCAAATTAGCCTCGTCTGTGTGGCAGGGACTATTATCATCATCTTGCTCCTTATAGTCACGTGCTTCCAACTAGGAATTGTGGACAGGTAGGTGTCTCTGCAGAACTCCCTGTCATAGAATAACCTTTAAAGTGTCTGTGCTATGCGGGGGCCCAGGTGGCCCAGTCGTCTAAGGCGCCGCGATTCGTTGTGCAGAGTTGCGTCCCTTGGGCACGCCAGAAACCTATGATTGTTGGTCCGAATCCCGGTTCGCCCCGATTATGTTTCTAGGTTTGTCAGCACCATACCCGTGCTTGTGGGTTTCACCGAAGTGGTAAACGTCTGAGACCTGCATCACTTCAGGCTTTCCTCACACATTAAGCTGAAAAGCCGTGATATAACTGGAATACTGTTAAAAGCGGCGTTAAACCCAACTCACTCACTCACTTGCTAGACGACATTTACAAATGTTCAACTGAATCAACGATAATTACTTGTTATTTTTTCTTGAAAATAAAACGTCAACGCAATGGTATACCGAATATCCGACAGATTACATAATATTGGCTGTAATAGGCAAAATAATGTCCAGTTTTCACCCTTGCCGAACAAGGGTGGAATTCCAGAGTTACATTTGGGATGGAACAACGAGTCTATGCATAGTCCAATCAAAATCGCGTGACGAACTAGACATCCTGTTCGCAAAACAACATGGATTTCAACGTGCAAATTTCGGCCGACTGAAAGATTTGCAAAGCATGTGTACCGACGACTGGGTGTCGACAGATACTTTGCCAATCTTTTCTTGTTTTTAATCAAGGTGCTCAAGTGATTTCATGCACTTCGCGAGGGATACCCGTTTTATTACAAAATAGGTTTTGATTATCGATCAGATCGTGTTCACGGGGCGCCGCCATTTTTGTTTGAAGCAAATGCACGTGGTACAAGAGGTGGAATCTGATTGGTCAGTTGGAGGGACATAGAAGGGGCATAACTCCTAATAGTCAGTTAACACTTATGTTGCAAATTGTGTGAGTGGCGGGTGCTATTGGTGGGGCAATACGTTCTGACCCCTTTTGCGAAAAACCTGGTGTCATCGCTGATCTTCATGATAATTTTTACCACTTTTGCCTTTTTCATCCAATGGGATCTGTTTCGGGTTGATAACTGAGACTGGTTATTCTCTGGCGTTGACGTTATATATTCATAAACTTTTCAAAGTAACATTAAGCCCAACTCAAATACTGTTAATTATAGTTATTATATGCAGCCCTTATACTGATCATTGGTATCGCATTTCCAGATTAAAGAAGTCATGCAGACGTCGTGGCAGGAGGTCAAAACGAAACATACCTGCTGTTAAGATGACGAAAGAGGATCAAGGAGGGCTCACCATAAATATCCTACCCACACCAGGACCTACTGAAATGCAACCTTTGAACCCCACATACTCGTTGTCATTGGAACCTCCTTTGAAGTCTTCGGACGAATCTGCTGATACGGATTTGCTTATTGATGAACCTGTTTCATCTCCCATAAGAACGGAAAGCGACATATCTGAAGAATGTCAAGAAGACGAATGTGCCTCTGAAACTGGTGGAAACCTTAACACATCCATCTACCTGTTTATGGGCAAACCTACAAGAAGCGTGTATAATCGCTCCAGCTCCACCCCCACCTGTATCTCCCCAAGTTCACCGTATCTGGTTGATATCCAGCGAGGTAGTGATAACAATGAATGGTTTAAACGACACAAGTCTGTGCCGGTAGCCCGCTGTTTTCCGTTAAGGACAAGTCCTGATATAGAAATCATTGGAAATGAAGTCCAGACACCAACACAAGAGGGAATCACAACCCCGTGGAACAGTCGTCAGAATAGACGTTCAGTTTGTGAATCACTGCGAAGTCCTCCACTGTCCCTTCCACCAAGATCATCGATAAACATTTCAGACCATGAAGAGTCCTTTGAATCAGATCCTGACGATCTGTTCAAAGGGGGGTGGTGGAAGTCCTCAGAATCGTTAAACAAAGATGACACCACGACAGATGATGTGTTCAAAGACGACGATTTGAAATCAGTAGTTTCGCTAAAGGAAGACTTTTTTAAACATGACGACTTGTACAAGATGACGCTGTGGAGATCAAAACAATCATTGTCGGAAGATGGTCTAAAGGCTAACGGCATCTCCAATGGGGATTGGCGGACATCTAAACAATCGTTGAAGGCAGATGGTCTAAAGGCAAACGGCATCTCCAATGGGGATTGGCGGACATCTAAACAATCGTTGAAGGCAGATGGTCTAAAGGCAAACGGCATCTCCAATGGGGATTGGCGGACATCTAAACAATCGTTGAAGGCAGACGGCACATGTAACAGGGATTGGTTGTCATCTAGACAATCATTGAAGGAAGAAGGCTTTAAAACTGACAACATATTCAATGGGAAATGGTGGCAATCAAAGGAATCATTGAGGAAATTTGATTTTGAGAATGACGACAGAGAAATTAGAGATCTCATTAGAAGAAAATCCTTCTCCGGTCCAAGTGCCTGTTCCGGAAGTGTCTATGTTCACATGGACACGAGCACCTTACCTCGTCCTTGTCGACCTCCCTCAGCGGATGGAAGGAGAAGAAGCAAAAGTTTAACGCTCCCGGATGTCTTTCAGGATCGTACCGCTTATCAAGGAGATGTGACCTCCCCTACGTTGTCTGTGTGGTACCCACCAGCTCTGTCAGGAAACCTACAGTCCCCTCCACTGCCTTGCTCACCACCCAAACCCTGTACATCGCCACACTATGTCAACTTTCGTGGAACTCTGCCAAACCGATTCTGAATGGTTATGACACGACATTTGTTGTACATGGACCCTAATATGGTTTGTAGATGTACCTTGTGGCTTTCGACCCCGTGTGAGATGCAGTATGTTTGTTGATCTCGTATATGAAGGTGCCACACTATGTCAACTTTCGTGGAACACTGCCAAACCGATTAGAAATGGTTATACCTCGACACTTGTTGTACATGAACCCCAATATGGTTTGTAGATATTTTGTGGCTTTTGACCCCCGTGTGAGATGCAGTATGTTTGTTGATCTCGTATATGAAGGTGAAATGGCAGCTACAAGTACATCATCTGCATCACAATGCCAACCTAGGTCCTCCGTAGTACTCCACCAAAGACAAAGGAGGCGACTAAATACTGTTGGGTGACCATCAGTTAAACGTTCAATTACGACAGGGAGGTGGGATAGCCTAGAGGTTAAAGCGTTCGCTCGTCGCGCCGAAGACCCGGGTTCGATTCCCCATATGGGCAAAATGTGTGAAGCCCATCTCTGGTGTCCCCCGCCGTGATATGACTAGAATATTGCTGAAAGCGGCGTAAACCCATATTCGCTCACTCAATTGAGACGGGAGGCACGGGTGGCCCAGTCGTCTAAGAAGCCGCAATTCCCTTCGGCACACGTCCCATGGGTTCGAATTACGGTTTATTCCGATTATGTTTCTAGGTTTGTCAGCACCATACCCGTGCTCGTGGGTTTCACCAAAGTTGTTATCACCTCGGGTCTTCCTCACACATCATCCGACGCGCCGTGATATATCTGGAATACTGTTTTAATAGCGGCGTTAAACCACTCAGTGACGACAATTTGGTAATTTCCCTTTTTCCCTGTAATCAGAGCAAATCCACCACGATGACCATCGACTAGCATAGCCTACACCTCAACTCGTTCATCTCTCGCAATCCTTAGATGATTTTCTTACTCACCTTGTTTCCCTTCAGTCAAACAAAACCCATCTTCAACCATCTGCCCCCACCAGATTATATATAACTCGTAACTGTAGGTTTTTTATGTCAGTAGTGAGAGAGTGAGTGAGTGAGTGAGTGAGTGAGTGAGTGAGTTTGGTTTAACGGTTTAACAGTATTCCAGTTATATCGCGGCGTGTCAGCTTAATGTGGGAGGAAAGCCCGAAGTGATGCAGGTCTCAGACGTTTACCGCTTCGGTGAAACCCACGAGCACGGGTATGGTGCTGACAAACCTAGAAACATAATCGGGGCGAACCGGGATTCGAACCCACAATCATAGGTTTCTGGCGTGTCCAGGGGATACAACTCTGCACAGCGAATCGCGGCGCCTTAGACGACTGGGCCACCCGTGCCCCCTTATGTCAGTAAATTATGACATTTGTTCATTTTGCGTGACAAAGATAATGTGATTACACTTAAGCCAATTACGTTTCCTCAGATGGTGTGACACCAAGAGATATAAAGATAATATTTCAAATATGGATTAAGGGGCGGTGGGGTAGCCTTGTGGTTTAAGCGTTCGCTCGTCACGCCGAAGGCCCGAGTTCGATTCCACACATGGGCATAGTGTGTGTTAAGCGAGTGGGTACACCACAGAAGGAGATATTAGATATAACATTGTTTAGTTTATAATGTCCCCAAATGTAAATGTACATGTCTAAATATCATACGTTCTTAACTATAACAATGATATGTGTACATAGCCCTATTCCAAAATAAAGTCATAAAAAGCCAACAAACTTTCTCGACAATTATTTAAATACCTTTCTGTGCTATATGGATGCTTCATAAACCTCGTCATGTGAACGATGGAACTCTCTCAGATATACCATGCGCTTGTAGGTAATGCTGATTTCACATTAAACTGGTGACAAGTGACCAAATCAGGTCACAAACACCAACAACCTTTGATATCTTACAAACACGGACTAATCGTTTGACCAAAAGCGCCAGTATCCTGTAATTCTGCTGAAATATGTACTTCTGTTGTCCAGAAATAACGTATTATCACGGGCTTAAACTGGTCGCGTTTCTAAGCTACGGGGGGCGGTCGGGTAGCCTAGTGGTTAAAGCGTTCGCTCGTCACGCCAAAGACCCGGGTTCGATTCCCGACATGGGTACAATGTGTGAAGCCCATTTCTGGTGTCCCCTGCCGTGATATTGCTGGAACATTGCTAACAGCGGCGTAAAACCATACTCACTCACTCACTCTAAGCTACGGGTACATCGAAGTATTAAACCCAGTAGGCCAACCTATTGTATCTGAATATAAGTATGTACATCCCCATACGAATACAGGAATCAATATCACTGATGTAATAATCTTTGACAGGTAACTTTTTATGGAGAACTTCTTTATTACTGATATTAATATCAGGACTTTCCTACTTTAATTAGAAATCAGCACGGGCAGTAGGATAGTCTAGACGTTGATACGTCGACTCGTGACGCTGATGACACGGTTCGATTCCCCACATTTGTTACGCCTATTTTCCGCCGACCTGTGGTTGAAATATTGTTAAAAGTGGCATAAACGCCTCACTCACCCAATCGCTGGTCAACAACGTGTCATTCCCAGATCAGCATTGAACAATACAGGAACTACCCGTAAGTCTCCTTACCAAGGAAGATATTTGTCCGGAATGAAACAAGAAAATAACAAATGCCAAGCCAAGAATCTGTCATCAGACATAAAATTATGTAACATCTAATAGTAAAACGCCACCATACTAGTGTATACCATACATTTCTCCAAAGTGGAACATGTCTAATACCTGCATCGCATTGGACACACCATCATCCAAAAAAGTAGTCAGACATTGGCCCAACATTGGGCCGCCGGTCAAAATAGCGTTGGCCCAACATTGGCCTAACCTCTGACTGCTATCTGGGTTATATATAGCTGAAATACTGTCTGAAGCTCGGTTGTCTCATCTCACCCCCTCTGTTTGTGTCATTGTTTTAATGCCTTTGTTCGCCGTTATCAGAGATTTGTTCCGTGAGAATTATTATCAACCTGCAGGCACAATCGTTCTATAAAGTAACCCCTCACGACGTCCTTCAGGGTAGATGAAGATATTGGCTATGCAGGTAATATGACGTTCTAATGAACATGCCTTTATTAGGAATACGCTTTTTTATAGTGTTTAGTGCACGTACAGACACACCTTTAGCACTGATGGGACAATATTGGCAATTGATAGGAATTTCCCGTGTTATATTCTTATCTGAAACAAATTCAGGGTCTAGGTTACACTGACCCGATAACCATTGTTATTTGTATTGCAGGCGTGCATTCGTCACCACTCGCCCCTTTCCGTAACCTGTAAGAAGACACCCGGAATAACACGAGTTGGTCACGAATGGCAGGCGTGATGTATTACGATGTTGTCCGATTTGCCTTGGTTTATAATTCGGTGTCTCCCTCCTGAGGTCGGAATGAACAAAACTGACCATATCGAAAGCAATTTATCTTAAGGGTGAAAATCACAACTCATTCACTCAAATATTGATAATTAAACTTTGATTATGATAACAACATGATATACTCACAATATATGCCAGCATTTCGTTCAAGAGTATGTAGTATTGCTTGACATTGCAACAACGTGAAAAAACATTGTAATGTATTTGATAACAATACTTTATTTACGCAAACAATCATCGTATAACAAACATCTGAACAAGAACATACCTTCTGATAATATCATTTAACAATGACATATACTATGCAATATTGCTAAAATCTACTTCATGAGACAAGAACCAATGTATGTGACTTTCAAACTTATTTCGTTCGGCATTAATCGAGAGAGAAAAAATTACACAAAATCTGAAACACAAGCATTCTTATCTCGTTATACTTTAACAATAGGTATGATGAAGCAGGGTCAATCAGATACATCATCTGAGTCTGCCCAAGTCATTACAACAACTTAATAAAATAAACATCAAAGAAAGTAATTGTTGGTTCAATCAAATTCGTAAATGTCTCCAAGTATTTAGTAGATGTAACATGCACACACTCTGTGATCTGTTTCCAACGTTGAAAGTTATGGTCTAAATCCGAGGCTATCATATTCGATATGATCGAGTGCAAACCTTCTGTTCGCGGCCTTGCAGGCAGCTATGCACCGACACGACACTGGGGTCTAGCAAGAGGTTCCAAGTGAACCACTAAACTACATCACATTGTCCTTGACCGTGTCTCAATGTCATCCAACAAGTAAATACAACAGTATATCAATACGTATAGAGTATTATAGGCACAACACTCCAAATATTTCTCCCCCAGGAAACACGTTTGGTGAAAGTCCATAAGACCCAGGTAGTTAAACACAAACATGCAAACGTGCAAACGCAACCGGTTTGGTTCCTGTTTATAGAAACTCGATGTCTAGGTAAGGCTTTCAGAAACATTAAATTAATATTTTCTAAATTTTTTCCATATTTTGTTTTAAGATTTTGCCAATAGCCCCTTTGGTATTGTAAAAAGAGGTCATATGACCAATCACGAAACGAACTGCCAGGGATGCTTCTTATGCAATCCACTAGGTCGGAGACATCATTTATCCAACATGGCCAATCAGTTGTAAAATTAGCACTCAGACCCTGAGAAAGAGCTTCCTTGATCACCCAACAACAGGTGTGATAGGCATCCCAATTGCCTTCCAACTTCCAACTGTTCCACCATCCTTCAACGGCCTCTTCATCCAGGTTTATGTACCCGGGTATAATGATCACATAGCTTGGCAGTGTTTTCTCATCTTCGATGTCTTCCTCAAGAGTTCTACGCGGAGTTCCAGGTACTTTAAGAAAGGAACCTTTACCACCCTTGGGCCACCAGCTGATGTAGGCGCCATTGCTCAGTTGAAGAGACGCGTGGCCTGCACGGCGGAGATCAAATCTAGGGGGCCATATGTACACCCTGGTCCTGGGCTCTGGATAGAACAGGATTAGCATCCTGCAAGGGATAATTGGCTCAACCAATCATTCAAATATATTAGATCCATTGCTTAAAAAATTGCTTACATCTATGTCGCATATGATTTTTTGATTGGCAAACATTAGTGTCTTTTTGTGTGATAAGAAATATACATAAGTACTACTGCCTCTGCTCTCTCAGTCTCACAATTTCAGTCATGTTTACTGAGCCAAATATGTATTTTGGGACCAGGTCAAAATATAGAGAAAAACGGAACAACGGTCCAACTACTTACTAAACATATAATACATTTCAATACATTTTAAACTAACATTGATAAGTAAAAGCCACAAACAGGTTTTTTTCGTATGGGTGAAATAACGGGGTCATCGCTGGCAGAAACAAGCTTGTGGTCTAGCGTATTGGTCTAGAGGTTTCTGAGGAGATAAAGTTTACAGTTCAAATCAATGCATTTGAGATAATTCATGAACATAATCAGGGCAAAGGTCAAAGTTGGAAACACTGCGAAAATGGTTGTGTGAAGCCCCACCACTACAAACATACTACACACAACCATTTTAATCATCACAAGAAATCTTGTATCAAGACCACGTGTTTATGAATCACTATCAAATAGTGTTAATACCAGATGTTCGCGAAAAGGTGAGCATATCCTGCCTCATTGGTGTCTCCCGCCACTAACACATGCAGAGGCAAGTCATTTGTTCACCTAAACAAGTATCGTGCAAGTCAAAAGTGGGAAATGCTTTTGGCATAATTATGGTGGCTGATGCGTCAAATGTGAACATTTCCTCCACATATCTACCTTGTAATAATGACATTTATTATCTAATGACATGTTTGTCAAATGTGAACACTAGACTTGCCTTGGCATGTGCTTGCGACGGATGTCACGTGTGTGTGTGTGTGTGTGTGTGTGTGTGTGTGTTTGTGTGTGTGTGTGTGTTTGTGTGTGTTTGTGTGTGTGTGTGTGTGTGTGTGTGTGTGTGTGTGTGTGTGTGTTTGTTTGTTGTGTTTGTTTGTTTGTTGTGTGTGTGTGTTGTGTTTGTTTGTTTGTTGTGTGTATGTGTGTGTGTGTGTGTGTGTATGTGTGTTGTGTTGTTGTGTAGCCTAGTGGTTAAAGCGTTTGCTCGTCACGCCGAAGACCCGGGTTTGATTCCTGACATGGGTACAATGTGTGAATCCCATTTCTGGTGTCCCCCGTCGCTGGAATATTGCGGGGTAAAACCATACTAACTCACTCACTCACTCACTCACTCACTCACTCAAAGGTGGATTGCATTTCCTGTTGTTGCATTAAGCGAGTAAGTACACCACTGGAGATAAAGCTCACACACTCACTCCATATCCATTTTAAACTGCAGCATGGTATCTCAGTGGGCTAGCACTATCAAATCGGCATCAGTCCGCCACACACGTGCTTGCACGCCGCTAAAAATATGCAGTAATCTGTTCACCCACCTCACGTACTCGGGGCATGCCTGGCTAGTAGTTTCCCCGTATACCCAATGCATAATGTACATTATGATAAATGCTCTGCACCTATATGTAATTCACATATTGATTTAAAAAAGACACCCATTCTCAAAATCTCGATATATGATTTCGAGACTAATGTCTCTATCATAACTCGTACACAGCCACAGCTGTGAAACACTTACTTTAGCTGGGGTTCACTTCCAATGTATTCAGTTTGGTTAAACCTTTAAAGCAATACTAATCTGCTCCGCTCTAACATAACACCAGGAAATAAATAGTGGCCTACACAGAGTTTATTTGAAAGGATTCAATTCACTCTTCAATGTCAATCATAGTACTCGGTGTACTCGGTGATTCAGCTGGTGCTATTTTGAGCAAATGAGATATGGCGGTTCAGCCTAGGAAAGTGACTATTGTGCCTTTTTCTTATACCCAGCCTATACGATGAGCTTGACAATACACCCTTGTAACTGATCATTTCCCACCAAAACTCCCTGGCTTTGAACTAGTCGGCATACATATTGCAGACGACACTCTCAGCTGTCTAACAAGAGAGTCAAACACTGATGTAATATTTCTTGCAAAACATATTTTTATTCTTTGATATTTGATAAACAATTAGGTCTTGTTAGGCTGAAATATTCTTACCATATTTTTAATGTAATCCCCGGCATCCAGACATTTGATGTATTGAGACCTGGACAAGACATTCTCATTTTCATAAAGATACCAGGGACAGTAGTGAATTCCGACTGACTGTCTCGTTTCCCTGAGCTTAAACAACTTTGACTTACACGTTTGGCAGTCTTTTAATTGTCTTCAACATTAAAATGAGCCATTATCATTGTTCCAAGATTAACTTTCGCCCTTCTGTTTATGTGGCCGAGTCTTCATCTGTGTTTCGATGGGGGTTCAAGTCAGATGCGTGCTCGTGGGTTTCACCGAGGTGGTAAACGTCTGAGACCTGCTTCACTTCGGGCTTTCCTCCCACATTAAGCTGACACGCCGTGATATAACTGGAATACTGTTAAAAGCGGCGTTAAACCCAACTCACTCACTCACTCAAATTTGATGATCGAGAGCGCCTGGACAGGATTTGAATGTTGTTATGTAGATATACGGCTGCGAGTCGGGCTGTATTGTAGTGCTGGAACACGGTGTTGCCGTTCTAAATAATGGGAGGGACGTGTGGCTACAGAATTTCACCTAGTTACGGGTGTGGACAGCAGTCTCGCACAATGGCCAGGCCGATCTGGTTCACGCAAGGGCAACTTAAATGCACACTTCACACTTTCTCAGCCAAGTCAGTCGAGTTCATGTCAGCGCATAACGTTCGCGTCGATGTCTCTACGCCCGACATCTTCCTTCTGCAGGGCGAGGCAAAAAACGTGAAACCACATACTATTGGTTCTCTATCGTAAGTGATGCTATACTCTGTAGACATGACATGATATCGCAGTTGACGACGTTGTTACACCCCTGACATTCCGTCTGAGACCTGCATTACAAAGGCGGTTCGCACTGTCTGGTCAGATATCAACCGCGGTCTTGCAGTTGCCTTTGTCACAAATAACGGAGCCGTATGTAGAAGTTTCGTGTTTTCAAGTCTGGTCTGGCTCGTGGACTGTTTAGAAGTGCAGGATTGTCGTTGGTTGTACTCCTATCTGAGCGATTGGACAACAACAAGCACATACCACGACTAAGTAAATCAGAATAAACAACGTCATCGATCGCTTGAAAACATCCGGCAAAGGAACATTACGACAACCTGCATGTAAACAGCAATGCCATCCATTATTGCAGGTTTGCGTAGACGGCGAGGGACCGCCATGGTAAGGCAGTTTACGCACCAGACGGACTATTCGAGGTGCATTTCTGACGCATCAGCATTGTCACTTGGGTCAGAGTATGGTATCACATGCGAAGGAGAACTATGAGGTTCGTCTTTTCCTTCGCCGTGCAGATCGACGATGCCCGGTGTGTAGACGTCGACGTGAACGTTGTGCGCCAAACTGCATACATGAAAGGGAATGTGGGAGGTAAAACCGACGAACACGGGTATGGTGTTTATAAACCTAGAAACATGACTGAGGCGACCCGGGATTCGAACCCATGATATTACGTTTCTGGCGTGCCCAAGGTATGCAACTCTGCACAGCGAATTATGGCGCGTTAGACGACTGGATCCATCGAGGCAACTACAAAATGCATTTACGAGTCTTTGTACACGTGTGGGAGTGGGGTGAGGGAGTGGGGAGAGGGGTATGTTATACAACATATCAAATAGCAATGGCTGAGTAATATAATAGGTAAAAATGACAGTATCAATATGGCTGCCGTGACCTACTATAAACTCACAAAACCTTGCTCTCAATAACTTAACGAGAGTTGATTCAGTGTTGGGAATGGCACAAGAGACTTAGAGATATAATTCTTCCTTCAAAAGACCATACATGCAACAATGACTTTCTCAAGTCAGCTGTATATGGACAGGTGCTACAAACAGAAACATGCAACAATATTTGTTTAGCCAAATATATGTTCAACAAAATACTCATTTCTGTAAACAGTATTAGTATTGTATAGTGTTCTATTACACCAATGTTATAAAATATGTAAATGACTAAACAGTTTCTGAACAAAAAGCAATATGTGTCTACCTTTCGAAACAATGCCCTCGGTAATACGGCTGTCGTGGAGTAGCAAGTCTTTGGGGCCAGTGTTGCACCCTGTAAAATGAAGCTTACCAGGAAATGATTTCAAGCCATTTGCTTTGGTCACAGTGACTACACCAGTCAACTTGATCAGGCTTTTGTTAACAGACACAGTGTGTGACGGTTATTGAATACACCTGAATTTTCCTGTGTGACCTACTTTCCACCTGCAAACCATGTCCTGGATAAACAATCTCCTATGTCTGTTACCCTTTCAAGTATTATATTGTCAAATCCTCATAGACAGTCAGTTTAACCAATTTTTTAAATACGTTATTGAGGTCCATTATACGATCGAGTCAAGACAATCAAGTGACATGATAGCGCATTGATTGATTCTGTCATGAAATTGTTGTGTTGTGTACTAATGTCTGGCAGTAGAATAAGCAGGAACGTGAAAAGAGAGTGTATTCATATGTATTTGTTGCTTGTTTTGCTGAAAAATAGGCTGAACATTAAAAAAAGAGTGATACAGAAATTATCAATCTCATTCAAATAAGATCTTAGTTCTCGCTACCGCGAGACAAAGCGATTACGGGTCACGCCAAACCGACCTTTCACGAACCCATCAATGGAATATCTGACAAGAAGTCGACATTAGCCAATCAGAAGTTTTCTCGTGCTTTACTTCACTAGTGACAAACTGGCGACTACGCTTCGAAATATTTTTGACAAAATTATAATCCTCGATTACAATTTTGTGAACTGAACAAAAGAAAATTTTAAAATGGCTAACAGATGGTCTAGTTTGTATTGAATCAGTCGTATCTGTCGTTTGGAATAGCCCATGTTACATGATTTCGAGGTTACATGGTTAGAAAAACATTTTCCGAATGTCGCTTTCTTGATCTGGTAAACGACGCTGTGATTTGTCGGATGAAAGGTCGTTCTGACATGACCCGTTATCGGATGTCCTCAAATCTTTGTTTAGCGATAGCGAGAACTAAGATCTGATTTTAATGAGATTGAGAAACTATATGCCACATAATAATGTGTGGTGATCGGTACCCTACAGCAAAACAATGTACACATTCCCCAAGATAATATTGGGATTATTTAACAATGTAAACTCAAAATGATTTGAACAGAATAAGTGTAAGCGATATGAAATTTTAGGATATATCTATGAAATAGGCAGAAATGTAGAGACCATGTCTCCTTTGGGTGAACAATCCCCGTTCGCATTAAGTTGCTACAAGCCAACGTGATAACATGTAGATAAATCATAGATTATTATATATAACATTTAACATATATCAATTTTATTATCATATATATTTACCATAATAGAATGAGATATGATACATTAGATAATAGAGGAGGATGTAAATATGTTAAGACTTCTTAGGGTATTTGGGGGAAACGACTAAGTGATGTAACAGCCGCACACACGCTGAATATAATTACCACGTAAAATTTAAATTGAACATTTTCAAAGTTTCACTCGTTGCTTGAATGTTTTAATCCTAATCAAACAACGTTTGACCAACGTTCCAATTAATATCGGAGTCACTATTATGATTAACATTTCCGTCTGGAATTCGAATCCTAAACCTTCCTATTGTCACGCCACGGACATTACCGCGCCATGACAGAGGTTGAGTGGCGGAGTAACCATTGTATTAGTTATGTTCTAAAGACATATTTTCTGAATATTTTATGCCCGTTTCAGTTGTTTCTGTCAGCAGGGAAACAATCCTCGGTTTATTCTTATTTTTACATGTCTCTCCGGTACTTAGCAGTTTCGTTCGTGGAGACTCATGGCTTCTGATTTATATATGCTCCTACATTTTTCTTATGTCGCCTTGTTTATTTACGTAAACGTAAACGGCGTGATGTAACTGGAATACTGTTAAAAGCGGCGTTAAACCCAACTCACTCACTTAGTTCCTGTCTTGATTTAAATGGTGGCGGAGTATATTAATGTTCAATAGTTTTGTGAACATTTTATGCCCGTTTCAGTTATTTCTGTCAGTTGGGCACTACAGAAACCTATGAATGTGAATTCCCGGTTTGTCCCGATAATGTTTCTAGGTGATAAAGTGGTAAACGTCTGAGACCTGAATTACTTCGGGCTTTCCTCCCACATTAAGCTGACACGCCGTGATATAACTGGAATACTGTTAAAAGCGGCGATAAACCCAACTCACTCACTCACTCTAGTTCCTGTCGGGAATAAAATGGTGGCGTAGTATATTTATGTTCCATAGTTTTATGAACATTTTATGCCCGTTTCAGTTATTTCTGTCAGTTTGGAAACGTTATTATCTATTTGTGTGTTTACTCGTGAGTAAAGGCCGATTCACAAACAGTTCCGATATCGCTTCGGATATTCCACCTCGAAAGCAGAGTCGATTGTTTGATTCCGACTATATCATGTGCATGTGTTTGTGAATCAGTATCAAATAGTGATGATACCAAGTGTTCGAAAAAGGTGAGTGTAACTATCCTGTCCCACCTGTGGCAGGCGTCACAAAAACATGCAAAGGCAAATCAATTTTTCACCTAAGAAAACACGGGAATATAAGTCAAAATAAGAAATTGCATCGGGCATCATTCTTGTCACTGAAAGAATTCCAATCTGGTATTTGTTAATATACCTTTCATGATATCATGTTACAGTCGAAGCCCGTTTTCTCAAACCAACCGGACCGTGTTGTAACTTCGAGATAGCCGGATGTTCGAGATAACGAGACATCAAGATAGATCAACTGTCAGTATTATAGATCCGTAGGATATACGTTTGCATACACGAGCAATAAAAAACACAACATGTGCACACAATGACAAACTCAAATGTATTTGCATAAGGAATAAGTCTTTAACAGTATATAACATAAGGGAATGCAAGTTTCATTTTCAAAATGCCAAAGTGTAATTGTTTGTTTGACTGAAATTCTCTGTCTCTCATTTCCAACCTTCGCCACGAATAGCTGTACAAGTACTGGTGCGGCGTTAAGCAACAAATACTCACTCACTCAGTTCCATACCTAAAGTTGCCAAGTCGTCTGAACAAATACGCAGATATGCTGAGTAGAGTTGCGTCCCTTAGCCGTACTAGGATCCGATTGTCCTGGAATTAGATTCCGATAATACACGATCCTTGGCTTATCCACAAACCACAACACTGTTCCAAGTGGCGTTTAATGTGCATGGTTGGCAATTGGTCCGTTAATCCGTCGTGAATCAATAAGCTCCTAAAGCCCATAGCGAGAAATATTCGATTACTGATGGTCTATGTATTATAACACAGAGAGAGAGAGACATACAGACAGACAGACAGACAGAGATACAGAGAGAGAGAGAGAGAGAGATAGACACAGAGAGAGAGAGAGACACACACACACACACACATATACACACATAAACATTCACACATATTTAAGAGTGGTCGCCTATTGTCTGTATACTAGTTTTCATCGCAAAAATAATTCAAATTAGATACATCAACTTTGTACAAAATTTTCAGTATTGATAACCATTTTGTTGTGATAGTGCATCCAGATATTCGGCAGAACATTTCTTAGATTGTCTCTTATATATAACCAGGGCATGATGAAATCCTCTATACTTCTTCTTGCGGACTTGTGTGGTTCCAACAACTCGCCTCACAGTTCAGTTTTCAAAAAGTCTAAAAAGCCGGCAATCAGAAGACTTAATTTCCTATGCCACCCTCCACATAATTTGTGGTACGCAGACCAACGGATCCACAAACTGCGGCCATGGTAACCTTCCGCCCAACAGGGACGACAGACGAAAGTCAAGTTCAGGCAGGTCGAAGTTTAGGGTAGAGAGATAGTCTTTCGTAATATGTATTACTATTTGGGAGTTATATATATTAACATATATATCTATGAAGGGTTATTTCATTAACTGTTTTTAAAAAGCTTTGTGTATACTGGAAATGAATAAGGGGATACTTAGTTTTAGACACAGTAAACTGATATGCTATCATGGGTTCCCAACCTTGTCTACCAGATACGCGAGGGAAACAATGCACACAAACACATCTCAACATTCTGCCATCTGTTGAATTTGTATGCGTGCTATTTCAAATGTACTGACAGTGAAGCTTATTTCCCTATATGTTTCATTGTTCCCTTATGCATTGCCATCAGTATATATCCGTTATATTGAACTAGTGAATAAAATCAGTAGTTAATTTTGAACTTGAGTAATATTTTTTGTCATTCGTCACGTGCGTTTATTTACATTCAGGAAACGACTCACGTTCATTTGAGCTTTAAATAGACTTGGGTTTTCAGTGTCATATCCATGTTGGTAATATACCAAGAGTTGAGAAATAATGTATAATCACCGATTTCAAATCAATTTGTGCACGTACAAATTAAACTCTCAAATGTGATATTGCAACAGCGTGTAAAAGGTAATCTGTGACTTGGTAATGTTGTGTAAACATAAATTGGTTCAATGAAGACTGGGGCAAGAAATAAATTTGCAAACACGATCCCCAACGATGTTTGAAATGTAAATTTGTGCCTAAAAATCTAAGATACCCATCAGCGGTTGTGTATTATTATGCGAAATGTTTTTTTTCAAAAGTTTTAAATCATATTATATTTTCAAAAATAAAACCACGTAGAAGTATTCCTTGGGTGCCGACAAAGCGCCTTTACAGTTCAATGTTTGGATGTAATATCGCTAGCTTAAGATATTTTCAATTGAAAATCAAACATATACAATCAACTGTGAGGTATACATGTAGTTTCCTTTAATCCTGGGTTTAGGAATTTGCTCAGGTCATTCATATAGCTTTCACGGTATTCGTGAATCATATCAAGTATACAAGGTCTGTGTCAGCTATGCTGAGTTTATCAATGTATACCAAATGATTGCTTTCAGAAAAAAATCTAATGACTTTGTCAGGCATTGCTCTGGGGTACAAATTTGGTGTATGCCATAGTGACGACACTTGGCACTGACACATATAGAGACAATCCACTTTTCCATTACTAGCGCTTTAACAATGATGTTTAACGTTTCCGTAGTAGCATATTACAGGTAAATTTGTGTGGTTGGGATTCTAAATCAAAATCAGGTTGGTGGTAAGTATAATATATTCTAAAACGGATTAAGTTGCTGTTATTATGTATTTGGGTGATCATCTAGTTCTCTAATCTTCCCCTACACACATTACTCTGTGTTTCCACGAAAATAGTACACGCCTACGACCTAAACATTGTAGATATGAGTTGAGGAAGTGACATATAATAAGTTGTCAACTGATCCCGAGGGGTATATGGTGTGATGTACCCCTCGCCCCTAGGAACTGATCCTGCCAACATTCATTCATACAGTTCCGGAGTTATCAAACGTAGCAAACGACGAACCAAGTTACTTCCCCTTACTCAAAGCATTCAGATAACATCGGTTCATTTCGGAAACACAACGCTACTTATGCGTTTGTTTGCTTCTTTGGTATTTAAAGTCGCACTCAGAAATATTCCAGATATTTGACGGTGGTCTGTAAATAATCGAGTCTTGACCAGACAATACAGTGATATCTTGATCATTGATCGACGCAATTTGGATGCCATGCATCAACCCAAGTTAGCGAGCCTGGCCACCTGATCCCGTTATTCGCCTCTTAAGCCAAGCATGGGCTGATGAAGACCTTTACTATCCCGGATTTTTACACAATACGGTAATATTGTGATTATTGGTACAGAAGGTTTATGAATCTTTCGTAATATCTCACATATTACACGAAAAACACTGAATAGATATCATATATTTATTCTCTTTTTCAACACATACATGTACCTTGTTTCAAACATACAATGTAAAACACCATTCATAGATCAGTAGGTAGTTCTGGTGATGGTTGTATACAATTTACTCATGTCTTGTTTAACGTCACTCATACACCCTTGTTAATGGATATGATTAAACATTTAATGGTACAATTATAAATAAAAAAGAAGATCATGATAGATGATACCCTGCCAACCAAACATTACTGAACACTACTTATTAAGCGTACCGTTAGAACGTATACAATTAAATGCCGTCCAATCTAGATCAAGGAGCGAACTTGAGTGTACTCACGTTTACACTAATCACATCATGTATGCGTCTACTACAGTTCTATTCACATCGGGTGGCAGTGGCTGCCCTATTGACAAACACTTGGTGTCATCACTGATTTCTAGTGACCCATTCATATGATTTTCACCGCTATTTTGCCTTCTGCGCCCAATGAAATATGTTTCGGATAAGTGAGACTGGTTATCCTCTGGCGTTGACGTTATATATACACCTCGTCAAAAGTATAGCACCAACAAATTTTAAGTGTAATTGCAAGTTATTTTCAATGTAAAGATTTTCAAATGGTACACTGTGATGACACATCATCTGGCTGTAGAGTGGTAGCCACCTTAACTGCCCAACTTTGTGGGTGCGTTTATTCGGGCCGTGTGAACTCCTAATTCATGTGTGATGACAGTTAATGCGTCTTTACTGCTATTAATTTGAATGAAAGCTATACCAATTTGAAAGTCTGTCTTTGGAACGATTGTAACTGAAAAGCCTTAGCGTACTATCCCCGAAAATCAAAGATGGCAAATTAATGACACTCGCCAAAATGGCATGTCATGTCGGGCTATTGCCACCGTGTTGAACATTTATCATACTGTAATCAGCCGATTCATTAGAAAACACATTGACCGGACATGTGGGGGACTTGCCAAGATCAGGACGTCCACGGAAGACCAGTGCCAGAGAGGACAGGGTCCTTGTACGCCAGGCAGAACGGCTGCCAACTTCAACTTGCACTGTTCTTCGTCATCACTGGCATACACACCACAAAGTGTCCCTTAGCGCAATCAGGCGTCGACTGAATGCAGCGGGATTAAGGGCCAGGAGACGAATACGACGTCCACTCCTCTGTCTACAACACATGCGGAACCTTTTAGTCTGGCTCGAGCACACTGGAACTTGAGGTCATGAAGGATTCATTGGTTTGACGAGAGAGTTTCTATTGCACCATATTGATGGTAGGACTCGTGTCTTGAGGCAAAGAGGAGCATCCAGGAAACAGTGGCATATGATGGCTCAGTGACTTTATGGGGATGTTGCTCCTTTGATTGTAAACTTAATTTGGACACAGTTCAGGGGACATTCAATACCAAGATGACATATTGGACGGTTTTCTTGTGCCTCATTTTGATAACCATGCACTTTCAACACGCCCTGTTCCGTCTTCATGGACGACAATGCCCGACCCCATTGAGCACGAGCTGTTGCTAATCATCTCTAGAATCTGAATACGATCGAGCATCTATGGGGTCAGTTGGGACGTAGGCACAGAGCCAGGGACCCTCCAGTACGGAATCTCCAAGAATTGACACAGGCATTGAAGGAAGAACGGAGACAAATCCATCAGTTGAGAATAAGGCGTCTGATGTCGAGCATGAGGAGACGTCTAGCGGATGTAATCCGTGTAGGGTGGCTACACCAGATGCTGACTTACACTGTTGATCATTTAACTGTGACATAGGTACAACGTTACGTGCGTGATGATCTGTCTATTCTCAGTAACCATACTTCTACTGCCTCTATGTATCCCCAATTACAGTCCTTGTAGTCCCTGGCGAATAAAGTTGCTTTTTTTGCAAATGCTTAACATTTTGTCCTATTATTCATCGTATTTGACATTAAGTAACACTGTTGATGGCTTTTATTTTGCTTTCCAACTTCTCAGTACTCATATCTTTTCTGATTATCAAAAACTTATTGTGGTGCGATACAGGTGTATATTTAGTGTCAGGATAATTTGTCAATGTTTCCATCGACCCGTGAAGATCCGGGAAAGAATAGGTCTTCAGCAACCCATGCCTGCTCTAAAAGGCGACTATGCTTGTCGACTAACGGGATCCCATGATCAGGCTCGCTGACTTGGTTGATGCATGTCATCGTATCCCAATTGCGTGGATCGGTGCTCATGATGCCAATCACTGGATTGTCTGGTCCAAATTATTCCCAGACCGCCGTCACATAGCTGCAATATTGCTGAGTGCGGCGTTAAACAACAAACAAACAATCTTGCCACCATTGCTCTTGGTTTCTTCACGGAAGTCAAGCTTTGATACGCACTTATCTGCTCTGAGAAGATATCTTAAACCAGCCCAGTGGAAACACGTGGTAAGGCCTCACAAGCCTCATATAAGTTAACACATTTCCTTTCATGTAGCCATCACCATTGGATAATGGTTTCCCAGTCTTTGTGTCAATTGCAGGAATCTTGCTCATGCCAAACAGAAGGTCGGAAGGGTTATCAATGTTGATGATCAGTCCGTCAATGTTTGAATACTTCTTAATCCCACCAACAACAAGAGCTTCTTTGACCACCCAACAACAGTTCGTCATTAATTTCCACAAGCCTGATTCCTTGAACTTCCCCCACCAGTCTTCCATAGCATCCTGGTCCAGCACAATGTGGGGAGGTATCTCCAGAACACAGTCCGCCTCCCTGCCTTCGTCTCCAATGTCCCCTTGTAGGGTTCGCTCCGCAGTTCCAGCGGCTAAAGTAGTCAACCCCTTGCCATTCTTTGTCCACCAACTGATGTAGGTTCCGTTATCCAGTTCCACAGCTCCGTGGCCCACACATTCAGCGTTGGGGAACCAGATGTACACAGTGCACCTGGCATCGGTCGTTGGACCGTCGGATGACGCTGGGACGTTTCCCATTTGTGTGAAACCCTGCAAAATGTAACGTCATTAATGAATCTTTAATTGATAGGGCGGTAGGTAGCCCAGTGGTTATATCGTTCGCTCGTCCTGCTGTAGACCCGGCTTCGAGTCCCAGCTTCTGTGTACAATATGTGAAGCCCATTTCTGGTGTCCGCCGCTACGACATTGCTGGGGTATTGCTAAAGGCGGAGTAAAAACTCACTCACTCACTCACTGTAATTGATGTTTATATGCAAAAGGCATTAAATGCACATACGTCTGAGACATAGTTTTGGAAATAAAAAATAGAAATGGGTTGCAGTTCAGGTCGATGTTAATAAATATTTGCAAAGATGAATAGATCGAGCGTGCGTTACTCTGTAATGCCAGAGGGGCGGTCGGGTAGCCTAGTGGTTAAAGCGTTCGCTCGTCACGCCGAAGACCCGGGTTCGATTCCCGACATGGGTACAATGTGTGAAGCCCATTTCTGGTGTCCCCCGCCGTGAGATTGCTGGAATATTGCTAAAAGCGGCGTAAAACCATACTCACTCACTCACTGTAATGCCAGTCAAGATATTCGTGCTTGTCAAAACTCCTTTATCCACACAAGATGTTTCTTTATATTATTCCTATTGCAATGACGCTTTCAACACTATTTCAGTTTTGCAGCTTGATTTGGGAGGAAACCCCGAAGTGATGCAGGTCTTTGTACATTAAGACTCTTTTAAGTTTTTTAAAATCCAGGAGCACGGGTATGGTGCTGACAAACCCAGACACATAATCAGAATGAATCTGGGATTCGAACCAACGATCATAGGTTTCGGGGAAGCCTAAGGGATTGGCTTTGTCTTAGGCGACTGAGCCACTCTTGTCCTTAAATTGTTTTTATCTATTTGGTTTAGTCATTTATTGACCTAAATCATAAGGGTTAGATAGGTAAAGTGTTGTTTGGATAAACAGTTTCAAACTTACTGGGACTGCTAGTTTAACCGAGCATAGTTCACTATAGCCACACGATCTATTTGCGACAAAGTAAACAAGTGAACTTCGCAGAGACGTGTCGATGATAATAGGTTTATCGAGATCGTTGTTGGAATGCGGTCGCCACCGTTTTTAAGAAAGGGAGTGTATTTTGACATAACCGTGACAAGAGAAATTCAATGTATTTTACTGCCTATCATTGGATTCCCTTTATAAATATCCATTATTATGTGTTATAAATGTACCAAGTTTATGAGGGGACTTGTTGCTTGAAGTATGTGTAGGTCGTATTCAAAAGATTATGGCAAGGGTAGGGTTAGGTGGGGGTGGGGGTGCAAAGTGAGGGTTTGGTTGAATGTGAGCCGGGTGAGGGTAGGGATGGGTGTGTGCGAGCCGAGGGTTAAGTTTGTTGTGAGGGTGAAGGTAGGGTTGGGTGTGGGCGGGGTTAGGATAGGGTTGGGTGTAGGGGTGGTGTTAGGGCTGGGTGTGAGGGTGAAGGTAGGGTTAGGTGTGGGCGGGGTGAGGATAGGGTTGGGTTTAGGGGTGATGTTAGGGTTGGGTGTGTGGGTGAAGGTAGGGTTGGGTGTGGGCGGGGTGAAGATAGGGTTGGGTGTAGGGGTGGTGTTAGGGCTGGGTGTGAGGGTGAAGGTAGGGTTGGGTGTGGGCGGGGTGAAGATAGGGTTGGGTGTAGGGGTGATGTTAGGGCTGGGTGTGAGGGTGAAGGTAGGGTTGGGTGTGGGCGGGGTGAAGATAGGGTTGGGTTTAGGGGTGATGTTAGAGCTGGGTGTGAGGGTGAAGGTATGGTTGGGTGTGGGGTTGAGGGTAGGGTTGGGCGTGAGCGTGCTGAGGGTAGAGTTAGGTGCAGGGGTGAGGGGTGAGGGTACGGTTGGGCGTGAGCGTGCTGAGGGTAGAGTTAGGTGCGGGGGTGAGGGTAGGGCTGGGCGTGAGCGTGCTGAGGGTAGAGTTAGGTGCGAGGGTGGGGGGTGAGCGTAGGGTTGGGTGTGAGCGTGCTGAGGGTAGGGTTTGGCGTGAGCGGGATTAGGATAGAGTTGAGTGTGTGTGCAAGGTAGGGATAGGGTTGGGTGTGGGTGGTGATTTGGTGGGGTTTTTTAAAGTATGAGGAGTAGGTTGAATGCGTGCGGAGTTTGTTTTTCTGTTTTTTCCTCATGTAATGGGGGAGGGGTGTGAGTGTTGTGGTGGAGAGGCGAGGCCTAGGTGTAGTGTATGCGGAGTGGAATTGTTCGGGGGCCTGTGCGGGGGTGGTTATGAAAGGTTGGACGTGGGTTTGTTGTGTAGAAACGTTAGATTCAGGGCCTAATTATTATCATATATTATACCCCATCTATGGATGTTTATCCAAATAATTGATTTATTTCCCTGGAGATGTGTTCCATGGGAACACACACCCATCTAGGACAAACTTTCACGTTCGTGTTCTCACACTCAGGTCGTGCTATATGAACACACTGGCATTTCCAGGCGGGTATATGATGTATTTGAAAAGAAACTGTTTCACAAAGACGAAGGTATATATATAAGCGTAAGCCTAGTCAAACATCATACATTCATAGTTCAACATTACCTCTGATCTTTTCAAGACGTTACGATATGTTCTCAATATATATATAGCATAGAGTTACTGCTTACATGTGCTGGTTGACTTTTTAATGTAATAATAGTATTGCATTCATTTCTTAAAAGGTATTCACATGTATTTATTCAATCGCATGTAGGCATACATTTACATTTTCAATTATGCCATTGAGAACGTATGTTATGTGTTGTAGACTCAACAGGGTAAACATATCTGTGTGGACTACATGATAACACTCATAGAACTCTTAATCGGTCTAATATGTGAAATACCCCACCGGATAAAATCACTGAAACCTAAATATACATAACTTGAAAAAGAGTTAACATTGTTCTCACAACTGAAGAAATCAATATATTATAACAGATACAAATTGTACTGGAAGTTGAATATAGAACAATAATTGCCTACCTCTCACAAGGTTGATAGTCCTTCCTTAAAGCAAGCTGTCCCGACTACAAAGCTATGCATAGCCACGGTAAGGAAACAGGTTTGTTAAGTTCGTCGAATCGTTGGTCGGCCTTACAAGCTAGTTCTTAACACTACTGGTCGGTAAGTTATCGTGACCGTACACTATAAAAAACAGCTTAGCACAAGCATGGTTGTGTTTCCAGGCAAGCTATCTCGTTTATGACCTGTGTTTTGTGCCAGGGACGAGGTCCTTTATTTTATAAAAAAAAAATCATAATGAAATGAACAATATTTTTGTAGGTTTTAATTACTAAAAATAAATACAACAAGACCTAAAAACATCTTTCCAGGGTCCGCAAAAACAGTTTGCAGGAATAATGCTGTAACATTGTAAACGACCGTTTGCACGTGTAGCAGGGCGTGGAGTCATCCCACAGATGACACCCTTACCTTGTCAGCTTGGTGACGGGGTTAACCTCTATGGTCATGTGGACATGGCGTCCGACCACCGGAAATTTAATGGCCGTTACACACGGGTGAAATAAAGATTACTCAGGGTGTTCCACGTGTAAACATTGGTAGCAATATTGGAGCGTATTGGGGTGTTCCTCGTGCTCCTTTCAACTTTCCAATAGTCATCTTTCCCTTTATCTTGCGGGGGCACGGGTCGTCTTAAGGCTGTGCAGAGTTGCGTCCCTTGGGCACGCCAGAAACCTATGATTGAGGGTTCGACTCCCGGTTCGCCCGGATTATGTTTCTAGGTTTGTCAGCACCATACCCGTGCTCGTGGGTTTCACCGAAGTGGTAAACGTCTGAGACCTGCATCACTTCGGGCTTTCCTCCCACATTAAGCTGACACGCCGCGATATAACTCGAATGCTGTTAAAAGCGGCGTAAAACCCAACTGGATCACCCACTCACTCCCTTTATCTTGAACAATATTCCTTTGGTGTTAAATACAAGAAGGCATCCCATGGCATGGGCACCAGTTGTGAACCCCTTTTTAATGATATGGTTCTTTGTATATATCAGTAGGAATTTCAGCTCGGATTGACAAAATCAAAACAAGGGAATTTGGCTCACAACCCGCGCCTCTAGCTTCTAACTTTTGAAGATTTCAAAGAGCATCATACGACTTTTATCCAAAAGTTGTTTGATCACGATTTCAACATTCAAGGCCTCAGAATAACTTTCAAAACGTTTTATGGTAGACATGGGAAGGACAGTTCCAAATCTAACGCATCAGTGACACGCATGATGTCCAATACAATTCCTTATTTTGACCATATGTTCCCATGTTGTTTTAGGTGAACAATTGACTTGACTTTGTATGTGTTTGTGACTGGTACCACCGTTGGGGAAGGATACGCTCACCTGATGGCGAACACCTGAGATCATCACGATTTGATAGTGATTCAGAAACACATGCTCATGATATAGTCGGAATCGTACAATCGACTCTGCTTTTAGCAGAGATTTCTTATGAAAATGGGTTTGTCGCTTTATTTAAACAAAACAATTCTATTCACTGTCTGTACCTATCTGACAGTTACATCTTTGAAATCTTTTCAGAGGAGCACTTCTGCAAACACAAATTCTCCCACGCAATTATGAGTACACTCGCATAATACAAGGCGAACCTCGGACTAGTTTATCAACCATTTGAAAAAACCCGGGTCTAGTTGAATTGCAGGATAAGGCAAGTTAAAGACTTATCATGTGTTGTTTGTGTCACACTCACCGTAAACAGGCTGGACCTCCGTGAAGATTAGAATTGGTATTCAGCAACCCATGCTTGTTGTAGGTGTCGACTTACGGGATCGGGTTGTCAGGCTCTCTGACTTGGTTGAAGAGCGGAATGTTCGGGGTTCGATTCCCGACCGCGTCATAACCAAAATACGTTAAAAGATGATACTTGTTGTTACCCTGTCTGGCGCTGGGCATTAAGGGGATTAAAGAAGGACTGGTCGGCTCGGAGTCAGTATACTGTGTCTGAGTGGGGTATTCATGTTAAACTGCGGCATGGTATCTCAGTGGGCTAGCACCATACATAGGCATCAGTCCGGACTGGTACAATCACACACACGCACGCACGCACGCACGCACGCACGCACGCGTGCGTGTCGCTATATAAATGCAATAATCTTGGACGCCACGTTAAACGCCATTTCACCTCACCTCTGACTTGGTTGATGCATGTCATCGTTTCCCAAATGCGCAAATCTGTGCTCATGATGGCGATCACTGGTTACATACACATCACCGTAAGCATCTGCATAGCATAGCATCTCCCAACTTATCCCGGGACCCGGGATAGTGAGAACCTTATGTAAATATTAGAGACTTACACATACACATACATACATACTATACACACACATACACACATAGATACACACACACACACACACACACACACACACACACACACACACACACACACACACACGCACACGCACGCACATTTCCCCTGTAAGAACTCTCCTTCAGTGCGTTGTGTACATCACGTATCTCCTTCCAATTACTGCTGTTCCCACATACCGGCGCGTACCCTCGCCTCTGTTATTGCTCTCTGATAACAGGTACTGATACACAATAGACAGAGGCCCCAAGAGGCTTCAATAGACCCCAGCTGCCGGCATCGGCTGCCACACGCAGACAGTTGGTCCTGGGAAAATGTACAAGTAAGAACAAGAACATTGTATTGTTGATCTTGCACATTTCCGTTGGCTGATCGTACATCTCTCTGCATGCTGCACGATTCTGTTGTTGTTTAGACCTACCCTCCATCTCCACAGTTAGGCTTCTGTTACAGATCTCCGAAGATGCATATTCGCTGGAAGTTTTTAATACGTCGGCCTAGGGACATATAGGTCGTGAAATGTTTATGTTCTTTAAGCAGTTATGCTATTGTTGTGCTGATGCAATCAGCGATCGTGTGTGAACATAAATGTCAACGCCAGAGTGAGTGAGTATGGTTTTACGCCGCTTTTAGCAATATTCCAGCAATATCACGGCGGGGGACACCACAAATGGGCTTCACACATTGTACCCATGTCGGAAATCGAACCCGGGTCTTTGACGTGACGAGCGAACGGTTTAACCACTAGGCTACCCGACCGCCCCTTCAACGCCAGAGAATAAGCAGTCTAGATTATCTCCAAAAACAGATTCCATAGAGTTTAAAAAGGCAAAATGGCGACGAAAATTATAATTTATTTATAATTTTCGTCAATTTACGACAATTTAACTTTAATGTATTATTTCATTATAAGAATACTTCCGAACAAGTCGTTTTTCTGTCATAATTCTGATTTGTTTAAAACAAACTAGACGATTTAAGTTCTCATTTTCTTTTGTCTACAAGTAAAGATAAAACTATTTCCCCAAGAACCTATGCTGCTCGTTAGAGCTGATCAAATGGATCGGGTGGTTTAGGCTCCCGCGGCGTTGATCGTTGATCATAAAATCGACCACTGGAATGTCTGGTCCATACTCAATTATTTACAGGCCGTCGTCCTATAGCTGGAATATTGCAGAGTGCGGCGTTAAACAACAAACAAACAACAGGTCACACACTCTCTGTGCGTGACTGAAGAACCGACTCAACTGATGATCTGGTGGTCAGGCTGTGTAGCATCGCTGACATGGAGAGTCATTCCCCAGCGGCGTTGGCTGCTGCTATTGCTGTCAACCGCTAGTTTGCCTGGTGAGAATATATACATGCCGCGGGGGGCGGTCGGGTAGCCTAGCGTTCGCTCGTCACGCCGAAGACCCGGGTTCGAATCCCGACGTGGGTACAATGTGTGAAGCCCATTTCTGGTGTCCCCCGCCGTGAGATTGCTGGAATCTTGCTAAAAGCGGCGTAAAACCAAACTCACTCACTCACTACATGCCGCAGTGATATAGTTGGAATATTGCCGCAACATTCACTCACTCACTCACCCTGTATTGTGCATTGATGTACAAACGATAATGTAACATAATAATATAGTTTCTGAAGCGCCACTACAATCTCATGATTCCATCACAATGTTCCTATGTACGTCTCTATCAGTTGTATCTTAGGCCTCCACAGACTGTTACAATAGTCATCGTTACTGCACTCAAAAGAATAATGACTGGTCCCTGCTATACATCTATATATCTTTACAAGAATTAGGACTATTAACGCGTTCAGAAATTAGACTAGAATACCAACTAAATCGAAACAGGCAATTTTGTCAGTCTCTTCAGTCAGTCAGGACTCTTAGTCACTAATTTAAAATACATATATTCGTATTATAGGAACAGCTAGCGTGGTAAATCGCCCATTAAGCAATTGGCACTTAGCATATAATTTTACAGTGCACAAACACGCGCACACACACATATAGTGTGTGTGTGTGTATGTGTGTGTGTGTGTGTGTGTGTGTGTGTGTGAGAGAGAGAGAGAGAGAGAGAGAGAGAGAGAGAGAGAGAGAGAGAGAGAGAGAGAATAGAATTGTTAAGAATATAGTTTTACATAGATCTAGGCAGCATTTCATTCTTTAAGGGAACACACGATCTATATTTTCTGCCATTTGGCTAGCACATTGTTTTGAGGAGTTCATATTTTATTTTAGAAGGGCTATTTTGTCCTTTGATTCCTTATCATGAGTTTCTGACATTGAGAACTGTTCATGAGAAATCCGATCCACAGACTTCAGCACGAGTTGCCTCCCTTCGTTTCCTGGACCAGTGCCTCGCCGGCGGAACGGCGAGTCGGTCGTCTGCTCTCTATCTCAAAGTCATGACTTTTACAGCAGCACGTCAGGATCGGTGAAACTTTTCTGTGAATTGTGCTAACTTCGTCACAATACAAGGTGAGAAAATGCGTTAACTCTCATAAAGTGTTTCAGGACAAACTTTCATTCATATCGAAGAAGGATTTCCAGTATTCTAAGCCAGCTGGCGAGGCAGTACATTTCAATTTCCTGACTCACAGAATATATACACGGGGGGAAGTGCTTCCTCAATGATATTCTCGTCGGAGGCGGAGAACACGTGTAGTCGTGGAACATGTCCGTCATATCTGAACTTACAGGGTATACATCTCACATACCGGGCTGCTAATCTCGGCCATTCACCTCTGGAGCTCGTGTGTTGTGGGCTGATACGAGACAGTTTGTATCTCGAGACGGATTTACTATAAGTCATATCTCGATGATTGTGTATTTGATGATGATGAGAAAAAATGTATTCTGTCCATGCATTTTTCAAATTGTTATCAATATATGTGGAAAAATTGTAAAAAATAAAACATCTTGACGCTGAGTCAGATTTGTTTTAAATGGACTGCACTTAATGTAATTTTTAACATTTTATAGATTCTTTTGTTTGATTTCGTTCTTCTACTTTTTTAGAACATTAATTTCTTACGTTAATCCTTAATCTGTTGGCATGTGTTTTCGTTATTTCTAATGAATTGAAGATTTGAATGTTATTTTATTTCAACAATTAGCACAGTACTAACCTCTTGCTAAATGAGATTTTATTCTGTTTGCCTGAACTTTTACTTCGTCATCAAGAATGAAAATTAACTGCATGGGTCAGGCGTCCATCAGTGATGAACTAACCAAAGCCATTGTGGCTGTTGTGATTGATCAGCAAGAGCGTAAGTTACAGAATATATGTGATTTGATGAAGACGGAGCCAAGTGTTGATTCCATGATTAATGCTGTCAAATTTGCGTTCAAGACCTTTCAAAACGAAATTAACCTGACGGCAAGTTTTGTTGTCGTCGTCCTCAAGAATTTCGACGATGGTCACATTGAGTATGCCGTTGCCGAATTCCTGATGGAATCACCGAACTCCGGATGTTACCAAGTGCTTCTGAAATCAGGACTCCAACTTAAAACCATCTGGAGCTTGTGGAGGTACACCCAGATGCTTCCTCAGGGCACAAAATATCTTTTTGAAGCAATCGTTCTCAGGAAAAATGTCTGCAATGAAATATGTTGCCGGCACTTCATGACTTCCAAAAGATTTCCAAAAGCTTACGAAATTGTGATATCGACTATACAAGCTCTCGACAGGGACTCCTTCCCAGCTCTCTTGTATCTACTTCGAGAATTTCCCCTTGAACCTCATAACCGAAATTCCTTTCAAATGGTGTTCAGAGCGTTGGTCCTAGCAGGCTACAAACCCAGCAAAGATTTCATTGAGAAAGTCATCAACAAAAGTTACAGGGCAGTTGTGTTTGGAAATTTTGAATCCTTCGGACGCTGGTTCAAGGACTACACCAAGATGGTCCCGAAACTGACTCATCTGTGTCGGCTACAAGTGAGGAAGAACATGAAAAGAAACGTTATGCATGGTGTGACTAAGCTCGGTGTTCCGGAGTCCCTACAGAAATACATCTCACTCCAGGATGATGAGTCAGTACATGTGATATTTAAGACCAGAAACTAAAGTAGAGAACCCACTATACAAGTCTAGCATTATTGTACGAGGTATTAAGAACTTCCCGACTGTGCAGAACAGTGTCAGGTATGTTTCTTTTGAAGCTACATGATTGTTGAACTGTTTGATTGGCATTTTTTAGAAGTTGGTAAGTAACAGTAAAGACAATATATTTTATGGATGACAACTTCTTTTTTCTATTATTTTGCGACATTTCGGTATTGAAACAACGATATAAGGATCTACGCCGCATCAAAATAGAATGCAGAAAATATATTGTCTTTACCGTGTTTATTGCTTTATTTCGTTTCTGTAATGGTTAAATGGAATTTGTGTTGCTGAAAAAATTCGCTTTCAATGCATTTGGTTCATGTTTACGACATAATCAGTATCCAATACTTTGTGTATGTTATTGCTATTTTTAAGTTTGACTTTGTTGACAGTTAACGATTAGAGATGTGATCTCGCAATAATTAATATTTCCATTTTTATTCAACCAGTTCGACTTTCCACAAGCATGTAATTTTATTTTACATCCATATTTCTCTTTGTTGAAATTACATATTTATATTTTGATCACATTATTCAAACTCACTTTATGTTTAAAGCCGGTCTTTATTTCTCATTGATATATTTTAATCTAAGTATGCAATCTTAATCCTTGGCGAAATACTTGAGACCAGTAGGTATTTTTTTTATCTATACTGATAGAAAGACGTTTAGTACATATATAGGTGTCGTAAATTTTGCAAATAATTATAATTGTGATAATTCACAAAATATTGAAGATGATTTAACATTCGAATACAGCCAAGACCAAGTACGTCATGCCATGTATTGTCATTTGCATTGCTCCTTCACCAATATGTCATTGACACTTACATCGGCATCAGGAATATGTCCTTTAGTTAGGAATCGTTTGTCTTCCTCAGTTTGATATATGTCTGAACACAGGGCTCACTTAACATAACTAACAAGACGAGGGCCATTCACTATTTTATGCATCTACAAATTGTCTGGTGGAATCATAACGCTGTACTTAGCATTTACTCCATGCCACTGCTATATGGTTGAATTGGGATTATTTTCTACCGAACAAAAACTATTACAATTTGCAAGATAATAATTAAATTTTCCGTTTTCGGGCATTCGTATATGTCAAACTAATGTGTCCCAAATGAAAGAAAAGAAAATGGTTTATCCCGAAAGAGTTTTTTTAATTATTTTTTCAAGTAATAATAAACTTGTGTTGGCAGTTTGAAATATTGTTAATTTTTTAACAAACTAAAAACGCAATGTTATTGCTTTTGTCGCATCCCTGGAATCCTGGGTTCGGGTACAATCAATCTACCCTTGTCGTAAGATAC